CCCCCCCCCCCCCCCCCCCCCCGCCCCCCCCCCCCCCCCCCCCCCCCCCCCCCCCCCCCCCCCCCCCCCCCCCCCCCCCCCCCCCCCCCCCCCCCAAGTCCTAGGCTTACCAAAGTTCATGCCCGCGATAACGCCCGAGTTGGTGCCGGAACCGTCGGCGTCGAGGACCTTTACCGCGACGAGGTTAACCCTCTTAGCAACGCCAAAGGTCCTACCGCCAATTGTTCCCGCAACGTGGCTACCGTGGCCGTTTTCATCCGTGTCCTGAAAAAGATGGCAGAAACATGATCAGCACGCAGACTTGGTTAAAGAGCATGCATAAGGCCCCCCTCCCAAAGGTTCAGGACCAGGTCACAGGGAGACATACCACGTTGTTTACAAAGTTCGCCGCAAAGGTGGCCCGTCCCTGGAACTCGGAGTGGGTGACCAGAATGCCCGTGTCAACGATGAAGGCGGTGATGCCCTCACCCGCGCTGGTGTCGAAGAGGTAGGTCGACGAGCCCGTCCTAGCGTGGCTGAGGCGGACGAGGCCGCTCGGGGCGTCGCTTTGGCTCGCGATGGCATTAATGCTGATCCGCGCGTCCTGCTCGATATACGAGACCTCGTCGGCGGCGAAGATCTCGCCCAGCATGCGCGAGTCGGCCTCGAGGGCCATGGCACGCCACTTGCCCATCTGGAAAGTGTTGACCTTGGTGGACAGGGAGCGGCCGTCCAGGCTGCGCTTGCCAATGTTCCGCTTCGCGATCTTGGTCATGATGTTGGACTGGTGCGTGTTGATCTTGTCGTCCCCGAACGAGCTGTTGTACACGACGATGTACCTGTCTGGGATTACATCTTTGGCGTTGGGGTTGGACACGGGCAGACCGAGATAGGTGCCACTTTTCCTGGGGTTCGGGGCAGCGAAGACGAGGAGGAGGAAGGTGAGGAAGGTGACGGCGACTGATAGTAATCTGTTCGCCATGGTGGTGGATATTGTTGAGAAAGAATGAGAGTCGTCAAGGAGCTAGCCCCAAAGGTGAAATAGAGAGAGAGAGAAGTAGAATAGAAATGCCCGAGCTGGCTCAACGAGGGGCTCGACAGCAACGAGTCGGGACTGAGGGAAGGAGAGTAACGAATAGATAGTTATACCACAGCAAACTGCATGAACCAACGGCCTGCACAGCAACCCAGGAACCAAGAAGCAAAAGACGATATTTTGACTGCTGTGCCCAACCCGAGCAAGCCAAGAATACAAGAAGGGAAGTCAGCACTAGTTGATAGGATCAGCATGATGTGAGGCGGCGGCCTGCTATTTAAGAGACCACTGGCCTTTGACCAACAGCGCGGAAGGAAAGGTACCTACGGCATTAACGCCCGGGTGACGGTCATGTTGAGCGTCGCCAGGGAGGATCCTCCGATATTGACGTGGTACTGGACCCCTGGGGGCGAGTTAGTGGAAGGGGGTAGAGACCCGACGAGTGGAGCAGAGGCAGGGAATCGAGGTCGTCGTTGATGGACGCCAAGTCAAACGCCAACGCTTACCTAGTCATGTTAGTGGTTAGTGGAGTGGCTGGAGGCTCGTTGGCGAAACGGGAGAACATTTACTGGGCAGGCAAACTAAACCTCAAACGCTGCGGTGTGAGAGAGTGAGAGAAGTACCTGCTTCTCGGAGCTCTCTGGAAGCTCGAGGTTGAGTGACCTTGTCCCGTCACCATGCTTGGGACGCGATATTGCCGGTCCGTTAGTCGTCCTCTCTGGCGGGCCGCCTCCTAGGTAGCGGAGCACGTGAGTTTACCCATCGGCATAAAGAAGGCATGACAGATCTTCTGGCTCTGTTTCCTGCCTGTCCGACACGGGAAGCAGAGTAGCGCGACTGGAAGGGGTGATCAATCTTCAGGGGGGGGGGAGCCTCATGCAAGGTGCGGGGCTCAGCTTTCTCGGAAGGTACCATCGAGATGGAATCCTACCTACCTACCTACCCCTAGCCTTGGATAGATTGGACTAAGCTGCCTTGTATGGTTCGCAGTAGCCAGCTGCATTGTCCTGCAATCAACCAGGAAAGCCAGCCAGGTAGGAAGCTAGCTATCTGCGGCTCAATCTCAATCTCAATCTCAATCTCAACCTTCAGCCCTGATCATGGGACAACCACCCTTCCTCCTACTTCTCCCCTCCCTCCCTAATTATGTGATGTACCACATACGTGCGATAAATAGGTATTATGCAGAAGCTTGGTTATTCCAGGCGTGGCTCCTGACAGTTCCCGCAGGGCTGAGCTGGGCGGTGTTACAATCCACAATCCTCTCCGGGACACAGACACGCTGCTGGCCGCCGTGAAACTGCTGACGACTCCCTACGCATGTACATAAATAGTCGCAGGTCCTCGCGGGGATTTCCAAGGGTACGAGGTCGGGGATTTTCCCTCGTGCAGGTCAAATCACACGATTGCACGATGGCCTGGCCCTCGTTTGTTGGAGGTGCAAGGGGCCGCTCTGTTGCAGCTCCCTGGGATTGGCTGGCGGGGCAAAGTAGACAACATGCTGAAACCGAACCCACAGGAACCCGTCTCCTCCCCTTCCTTGGCTGTCAATTTGGGAAGTTTGGCGCTTGCTGGGAAAAGAACACAATTTCGAACGGCTACTACATAACCATCTCATCATACAGGGTCTGTATTACAAGTCGCGCAGCCAAGGAACATGGACGGCGGTTGCAACATACGGCGGATCGACTCGGAGATCACCCTTGTGTTACCTTTCCTTTCCCCTGCCTAGGCAACAAACTGTGCAGGCCGAGCCGATATGGAGGAATGAGGAATGAGCAATTGGCCGGCAATTAAATCGCCTATTTGCCCACTTCCGTTTGCCTCACGGTCTCAATCAATTGGAGAAGTGCTGGGTACATGGAGTCTAGCATGGTGATCCTCTCCAAGTCATGGACCTGTGTTTGCGAAAAGAACGAGGCGAACGAGGCCACAAAACGGGGTTTATTTACTAGGTTTGCTGATATAAACTTGTTCCCAACTGCGTACTGACTCGGATCCCGTCTAGGTACCTACTCACTCCATAAAGATTGACTTTTTGCTGAGCAGTAAAGACCGAGTCAGAAGAAAGTCTATCCCGCGTATATCGGTGATGCCGCGAAAGCTGAGCCTCTTTAGACTTTGGATGGCCCCGTAATCTCGTTCGATCTTGCCTCTGCCTGTTTTCTTGCCACTAACAGCTCACTGATAAAATATCCTTCTTGCTTCATCAAGTATTGGGTCGTGGCGGTCTTGACTCGAGGCTCTGTCGTCAGAACGACAGCGACTCAAAGATAAGATCTATCTTGGATCTATGGTTCGTTCACTCGATAAGGCAGGTCTACAAGTCGTCGATTATCATGCATGTAATCGTAATTGTGAGCTGGGAAGACGTGTGGCTGGTGGATATCAATGATCTTGAGTTCCATGGATCAGTGGTGGGGTGGTGGTGGCTGAGACAGGTCCACGTGCCTCATACTGGTCCCTGCACATTTGCCCGACTGCTCAAGCCAATTTACGCGGTAGGCGGCTGTGCACATCGTGTCTCAAAAGTGTCCCTCACTAAAAATTCCAGATGCTTGAGGAGAGTATCGGGATGACTGGCTTGCACCTACGTACCTGTGTGGCCTGCTTTTCCAGGTCCGCCTTCCCCTCTCCCGTTCCCACCCAACAAGCGAATTCTGTAGCCTTCGATGCAAACTCATTTTCCATTTTCACCACCAACTCCGGCCTCGATGCAACACAGCTTCGAATATCTTCTCACTAAGTAGATCTCCAATCAGAGACAAGGCTCCTCCGGCATCCTCCATACCCGTCAAACAGCGCTGCCCAAACTGCGCTGCCCAAACCCCGTCGGCCACGTCTCACGCGACCCAAGACTTCCCGCAGGACAAAACATCCGCACATCCACTGAGCGATATAACTTTCCCTCCGCTTTGGGCCACTCGTTTTCATAGAGCATATTCTGTATCCGTACTCGGCAGCGTCTCTCAACTCCCTGCACGAGTCGAGTCCCTCTTTCCGACCAACCCTCCCCGCCGACTCCGGAAGCCTTCGAAACTCCCTGCGATGCCTTTCGATCCGCCCGATTAAATAGCCCCCGAAATCCCAATGTCGCTTCCCGATGCGCCCATGTTTCTCGATGAGGGCCAGCCCAAGCCCTTATCGATTGAAACGCGGCTCCCGAGGGCAGAGATGGCCCCTCCAATCCTCGAAGACGAGGGGAAGGCAGCCATCGAGCTGGCAGCCATTATGACCACGGCCTCGAATCCGGTATCTCCGGGCCCTTCAAGTCCCCCTCTTGATCAAGCTCGGATGCAGGATTTCGTCCCACCAACTCGGCCGAGCAGTACTCCGTTCCCGCAGCCCGAACACCGAAATGCCGATATACTCTGTGTCGGCTGCCCAGCCGATGACCAGGTGGACCTGGACGAGCCCGAGGCGTCGGCCCACCCCGTCATCCCGCCCTCCACCGAGCTGGCTGAGACGAATTTCAACGACCTGCCTCCCGAGATCCACGAATGCATTCTCGACCATCTATTCGGCGTCCGAGTATCGACGGCGTCAAAAAACCCGGCCATGCGGTGGGGGACCGGCTTAAGACACCCACGTAGAAAAGAACTATCTGAATTGTCCCGGGTCAGCCCCACGTGGAGGGTCTTGGTCCAACAGCGTCTATACCGCCACATCAAACTCAAGGCGGCTGTAGAGTCGATCAACGAGTCCTTTACCCACTTCACCGAACACCCGCGCCTCCGTTCCTACGTCAAGCACATCGAAGTCTGGTTCCCCGTTTTCCAACCCAAGTACACCCCGCTCGCATTGGCATCTGCAAACACTCTCCCCACCGTCACCGTAGATGGCCTTACGAACGCCTCATACGTCTTGCCGGAGGACAACTGCTCCCTGGACGAAGCGTTTTACTTCATTAGCTCGACCTTCCCCGAGGTTTGCATACTAACATTAGAGGGAGGGGAGAGGAAGAAGGCGCCCGAGGTCAAGCACTGGATACGGGTAAACGACTCGCGGGTCAAGTCCATGCCAAAGATCAACTCGGTCCGGACTCTGATATGCAAGGGACAGTGGAATCTGATCAGGAGTGATGAGGACTTCAAGACCATCACGTCGGCACTACCGAACCTTCAAAATTGGCAGGGCTCGTACGGCAAACCCAAAGCTAAGAGCTACCTAACCATGGCGACGATCCTGCCCAAGCTCCCGCGAACCATAACGAACCTTAACATCTGTATCGAAGGTGACTATCGCCGCGAGACCAGCTTCCCGCCGTATTTCCTCAGAGTCATGAATAATGTTCACTTCTGCATGAAACTCGCCGAGGCGGTGCCCGCGCTGGAGCACATCTCGTACACGGGGAGGGTGTGTAGAACCTTCTTCGACCGCGCATCGTTGCTGGTGGACCCCCGGACTACGCGGCTGAAGTCCATCGATCTGACGGTGAAGAACTGCTGTCGCCACGTCAGCCACTGGAACGAATCCGGCTCAGGAATCACAGACATGAACTTCATCAGGGCTTTCGAGAACTTGGTTCTTGCGGGGATTCGGTCGTTGGGGAACCTGAAGGCGGTCGAGTACCTGAGGATCCGCTTTGTGGATCTCGGTATGTTTATCCCAGCCCACCACGCCGCACCCTAGCCCTTTTTGGCACCTCTTCCATGCTAACCTCTTCCCCTCCGCTAGACTCCCCCGCCCAAGCTCTGAATCCGTACTTCCTACTCCGCAACGGCTGGTGCTCAGGTGTATGGAGCGACGAGATCGTCGCCGCGCTCAACCATGTCCGGCCTGCAGTCCGCTTCGAGGAGCTAGCCGAGTCGTTCGGTGGGATCAGCTACAACAAGGACGGCCGGGTCACCATCAACCATGAGTTCTCCAAATCAAGGGTCCTCTCTCTGAAGTTATCGAACTACGCCATCCTGAGCGGGGGCATCGCCATCACTTGATGACGTAACGGGTCCGGCAACTGGGGCAGTTGAGCACAAGGCTCAAAGAGAAGACTGTCGAAAACATGATGCCCGGTACGCGCTGATTATTTTTTCTGTTAGGAAGAGGTGGATGGCATCTAGCATGGCGTTGGTGGGGAAGACGGAGGGCCGGTAAATGGAGGCCGCTCACGGGGAATTGTCATAGAACAAAGGCGTCACGGGTCATGGCTCCCTCCTTTTTTTCTTATTTTTTCTGCTGTTGTTACCAGAATTCGGGTAAAGGGGCCCCCATTTCTAAGGGGCGTGGGAATCAGGAACAAAATGTGCATAACCGTATTTGCTTTGGCTGGTGGAAAGGAGGCATATCAGCCATGCCTGGTAACTGGCGCAAACGATAAGGTCTGTCGCCGTTGTTTTAGGATATGTTATATGTTTTCTAGACGAGAAACTGCAAGGTTCGTGGAGAATTACGGAGGCAGACAGGCAGCCACGAGGAATGTTATCAAGAGGTCCAATGAACTCGCCATTGAATTCTAACCGACTAGACGCCACCGTTACCAAGTGACACATGACAACTCCATTCCCCCTTTTTCTCCATCCTCTCCCCTCACCCCACCACCACCACCAGCACTCCAGCACCGTCCTCGTCACACCCTGCGCACGACATCCCCGACGATGACCCCGAGCACCCAGCAGTTGACCAGGAAGAAGGCCAGCGAGGACAGCCACAGGCCCGGCAGGAAGGTGCTCCGGCCAAGGAACTCGAGCCCGAACCCCTGCTGCAGCCACAGGCCCTGGCCCACGACCCAGAGGGCCAGCGCGGCAGGGCCGAGGGCGCGGCCGCGCAGGAAGGAGGAGCCGGGGAGGTACAGCGGGAGGAAGACCATGTACCAGAGGAAATACTGTTTTTTTGGGGGAAGGGGGTTAGTGGGCTGTTAGCGTGTTGGGACGGATGGGGAGGGCGGTGGTGGTGGTTATTTCTCCCTCTTCTTGTGTTTGGGAAAAGAGGAGAGGGGAAGGGGGGGCAAGGTAGGAGGGGAGGGGGAAGGGGGAAGCAAGATAACCCGTACCTGGCTGGTGCACACCTTGTTGAAGGTGACAAAGGCGAAGGTCTGAGCGAGCATCGAGGCCGGCAGGTCCTTCTTGGCCGTGGCCAGCGGGATGAGCACGCAAGAGAGCAGGAGTTGCGGGATGAAGGCCAGAGATTCGAGGCGCAGCGGGGACGACGACGGGAAGGCCGAGGTCAGGTAGAGCTGCGTGTTGTAGGGACTGAAGTTGTGTCGGTGATCGATGCGCGTGACGTGGTGGAGGTAGGTGTGCGTCACGAAGGGGGTTCCGTAGCTAGGGGGGTGGGTTGGTATTAGTTGGGAGTATCCGGGGGAGGTGCTATGAGCAGCACTTACAGTGAAAACATGAGAATGTTGAGCCCCAAGAAGGTGCCCAAGCTGGCCACAGCGAGCTGGATCCTTGCCGGAGTCAGGAATGCCATGAGTTGAGTCATCGTCGAGGGGGCAGTTGCCCTTCCATCCTTGGTCTTGATCTCGTTTCGTTTTGTTGCCTTCTTCGCCGGCGAGCGGCTTCCCAGCTTCTCGTCATCCATCCACCAGACTATAGCCGGAGCGTAGATAAAAGGGTAGATCTTGAAATGCACTCCAAAGCCCAGAATGAGTCCTGCCAAGGTAATCCTCCGAGAGAGAACAGCCCACAATAGAGCAACCACCAGGACTCCGAGCAAGCCCTCGGAGCTGCCCCTCGTGCTGATCGTCGCGACCATGGGGTTGAGCAGCCACACAGCCGCGAACCTCCTCGCCATGGCGGGGTGCATGCCGCCTCGGCCGGCAACCCCAGACGGCCCCGCCCGCATCGTCAAGACCCGCTCGATCAACCAGCCGGCGACCAGGTCGGCGGCGGCGAAGACGACCTTGCCGAAGGCGAAGCATGCGGCGTCGCCGAGGCGCGACCCCGTGGTCCAGGCCGTTGGCAGCAGCATCCACGCGAGGAGCGGCGTGTAGCGGTAGGTCTCACGGTCGTAGGGCGAGCGGCCCCGCGACACGAAGCGGGCCGCATCGGTGAAGACGTTGTAGTCGATGTCGGTGTACTTTATGGGCGAGTGGGCGTCCTGCCAGAGGCCGTAGAGGAGGAGGGCGACGCGCAGGAGGGTGGCTGAGATGTAGAGGGGCGATGGGTTGGAGAAAAAAGAGGCGATGAGCGAGGAGGGCGGCCCCCGGGGTCGAGGTTTCTCGGCCGGGGAAGATTTGGGCCGGGCCATGATGGATGGGTACCTGGTGGACGGCGGATGATAATGCGGATGCAACCGCTATGGGCAACAAGCACAGGGTTCTTCCTCCTCTGCCTGTTCAACTTCCACATGCGTCACTCAAGTCCCGATCAATTCAATTATAGGCCCCCACCTAGGTCAACCGTACCACTTGGAACGGCTGAAATCGTCTCCGACGTATTCCCTCGTCGGTTCGGTTTTTTTCTCGAGATTTTGATGACCGCTTGTCGAATACCTAATCTCCCAAACAACGTGTGTTTATCTACACACGCCCCGCGTGCCGATAAATGCAACGTCTCCACTACGAACCTCAACCTCGAGATGCCCCAAGACATACACTTGAGGTTGCTATTCTCATTCTCATTCCATCTAAATCTTTGATAGTATGATCCAATCATCAATACCCCCCCATGTTATCAGCATGGATCCCCAAGACGAAAAAGAGATTCGAATTAACAACCTGCACCAAATGAAAGTGATGAGCCCTCGCTTCCTAAAGGACATCGAGGCGGTAAAGCATACTACCAGAACGGTGGACCAATGCCTCCCGCATGCTCTATGAAGTACATCTTCTCGATTTATGGCGAAGTCTCCTGAGGCGGTATGGAGCAGATCGCAGAGGCCATTAAGGCGAAAAGGCAGCAATCCTTCATTGAGGTATCTATCCCAGCATCTTCCTTCCATACACCATGCTACCTGTCGACATGCCAGGGCAATGGCAAGGTAGGTAGGTAGTCAGTACGATTGTGGTAGCGGGCAAGAGCAATCGGAAATCATAAACCTCTAATTCTTTGACGGTTTATTTTTGTATTGCCCCTTTTTTTTCAACCTGTAGACTAGGTGCTCAACTACCTACCTTAGCAGCCAATGAGGCATGTAATTATAGATTGGCGCCACGTTTGAATACCTAGTGGTAATAACGTGAATTGGTCTGCGAGCATGGGGTCTGGGGTCCATGAAGTAAATTTGATGGACGCTGCCATGTGGATTCTCCTCCAAGTTAACCGGCAACCAAATCCCACCCATTGTTGTGTTGTCTTTATTCTTCTAATCCCCACGCTTCTTCTCATTAAAAAAGCTTTTGCAAATGCTATTAACCGGATGTTTCCTTGCGAGATGGCACGCAGGTTTCCTTTCTGGGAAAGTAACGGTCGTGTTAGGTTGATAGTTCAGAATCCTCGAGGGAGGATAAGCAGGGCCTTGGTCTTTTGTCAGATAGCCTAGATGAGCCATTGCTACTTGCTACGTAATTTAACGTACTATTGGTAGGGTTTCAGAGTATCGAGGTTTCAAGTATTCGCAAGGCCACAGAGGAACGCGTCGTAATAGTAGCGATATAGCTGAACACAAACTTACCCCTGATTAAAAGGTGTTGAAGACGTCCTCGACGGCCCAGTGTAAGTGGTTAGTAGGCCATGAATCAAACGGACGTAAGAAATAATAGGTTCAACGAGCCAGTGCTCCAGATTAAAACGGAGTCTAACCAAGGGCGGTTCTTTGTGCTGTCGTTTGGCATAGCAGGACGAGAAGCATTGTAAATCCGTCGATCGGAGACTGGGAATCCTGTCAATGGGAGTTAACCATACAGCCTGGTTGGATACAGATGTTGGAAATCCCCGTTCTCAAGCATGCCAGAGTCCTGGGTTGCCCTTCTTTTTGGGTGGTTTAGCTATATTTAATGCTTCCAAAATCTACAAACAGACAAACTTCTACCAGTCACCGGAATGCCACGGCGATATGTCCCTTGAGTCATTTCTTAGACAATGACTTCGCCGCCTCCTCGCCAGCTATCAGACCATATACCACGCACTCGAGCAGGGATGAACCCCCCAGCCTGTTGTCGCCATGGATACCGCCAGTGATCTCCCCTGCCGCCCATAGACCGGGAATCGGCTTCTGCCCAGAGCTCTGCCCAAAGTCCGAAGCCAGAACCTGGGCCTTCTCGTTGATGGCGGCTCCTCCCATCGTGAAATGTGTGATCGGGGTTACTCTGCCGATGCAGACTTCTTGGGAGTCTACATCCTCTTCCTCGCCGTTTGTCCCCAACGTCCAATGGCCAAAAGTCGTCCGGCCAAACTCATCGTCCATCTCACCTCTCACGACCTTTGCGTACCCCCTCAACGTCTCCCTAGTCGTCTCATCCAGATCCCCCACCCGCTTCTTCTCCATCAGCCCCTTGAAAAGATAGAACCCAACATGCGCTCCCGCAGCCTCGCACGCGCCGGAGTCAAGCACCAGCCGGACATCCCACTGCCTCAGCGCAGCCGTCCCCGCATTCCCATCGCCCATCGCCAACGGGCCCTCCATAACGGCCCGGCTGACGACCTCCCTCGTCTGCATCTCGTCGACGAACCGCCTACCCCCGCGGAGCAGCACGCCGCCCACGCCGCGCAGCATCTCTGCGGCGAGGAACTTAACGGGCGCACCGGGGGCCGCCGGGTCCACGAACCCCGTGGGGTGGATCTGCACGGCGTCCATGTCGACGAGGCGCGCGCCGGCCGAGGCCAGGAGGCCGTGCGCGCCGGGTCGCGCGTCGTTGGTCGACGGTAGGCCGGTCAGGTCGGGCCGGTGGGCAGCCAGGAGGCCGTGCGTGTCGCCCGCGAAGCCGCCCGTGGCGAAGACGACTGGGCCCGAGAGGGTACGGGGTCCGGACTCGCTACCACCATCGCCGTCGGCACCCAGTTGGGGAGGGGCAGTGGTGTTCACAGTGAACTCGACCCCCGTGACGGCCGTCTGCCCAGCGATGCTGCCCACCTCCTCCGGCGGCGGCGGGCGCAGCAGCAGCAGCCTCGTGACCTCGCACCCGGTCATCAGCTCGAAGCGCGGGTCGTCCCTCAGCCTCTCCAGCATGGCGAGCACGATGGCGGCGCCGGGGGGCGTCTTCCCGGCGCCGCGGTGCGTGCGCGCGAAGCTGTGGCCGCCCAGCCTCGCCACGACGCTCAGGTCGACGCCCACGTCGTCGGCGAGAAACTCGACCGCCGCGGCCGACGAGCCCGTTAGGCGCGCGATGAGGGCCTCGCGGTCGGCGCGCGCGGCCGCCGGCGCGGCGGACAGGCGCGAGCCGGCGGACCGGATCGTGTCGGCGAAGAAGTACGTGTCCTTCTCCCCTTCCCCCTCACCGACCCCTTTCTTCTTCTGTCCCTGTTGTCGTTGTTGCTGCTGTTGTTTTGCCTGCCACCGCGTCGGCGCCCCGTTGATGCCCGACGACGCCTTGATGCTGTTGCCGCCTGGCCGGGCGGCCCGCTCGAGCAGGCGGACCGCGGGGGCGCCGGCGCGTAGGGCGGCGTGCGAGGCGCACAGGCCGGCGAGGCCGGCGCCCACGACGATGACGGGGCTCTGCTGGGCCGCGGCGCCCGACAGGGCGTGCGGGGTCGGGGGCATGGCCGGGGCGGTTGCGGGGGGTAGTGGTGCCTGTGGTGGTGGTGATGTGGAAGCGGGTGTGCTTGTGAGACGGTGATATAGCACTGCTGTGATGGGGACGAGCGCCGTGACTAGGAGAAAGAGAAAGATCCGGCGGCGGCTGGTCATGACATTGCAGTCTATGTTTTACGGCAGTATGAACGAAGAGACGGAAAGCCAAATGTCCCGAGGTCAAATTGAGCCCTAGAAAAGGGAATATGCCGCTAGCTAAGGGGCGTGATAATTGCCGTGCTACTCACGCCAACAACATTCGATATTGCAGCATCAGGTGATGTCTGCGTCTCGGTGGAACGATATGTTCGGAAGCAGACAGAACATATCTTCCTCAAATCACCAGGGGCGAGGATTCCACCTGAGGGTTGAGTTGGTTTCTCGGCAGAGCTGTTGGTGCCTTCCTACCTTGGATTGACCTCGAGGAACCATTGCAGCGGTGAAGGATGCCGAGGAACATCATTTACCTAGGTGAGCTGAACTCGGGTGGGCTCACCTTGAATCCCGCCTTCCATTGCCGCAAAAGTCTTAGCCTCTTAGGTACCCCACAGCTAGCGGGTCATCATGTTTCGTGCAGGAATTCAAGAGTCAACTCCAAGCAAGGCACAAACAGCTTCGTCATCAATCAACCAAATAAGGCGTCTTGTATACGTAGTGGATCGGAGGCTCGACAAGACGGCGGCCTCCTTGATTTGCATTAAGACCCCCCCAAAGGGGCAAATTCGTTCTGCGGTCTCTCTGCCTGAGCTACCACATCCCATAGGAAATTTTCCTTTTCTCCTCGTTGTTTTCCAGCACAGTGGCCGGCCCAGGTATCAATATTCCTCTTCGCATCCGAATAAAACAAAACGAAAACATGCTGCCAATTTTACGAAACCCGCCCTACCTAAGGTAGGGAAGGTAACGCTAAAAAAAGGAAACACTTGACAGCCTGCTCATGAAGCGGGATACCACAACTATGTAATCGTGAGGGGGGGAAATGCAAGTAACGCGGTCCGGCAGTTGATCGATTAGGCCATATGGCTAGCCGTCTTGGCCAGTCTCGCCTCACGGCCCTTGTCAGACCAGGGGAAGTGGAAGACTGGGATGAGGAAGAACGAGTTGCTGCGGAAAAGAGGCTAAAGTTAGCGTGCGCCCTAACAAGAAATGCACCGCATAAATGCCGCCGAAGATGGTGGGGGGCAACAGGGCAAAAAAAGAGCTTGCAGCTCTTGACGGAGGTGGCTTGCAGCAGCCTCGAATCAAAAGAGTCCAAGACCCGCAAATGAGGGGAACGGAAAGCAGGCCAAGTAAAGGACATGGTGGCGCGGAAATGCGGAATCAAATCTCACCTCGTGTCAGCAATACCAGCGAAGGCGTTGTACCAGGCCAAAAACGCTGCAAGCATGCCGAACCCACCACCGGCCTTCTTCAGGGAAACGCTCATAGCGGCGTTGCCGTTGTTGGACGCGTAGTGGCCGCACATGAGCATGAGGAATGCCAAGTCGAGGGTGAAGAACAGCAGGAAGAACATGATGGTGGACCGGAGAGTGCAGAGCAGGAGGATCGTCGTGAAGATGAACCAGCCGGTCAGGAAGAATCCGAGAGCGCTGTCCACCTGCAGAGGGTCACCGGCCGCCTTACCCGCCGTGGCGTAGGTCCCTGGGATGTTCCAGCTGGGAGTCAGGAGAATGCCGTAGGCGATCCAGAAGCCGCCGTACGAGGACAGGGCGGTGGCACCGAAGGTGTTGCCCACAGCCATTTCCCTAAATCAGGCTTTCGTTAGGGACTCGTCTATTATCCCACCAGGCGCTCCCACTTGGGACAGATCGCAACATACCACATGCCAGCAAGCAGCTGGACAAGGCCGCCGTAGCCAAGGGCCAAGGGAACGGCAATGTTGGGAGCAGTCACACCCCGGGCCTCGAGGTTGACGGCCGACAGGACGAAGGTGGTGAGGGCGAAAGCGCAGAGACCGAGGGGCGCCGGGTTGGCGAACTTGCGGTGCGTGGTCTCCTTGTAGAGACCGGGCTGGAACTCACCGCCGAAGGCGGGAAGCCGAGCATCTTCTCCAAGGTGGGCGCGAGCCTGCGGGTTGCCGCCGTAGTCGTAGCGCTGAGTGGCAGTGGCGCCGTTGACGGGCGCGGAGCCGCTGGTGTGGGTGGCATTGGCATCGGCCTTCTCGACGCCCAGAGCGGTGGACTCTTGAGTGGCCATTGCGATTGTTGTCTCTTTTTCCCTTGCTAGAGGTCGGGCCCGTAACCGTAGGTTGGATGGTTGGAGGTAGGGGCGAAACGAGGAAACGGCAAACCTGACGCGGTTGGGGACGAAGGAGATGAAAGACGGTCCGAAGTGCGTGGGGAGAACGGAGGGCGGAAAGAAATATATAGCTGGGATCTCCAAGCCAACCCGCGAGATACATCCTCCCCTCCACCATTCACCCGTGTGGACGGAAGGAAACTAACAGGGGTGGGTGAATGGGTAACACCCACTTCACTACCACGTACAAAGCCGGGGGCGGTGGGGAGATTTCCCCGTAGACTGCAGGGAGGTCCATTTCACATCATTTACAAATTGGGATATTGATTGGCTCAATACATGAACGATGCAGGAATAGGTACCTGGCAACAGGGTAGAGGTACCTCGGTACCCAGCAGCATGACGGGACAGTGATGGGACTGCTGTCACGGCGGAACGGAGAGTGTGGGAGCTCAAATGATTGGACCCCCCTCCGCTCTGGCCAGTCCACATCGTCATTTCGCAGGTTCGGGGAGGCGACGTGAGGGAGCGGAGAGGAACCCAGAGAGGAGACAGGAGAGCGGGAAGCCACGTGAACGGCGTCAAAGAGCTCGGGACAAGCCCTCCCAGTCCCTGTCCCCGACGTTCTTTCTGCTCGAGTCCAACCGCCCGAGTCCCAGTCTCCTCCCGCCGGATAAAGCACCGTCCCTTTGGACCACGCAGGCGGATAGAGAACGGAACTCTCGCCCTACGTTGTACGGCGTATATGCGCCCTGGGTAAGCCCATATCTGCGTACCTACATTGGGACAATCGGATGGCGTGAGCAGCAGGACGACTCTGCCCATGCTCAGAAGCTCCGTGTCCTACGGCCAGTCGATGCATCCCTCCCTATATGTATACTGCGCATGTAATCTAACCTGAGATGTCTCGGGAATCTGGTGAGATACTGGAGAATGTAGCACAGTGTGGAAATGGGTAGTGCAAAACCTGGAGGCGGCGACAAACCCTAATGCATCGTGGAGCTGGCCCGTAATGCCATTCTCAAAACCTTGCGCTGCGTCATCTACAACGGCTAGAACCTAGGCCAAGCAAGCACACGCCCCACGTTCCGGACGAAGGGTTCACGCATGTGCGGATTAGTCTGTAAGCTCTGAGCTGATTCGCGCCCGACATGGCCCCATTGAGAGGGAGGAGACAGAAATGGTGCGACTTGCACGACTTGCACGCGCTAAGTAGAGCCTTGTTCGTTGTGGACGTCCGCCCTTGGCGACCTGCCAGGTGAGCTAAAAGGTACAAAAGTACCTTGCAGGTACTCGGCGATTGCGGCGGCCAACTGGCCGGGGATACACTGGATATATTTGGCTGACAAGGGGGGAAGATTCCTTTTTCTCCCCAGGATTCTAACTCGCCGAGATTGATTGCGAAATCCCAAAGATACAGCCCGCACCATCCCATGTGTCATCTTCCATAGTTAACCCGTTTCTTCCAAGTTAAGTGGCCCCGGAGCCCCATTCAAGATCGCCCTCTGGCCTTGCACGCTTATCCCCGCAATCTTGGATGAAATGCTTTGCTCCTGTTGTGCCGCCGCCCTATCTGGTCTCAAATTTCACCATTCTCAACTTGAGTTCTCTCAGTTTGCCAGACCAAGGCAGGGAGGGTCGATTCTCGACTCTTGACCCTCGACTCATGTGTGTACCTAATCTGTCCCAGACCAGATTGCGCCAGTCTCCACTGGAGCGATTGGCGCCCTTTCCGCAATATCGGGGTTCTTCTCCCCTTCCAAACGGGAAAGAAAAGAACAAGCAATTCTCCGCATTTCACACCGTTGACAACCTAGAAAAAGCACAGATGGAAGCTAGGTGCCTATATCTGAGAAACTTAATCATGGAAATTTGCCGGGGAGGCTCAGAGCCGTTGCGCTCTAAACCACATGGCAAGGCCCGACTTCCACTCTTGGCAGGGTATCCTAATGTCCGCTCCCTTGCCTCCGTGCGCTATGCCCACAGTATGCACATATCTATGTACTTGTACTTTACGACGACCCTTAGTACCTCGACTGATACTGCAGGTACAGTAGGTACTTTGAACAGAATGGCAACCTCGATATATATGGATGGAACGACGCCGTTCCCATCAGGTGGGAATTCATTGACTTAACAGCTCAATTTTTGTTGGTCACCAGTTGTTTGGCAACCAGGTTTGCGATCATTGATCAATTGAGCACTGCATCGAGCCATTGACATCATGACGATCTGATCCTCGTTGTGCCCCCAATCCGGTACTGATCACTACCCTTGCGTCCGAAACGACACCAAGAAACGCCCAGCAAAAGCCACCATGCCGCCGCCCCGCGCCGAGACTTTAATCACATCATTGCCGTCATCCAAGACCTTTGTAAGCATAGAAGTGCCGATGCTTTCCACAAGCGGAATGTTTGACGCAGAACGGAAGTTCATTTATGGAACTCAGTTATGGAAGCTATTGTCACCTGGTGCGTTCGTTGATCATTCTTGATTCGATGTAATCCTACTCTTACCCCGTCCATGATGAATATTCATTCTAGCGGGGTCAATCCACGCGTTAACATATATGCGATAAAAGGTATATGCGACAAAAGGTGCCACATTGCCGGACTTCTAGGTCTTTTCTAGAATTTGACAAGGCTTGGCCCTAAGCTAATTGACTCTTCGATTCCGCCCGCCATCTGATTCGCTGCACCCGACAGCACCACCGATCGCGAGTAGATGATTACATTTTCCCGGCTTACCTGACTGGTGCCAGATATAACAAACCCTCTTGACCAAACGCGCCGAGGTGCCGGACTCCGCAACCTCGTCAACATTGATTGTCAACAAGGCTCGAATGAAAAGCAGCAAAATGTGGGCTTGGCTGCATCTGGGAGCCAACCAACACTAACACTGCAAGGACGCTGCAAGGTGTCCGATTCTAGGTCGGCGATGTAACTAACACCTGGACGGTTTCCTCCCGCGTGCGGCTCACAAGCCAATCATGGTCGCACAGGAGGACTCGTAAAGGGTGGTGATTTCCCACCGATGCCACGCGGCGATGCGCTTCTCGACCTAGGGGATGAATATTCTTGGACCACAGGATATAATCCCAACTTCTTCCTTTTATCCGGACGATCAACCCCCCCCCCCCCCCTCCCCAACAACTCTAACGGACAATAACAGTCAATGGCATGAGGTCAAGCTAGCCACGACATTACAGACCTAGAATAGGGGACCCTCACAAAATCACGGGCGTCTATCTAGGGATATCGTTATTTCGTTATTTCGATATTTCGCGAGAAGGAAGTCACATGCCGGGGTTGGTAACCGAGAGCTAGACAGGCTCCATTGGGTACACTTTTTCGACCTATCGCGACTCGGGCGGATACTGCGGGCCGTCGTCGGCTTTTTGCCAATTGCTTCGGTGAGACTTTTGAGAATACGGATCCGCGAGCCAAACATGCCATGACTCCACATGTCGAGGATCAACTGCTGCAACCGCAACCTGACAGGTCTCCCCCGCCGTGCCCCCCTTCCCAAAACTTATGTTGACCTGTTGACCCATCACCTCAAGAGTTTCCCAGCTCGTCGTTGATGTGCGACGATGTGTGTTGACACGGATTCAGCGGCACATCCCTTACTATTAGTAATGCTCTTTCATGATCCTCAATGTGGGAGAATTGCCAAAAAGGGGGCGCGGTTTCTTCTCACAGCATACCACATGCCACAGCTCCCAGCAGCTCGGGTCAGTTAATGGGCGATGTGCCTCGCCCTCCTCCAATCTCGGGGGGTTTCCCTAATTGTCAACCCAACCCCTCCCTCGTAGGTAGGTAGTATCGCCGTCTTGGGGTGTGTCGATCAGTGCGTCGGAAACAACGCTTTCCTGCTTCTCGCCCTATTTTTTAATACCTATTTTATGTTTTATTTGCTCGCTTCGGACGGGCGGTTCAGTCAGCAGTGTGTTTCCCGCCGACTGAAAACCGGTGAAGTGGTGCCCCCCTGAAATGGTCCCCGAAAGAGGGGAGAAGGTAAAAAAGACACACAGGCAGGGCGGTAACTGTCTGCAATTGCATACGCAGTACAATTATGGACGATGTGGGTGGACTCGACCTCGTCGTCTGTGGTTGCATTTCACGTTATCTCGTTTCCTCGGCCCCGTTTCATGCTGCAGTGCCGCTGGTCCAACCAATCGAGGCTACCCTCCCGCGCAAGCCGCGATATTTGGTTCATAGTGTAAACCTCGTATAAGATGAGATTGATGGACGTGCTCAAGGCAGATCCTAGCCCGGTTCCTGGGAAACAACAAGGACTCCTGGCAGAAAGAGAAGAATGTCTGAAGTTCCTCTCAACCCTGATCTCTACGTGAGGCATTGGCGTTGCAGTTGAGCCACAAACTGACAACTCCCCTGGTTTGTTCTAGAAAAGTCGCATGGTGCTGTTACTGATCCATAGGCGAAGGACACTGGCCGGCCTCGGCCATCTAGTCAAGCACTAACAAAGACTGACCTGCCTTCCAACCACGCCGCCATCCCGCGCCTCCTAATTGTCCCTTCGAGTCCCCTTCCAGTCCACACAGATGGTGCCAGGCCCCAGGCCCGAGATAGAGGTACCAAGAAGATTCCCCGTTCGCACGAAACCTATCCCTTCGTCCGGTCTCACACAGGGCCACCCCCTCCGCTTGGCCCCAGGCTTAGGCCTCGCCTTCGGCCCGGAGGACGATCCCCCCCTGGGCAACGAAACGTGAAATCTACGACACCGGACTTTCGGCCGGCATATGTACCTGTCCTGATAATGCTTCGACGCCACGGCTGCAAGGCGAGCGATTATGCCGCCTGGTCACGGTTCTGTGATCGATGCCGGGGCCGGGGGGCCCGGGATTAGGGTGGAAGGCTTTTTGGGAGGGTATAGACTATAGGCCCGAGGCCGGGGCTCACATACATGACGCCGGGGTTTGGTGGAACCCAGGTAAGCTTGCCTTTCTTGCATGCTACTATCATCGCGATACGCGGGCGAGTGTCGAGGCAGATGGTGAATGGGGCAGTGGGTGGAGGGTGTGTGGAGAGATGCCGCGGTAGGGGGACAGTAACTGAGCCGTCTGGTGATAACTCCAAGCAAGACAGGACTGATTCATTCAGAAGCCATCGCCGTGCTTAGTTCTAGGGGAAATTCCCAATTGGCTTGAGAAACGGACGAGGGTGAGCGTTACGTCTCCAAATCCCGAGCGAAGTCGACGATATCTCGTTCCAATTGGGTTTCGTGCTTCCGCCCAAGAAGAATCCAGATAGGGGTGTTGGATCTAGCACTGGTCTCGTATCCCACAGGCCTGGGCATTTCCCCCCGTATTGCCAAAGCGCCGTCGCTGTTGATAGTCTCGCTGTTGGTGTTCCTTCTGTACCTATCAAGCTGTTGAAGTCGTTCAGTGTGCCAGCTATAAATTCGCTGTGGCCCGTGCTCGGGACCTTGAGCCATGACGAAGAACCTTGGTTGGCCCTGTTAAATGTTAGCACCACCACTGCAACGCACAGACCTGCTAATCATGGATGTCGCCAAGGGCGAAGAGCGCACCCGGCAGGCTTCGTCATCGACACTTGCCCGACGGGATAAGGATACAGGTGAGAAGGATATGTCTGGATTCAAACGAGATCGCAGCGGGCATGCAAAGAGGCACCATGATGGGCCCAAGCAAGGCGGCGCGCCGAAGCCGGTAGTGAGAAACGCCTACACCCCGATGTTCGAACGCTTCCGGGATGAGCTGGATGAGCATCACGATCGCCGAGAGCGCATCATCAAGGCTTCCAGGGATATCACGGCTCTGAGCAAGAAGATGTGAGGCGAATGCTGAATTTTGTTGGTGCCCTGGCTAATAAATTTATTGCAGAATATTCTCCTTGCAGCGGTAAGCTCACATTGCTTGGCTTGGCTTTCCGCGTGTTTGGAGCGACTGGTGAAAATATACAATGATACAAGTCATCATCACCTCGCGTTTACTTCCTAGATACATGGAACTAACCAGTTTGCTTGCTCCTTCAGTGTTCGCAAGATCGACGGCGATATCCCTCAGGATATCGCAAAAGAGATGAATGCCCGTCTCAACGAAATTGCCAAACTGCTCGCCATCATCGGCCCAGAGACGCAGGGCATCAACCGGCACCGCTATGCGTATAGCCTACGCTGCCTCGAGGAGCTCGTCGAGGCACTGTCCTTTGCGCACTACCTCAAGACGCAGTCCCTCGTCAGCATGGACGAACTGACCTCCGTCACCGACGACCTGGCCCGCAAAGGCGCGGCGGCCGAGGACGAGGCCATGGCCGATGCGGACGACGACCACCGCGGAGCCGCAGAGGGCCACAGCAAGGCAGACGCGGCCAGCGGCGACCCACCAGCAACAGCAGCCCCTCAGAACGCCTCACCCCCCCCAACCGTCCAGCTGACCGAGTACGACTACATCTACGGCCTATTCGACCTATCAGGCGAGATGATGCGCTTCGCCACAACGACGACGGCGCTGACGGGCGAGCTCGCGACATCCTCCTCAGCCGAGGGCGGACTCCCCGGGAGCAGGCCGCGGACCATCGTCCGGGACATGCAGGACCTGGGGAGCCTTTTCGAGATGCTGCCGCAGCAGAGGAACAAGACGTGGGACGGCAAGATGGGCGTCCTGCGCGCGTCTGTCGCGAAGGTCGAGAGGCTCGGCTATGGCATCACCGTCCGCGGGAGCGAGCGCGAGAAGGGCTGGGTGCCTGACATGAGAGACGAGGAGCCCGGTTCGCCCGAGTAGGGTGGGGGTGTTGGTTGGGTTGGGTTCGGGGGCTGCACTGCACTGGCCGCTTGATGGTTTGAAGCTGACTGTCCTAGGTATTATTGTTATTGCTATTGCTCCGTGTCTGGCTGAGTTCCGTGCGGTTCAGCTACCTAGGTAGTCTAATATATCCCTTACTAGAAGGCGCTGAAGGCTAGTCGGTCGTATTGCTACTATTACAACTCGTTGCTTGGTGGCCATGCGAGTATTCGGAATCCCGATTCCTATCCTCGAGCTGGGGGTTCCCAGGCTCTTTGCACTTGGCACCGGAAATTGAGGGCAAGTCAAGAGCGCATCAAATGTTTTTACCGCGGATTTTTTGCTTTTCTTGCTAGCAAGTCGGTATGTGAAATGAGCAATAATGGTTCCCTTGGCATGCAACACTTGCCCGTCATGCCCAGAGGAGTGAGGGTGTCGACCAGAATGCACCAGCGAGAGCATCGACTTCAGGGAAGAATTTGGGTTACACAGAGTCAATAGAGACAAGTCAATGGCAAAAAGCATGTTGAAGATTCATCTTGATTCAGGCCATACTCTGGTGGTTTTAGTAGCCTCAATCTATGCCATTGCCGGAGCCCATGCAATTAAACAGATCCACAGACGCCCCAACGAACCATTCTTGCTGGTCACGCAATCTCTCTCTGCCCTCCAACCACGCTTAGTTGGCGTACCGCTTGCCGTCCCGAAGGCTGTCGGCAAACTCCTCCAGCGGGCTCCTGATGAGCTTCGTCTCCTTCCACAGATCGGGGGTCAGGAAGCCGTATGTGTTGGAGACGGCCGCGAAGCTGGCCTTGAGCGTGTTCTCGAGGGTCTTGGTCGAACCGGACGAGGATGTGTAGGCATCCTCAATACCGGCGAGCTGGAGGAAACGCTTGACAGCGGGCGAAGCGACAAGGGCGGTACCGCGAGGGGCAGGGATAAGCTGAAGGGGAAATCAATGGTTAGCATCGGGTCCGCTTCTGATACGGAGCAATGTCGAATATCTCAGCACTTACTCGGACGGTGACGGAGCCACACTTTCCACTCTCCTTGGCGGGCAGGGAGTGAGGAAGACCAAGGTTGGTACCCCAGTATCCACGACGGACGGGAATGACGCTGAGCTTGGCGATGATGATCGCGGCACGGATGGCAGTTGCGACTTCCTTCGACGTCTTGATACCGAGACCGACGTGACCCTCAGAATCGCCAATGATGACAATGGCCTTGAAACGGGTCCGCTGACCGGCACGGGTCTGCTTTTGGACGGGCTTGATCTGTACGCGAGAAGAAGAAAAAAGTTAGAGCCATCCATTCAACATGTCGCGGCGGAATTGATTCGTGCAATTGCCGGCTTCGAAAATGCGCACCTTCATGACCTCGTCCTTGAGCTTGGGGAGGAAGAAGTCGACGATCTGGTACTCCTTGACGGGGAGCGAGTGCAGATAGATCTCCTCCATGCTCTTGATCTTGCCGGCCTTGACGAGACGGCCCAGCTTGGTGACGGGCTGCCACTCCTTCTCATCGGGCTTACCACCGCGGCGTCCACGGCCACGGCCACGACCACGGCCGCGATCACCACCTCGGCCACGATCACCACCTCGCTCGCCTCCTCGGGATCCGAATCCACCGCCACGGGCACCGCCTCGGTCAGCCATATTTTTCAATTGCTAGGAAAGAATTCGTGAACGGTGCTGTCGAGGTTGGTCGAGGATCTTTGGAAATCTCCCAAAAGCTGCCGTTAACTTTTCGCGGGGTTTGGCGATTTGAACAATTTCTGGTGGGCTTGTGGATTTTCCGGGCCAAGCGAAGCAGCCCTAAGAAATTTGTCCCTGATATTTTAGGCACACACTGCTCACGTGTTTGGAGGGCCCGTGCGGGAGTTCACCTAGGTGAGTGGAGATGTCCTTCAACCCCTCACCGTCTTCTTCCACCATTTACATACCTAGTTCTAAAGCTGCATTTCGAACTGCATGCACCGCTTAAAACTAACAAGCCGCAGCCATAAGTTTTTGTTTTATGCAGCGCTGATCCAGTCTAGATCTAATCTAGAAGGTCCAAACTTTTGGAACGAACTTTGGAGAGAGTCGGCATATGAAGAAAGCATAACATACCTCCATGGCTGAGGCGGGAAAGAGCTTGGGGTTGCAGTTGGGTGCGGGGTTTGGGAAGATCGAAGTTAATGATCTGCACCCAAGGAAGGGAGCTGCTGTTCCTGGAAATAAGCAGCCGTGTCTGTCGGCAGAGCTCCTCCTCAGCGACGCAGACCAAAGACATGAGAATCATCACAAAACCTAGTTTCTAGGAATCGTGGGGTAAAGTATCATTTGATGGTCCTGCATTACATCATATGTTCGCTGCACGTCTCTGCAGTTCGGAGCGGAGAGCATTTTTAGAGGTAAACAGATCCTGCCCTTTTCTTTCTCTCAAAGGCTGCCTGCCTTCCCCTGCCTGCCTCCTTACCCCCGCTCAGTTGCTCCGGGATATCTCCAGCATCGTGAGAAATGGCTCGCCTTGGATTGATCGGGGCGTTCTTATGGGCAAGTGCCATCCTCACCCTAGTCCAGAGTCAGTCCTTCGACCCGAACCAAGCAGGGCCGCAAAGTTGGGATCCCTCCAAGGTTGGCACCGATACGACAACCAATGCAACGTACCGCAACCCCATCTTCACCCAGAATGTTGGAGATCCCTTCATGACGAGGTATTCTGTCGATGGAGAGGATTGGTATCTGTTCACATATTCGACCAATGACAACATCACGCTGAAGAGGTCGAGGGCAATGACCGACAACTGGGACAACGCCGACACCCGCGTGGTCTTCAATCCTGATCCCGACAGCGGAGAGGCTTGGTCGACGGATATCTGGGCGCCCGAGATACACCAGCTTAATGGCAGCTGGTACATCATCTTCACAGCGACCCATGACAAGGACAACCCGCCCCCGCTCCAAGACGCGATGTGCCCAATCAACTGCCCAGCCATCAATCACCGCATGTTCGTCCTGGCGGGCGACACCGCGGATCCGTGGGCGGCCAACTTCAGCATGAAGGGCATGCTCAACACCTACGACCAATTCGCCATCGACGGGACCTACTTCAGCTACGAGGGCCAGCTGTACCATATCTACTCATGCTGGGAGCAGGCATACTCGGCATGGCCCGCCAACCTGTGCATCACCCACATGTCCAACCCCTGGACCGTCAACTCGAACTTCAGTGACCGGCGTATTATCTCCGTGCCCAACGAACCTTGGGAGCGTGTCCCCTACGGCCGCCCAGACACCCGCCTGGCGACCAACGAGGGGCCGCAGCAGCTGACGAACCCCAAGACGGGCCAGAACTTTGTCGTCTACTCGGCAGCGCGGGTCAACACGCCCTTCTACTGCCTCGGCCTTCTGGAGCTGGTGGGGACAGACCCGATGTCCTACCAGTCGTGGCGCAAGCGCCGGGACGGCTGCGTCTTCCACCAGAACGCGGCCGAGGGCGTCTACGGCACCGGCCACGCCAGCTTCACCACCAGCCCCGACGGCACCGAGCACTACCTCGTCTACCACGCCCAGACGACGGCCAACCCGGCCGCCGACCTATACCGCACAGTGCGTGCCCAGCGGTTCGGCTGGAATGACGACCACGGCGGAGATGGCTCGCCGATCTTCCCGCCCGCCGAGAACGGGCCGTTCCCCGTGCCGGCGGGTCAGCACGGGTACAGGCCGGTGACGATGCACTCGCTCCCGCGGTCTGATTGGGCTTCCTGAGAACGGCGGGGGGGTAACCTTATCTATTTTTGCTTGCGTCAGAACTGCGAGTCCTTTTTTTTTTTACTCCTATTGGTTATTTGCGTACTTGCAGTCTCCGATTTTAGTGTCGTTTTCTTCCTCATCTTCTCGCACATAATCTTCCAGGAGTGTACCTCTCGTGTACTCCACTGTCACCACCCCATTTTTGCCCCTTAAGGTATTCTTGACGAGGACCAAGAACGACCATCCAAATTCAACTATTCCTGTCAAATTTGGATGGACAAGTGACAGAATCAATTCCTACGATTTCGTCAAGGTTGCAATACGCGATGATATCGAGGGCATTGTTTTTGCATCTTACGAGATCGTCACTCGGAACTACCAGTTGAGCAGCCATCTCCTCTAAAACTCGATAGCTCTCTTGTCGATACAGAATGGGACAACTTCATGTCGCGGGGAAGGTACCGGGTGGGTATAGGGTTCCTTGGAAATGGGAAGGTCTACTCCTAAACCTTGCTTCTGCAGGCAGGGTGCTCTCGCAACCACCGAAACCATACTCCAGTTAAGCTTCAGTATACCGAAAATAAGATGCCAAGAATGATTACCTGTCCAGCGACTCACCGTACGGGCTGAATGATGGGGTAGAGTTCCCTGGCACCTACCTCTATAACGCACCTGGCTCCTGCCTAGGCAGTTCTTCGCCCGCATACTTCCCAGAATCTCAGTCACAATCTCAGGCAGTAACCAACCTCCCACCTAAGGCTTGACACCAAGCCTCAGCTCGAGTCATCAACTGCATTCCCTTCCTCACCTGCAGTCTCCTTTCACTAACCCACCGCCTTCTCCCAATATCACACCTCCAAACCCTCGATCCCCCAACCGGCCGCAAGGGGCAAGACTCACCCAAGGCGCCACCACCATGACATCCTCAATCCCCTCCCACCCACTCCCAAGCGGCCACCACCTAGCAATCCCCATCCCCGACCACCACAGGCCCAGCACTATCAGCCCAGGCCTCTACCTCTCCAGCCGCAAACCCACCCAGGACCCCTCCATGCTGTCGCAGATCGGCATCACCGCCGTGCTCAGCATCCTAACAGCGAGGGAGGCACGGGAGCTACACCTCCACCCTAACCAGGCACCGGACCCAAGCCAATCATCCCCGGACTCGCCCCCGCGGCTGCGGCGGCAGTGGATCGAGATGCGGGACTCGAGACGGGCGAACCTCCTCGTCCGGCTCGGGGACGCGTGCGACTTCATCGACGCGGAGATCGCGGCGGCAACCACCACCACCACCGCCGCCGCCGTCGTCGGGGGGGAGGACGAGGAGAGAAGAAGGGATGGCGGCAAGGTGCTGGTGCATTGCTGGGCCGCGCGGTCGCGGTCGGCCGCCGTGGCGGCGGCGTACCTGATGCGCTGGATGCGGTGGACGGCCGCGCAGGCGCTGGGGCACGTGGCGGCGGCGAGGCCCGACGTGCGGCCGAACCCGGGCTTCGTCAGGCAGCTGGAGGTGTGGAAGGCGTGCGGGTACGACATCTGGGAGGCGTACGGGTACACGTCTGGGGGGCGTACGAGTACGACATCTGGGAGGAGGAGGAGGAGGGCGATGGGGTAGGCGGGCGGGTGCCCAAGCCGGCGTATGCGGCGTGGTTGAATGAGAATGGGGAGCATAGGGGGTTACAACAGGGCCGGCTGGCGAGGTGCAAGGATGAGATGGACAAGGAGAAGTTGAAGAATTAAAGACCAAACACGAAAAGGGGCCTGGGAAGAGCATGCCGGGGGCTTTTATGAGGAAATGGAGAGGATAGATAGAGCACCACAATTTTGGGATTGATTACCAAGGGGGAAATAAAATCACTCCTTTTCCGAACGCGATGTGGCAGTCCCGACATGTTCAACTCGATATATGCTATAACTCTGAGCCGTCTGCAAGACCCGTCGATGCGACTTATAAACCAACAACCCGTGCCAACCACCCCCCTGCCCTTACTCTGTCGTAGAAAGTGTGAAGACGGGGGAAAACGAGGAGAGAGAACTTGTAGAAGAATCGTTATGCAACTTTGGACAGAAAAAAATGCCAAACCCCAAACTTTATCAGGCATACGCATAATCATACATAACCACAGTCAAATGCAGTGGGCCAGGGGAGGGTATCCGGTGCCATCTAATCAACAACTCCCACTATCAAAGCACCGACGCCATAATGGAGGAGGGGAGGGGTGATATCACTCTGATGTCCTAATCAGGGAGTCGGATGGGCGGACTCTCTGAGCCCACTCACTGCCTTTTAGTTAGCACCGGTCACAAAACCAGGAGAACAAATGTGGTGGGTGGGAGGGGGACACTCACGTCCAGCTTCCATCGTAGACCTTCCTCGCCTCCGGCTTGCCGTACTGCGCCTCGTCCAGGGCCGTCTCGACGACACAGGCCGTGACTCCCGTGCCGCAGCTCGAAATGATGGGCTTCTCGGGATCCACGCCCTTCTGTTGGAAAACCTTCTTCAGCTGCTCCGCCGGCAGGAACGCCTTGGTCTCCGGGTCGAGCAGAGAGTTGAAGGGGATGTTGATCGACCCGGGCATGTGGCCCGACGACAGGCCGGGGCGTGGCTCGGGGTCCTTGCCGGTCCACCGGCCGCTGGATCGTGCATCCAAGATTTGCACGCCCTCGGCGCCCTCCTTGTTATAGTCCAGCGCCACCTCCCGCACGGCCTCGTAGTTGGCGACCTTACCCTCGTCCATCTCAGGAATGGGATATGTGCCGCACTCCACTGTGTACATCTCCCCTTGCTCGGTCGGCAGGCCCTGATCGACCCATAGCCTGAAGTTGTTTAGGATATGCACCTTGGGGTGGCCAAACACCTTCAGCGTCCAGCCGACGCGGGGTGCCGAGAGAATGCCGAGCTCCCGGGAGTCGTAGACCACCACCGTGTCCTCCCTTCGGATGCCCAATTCGCTCATGGCGGCGGCAAAGTCGCCGGGGCTGGGCAACATGTGGGGGTAGGGGCTGCGCTTGTCGATGACCTTGTCGAGGTCGAAGAAGCGAGCCTTGGGGATGCGCTTCTCGCGGAAGACCTGAATGCCGGTGCGGCTCTCGGGGTCGTTGGGCATGAACCAGGAGGCGCAGAGGGGGATGACGCGCGGATCGGTCGAGATTGGCGAGGGGGGATTCTTCTTGAGAGCTTCGCTCAGCTCGTTGGGAGTGACGAGGTACGAGGAGAAGGATCTGCGAGGGAGCGAGGCTATCGTGAGCCTACTGCCGAGCTTGCCGGCCTGAAAGCCGGAGCCGGAGCTGCACTGCGCCATCGAGACTCGGACGGAGCGGAAAACCAAGAAGCTAGCCATGACGGCGGAGGTCGGCCGTTCCGGATAGAGTTATGTCAAGCTGGGCTTGTCGATGTCGATAGGGAACCCGGCAGGGCCGGGAGAGGGCAATTGGCAATGAGCTCACACAGGAACCCTAGATATGGTAAAGACGATGACGTGCGGTGGGAGGTGCGATGTCGTCTTTTCCGTTTCTCGTCTTTTTTCCTTCTTCCTTCTTCCTCCTTCTTGCCGCTTAGATCAGGTCAGTTTGCGACGTTATCAGCTTTTCCTCGGTGCCCCCGACCGGAGCCTGGGACGAGAGAGCTGAGGATATCAGTCTGTTGAGAAAGAGGAATGACGCCGAAGATCGGTCAGTTAGGTATTGAATTGATGCGGGGTTCAGATCGACTAGAAAAAAGTTCCCGAGGTATGGCAACAGGTCCGTTCGATTGGTGGTGGTGCAGGTCCCACTGCAGATAAAGAGCTGGAGTGGGAAGGAGCTTGGGCCACTTTTGTCAGTGGGGTCACTAGAACGGACAGATGGATGGTGAATGGTTTATGGTTCGCATGTGAATGTTTATTTTCTGTCCTCTGTCCTCTGTCCTCGCGTCAAACAAGCCCTCCCTTCTCAACTGCAGGTCGGACGGAGCAGCAATGAAAGTGAAGATCAAGAAGTGGAACGCCGTGGCCACCTGGCGATGGGACCTTCCTGAAGACGATGTCTGTGGCATTTGCCAGGTTCACTTCGACGGAACATGTCCGACTTGCAAATATCCTGGAGATGATTGCAGCCTTTGTATAGCCACCCTCTTGACATGTTCTTATCTATCTTAAGCTAACAAGATTACAGTGTCGGGCAAATGTGGCCATAACTTTCACATGGTAGGTAGCCTCTGTCCATAAAGCTACCCCTCAATAAGCACCCGCCACTGACAAGCAGCAGCATTGCATCTTGGAATGGATCAAACAAGAGTCGTCCAAGGGTCAGTGCCCTATGTGCAGACAAAGTAAGTTTGGGGATATTTCAGGGAGCATTCCCTCCGGTCATCCCCGTCATCTGGTCTAACCATCCGTCAGGATTTGAGTGGACGCAACAACAGCCTGAACAGACGCCCCTAGACGCCGAAGATGGCGATTAGAGCCAGTGGAGCTCGTCATCATACGCGCAGTCAAGTAGACGAGGGTGGCGGGTGTCTTGTGATAGGCGTACAGAGTGTGTCTGGCATGGCGAACCTTGGACGTGTGGCTGCGTTTATGGCTATGGAGTTTTACAGGCGTGATATTTGGACATCGATACCCAGGAACAGCAGACGGCATGGGGTCTCCCGTCTCAGGCGCCTATCAAGAGCACTACCTGCTTTTATGGTTTATAATCTATTGTGAAGTCAGCAAACATGCTTTGCCACTTGCAAGCTCTCCCCCCATTTTAACCCGTACTGTCCCTACCTACCTACCCGTGCTACCTTGGCCGGGTCTATCCGTGACTTGGAGCCAAAGACGGCATTGCCAGGTAAAGAGGCACGTGCGATAAGATAAGACACGCAATCATACCCCAGCCAGCGGAGAGCTTCGTTCGGAGCCTCGTCCTTCTAGGCTCCCCAAGAACCGAGAGCCCGCTCTCCGGGACTGGCAACCCGGATTTTCTTCCCAACTTTTCGGTTCCATAATCAGCGAGCACCAAACATGCGGGCAATTCCTTTCCCGCAACCCCTCCAGAACACCATCTCCCCTCCGATGCCGGCTCCCGACTCAACCACCACAAACCAAAGATGACCGATCCCGATCCCGCCCGGCCAGCATCCTCGGCGGCCATCCATGCGGCCCAGGCTTCCAACCCGATGTCCCGTCAACCATCCGTAGCCAGCAGGGGCAGCCGATCCAGCCTGCGCAGACAGCAGGATGCCCAACCCCCGGCATCCCCCTCGGCCTCCTCCCCCCCGCCCCAGGACCACCCCCAGCAGCAGCAGCAGCAGCCGGCGCAGGCGACCGTCCCGCCGGAGCCCGAACAGCCGCCCTTCACCCCGCTCTTCACCCTCCTCACCTCGACCTCCCACCCCTCCCAGAAGCCCACCCTGCACCACCCGACCGTGCACTACATCTTCGCCGACGACGACCCAGAGCTCCTAACCGAGGCCCTAGCCAGGCACCACCGCACCCCCGAGGACCTCGAGGTAGACGATCCCGACGCTGGCCCCGACCCCGATCCCGACTCAGACCAGGCTGCCTCGCAGGAGCACCGCCGCGATGCCGCCTCCGCCTCTGCCACCAGCAGCAGCAGCAGCAGCGGCAGCCATCACCTCGACCGAGCCATCCTCATCGACCTCGTGCCCGCCGACGGCAACAACAGCAGCAGCCCCGGCGGCGGCCTCGAGGTGGCATGGGCGTCGAGCCTGACGCCAGACTGGGCGGTAGTTGGGGCGCGCGTCGCGAGCCAGGCCGACGACGACGACGACGGCCACGGCCACGGCCCGGCGGCTGACCAGGAGCATCTGCATCATCATCAACACCGCCGCCACCGCAAGGGCTCCGGCGGCGCCGGCGCTGGCTCGCTGATCCTCAAGATCGAGGGCGTCGGCGCCGAGGCCGCCGCCGCCGCGCGCCCGTTGCCGGTGGCGGGGGTGGTGGTGCCGGGCAGGAACTCGCCTGCCGAGGGCGGGGAACCGCAGCAGTCGCCCGGGCTTGCGGGCGGGGCGGGCGGCAAGCAGCAGCAGAGGCCGTCCCCGGGCAGCGAGGAATACCCGGCCCTGATGGACGAGTTCGACAAGAGGATGGGGGTGCTGCGCAGGGTCGTCGAGGCCGGGGAGGAGAGGCGGCGCAGGACGGAGGCGGATTTACTGGCCGCTGCTGCTGCTGCTGCGGCCAGCGGGGAGGAAGAGGGGGAGGGGGACGCTGATTATCATGGTGGGGAGGACGAGCGAGGGGCCCGGGAGGCGGAGCGGTAGCGACTGGATCTCCTCTAGACAGAGGCCAACGGATATGCCTGATATATATGGCGCAGGAGGACCAGTGTCGGTTGAGACCAGTGTCGGTTGATGCTACTACTGACGGGCTGGACTGTTTTGGATTCTCCGGCCGAAAAGACGTCTAGGGACCCAACGCGCGAAACTCCTCACCCGTGTGCGATGGCGAAGCGGCTGTATCACCTTGGGTCGCGTATCAGAACCCGCAATAAACCCCGTCGAGAAGCTGGCATATTGTTTACGCCCGTTTACCGGTTGCGATCCTCTACTCCTTAATCTGGCCACGACATTCGATGCTGGACGCACCAACAGCGTATCGTTCCGAGTGGCCACCCAAGTACGTTCATCTACACACATACGATACGAGGCAAGAGTGGGCCCATTGCTGAACAAATAGGTGCCACCCTGATCGACTGCCTCTTCTGCATGGTCTAGACGGACCATGGATTCGTTTCTACGACCGCAACTTGCTGTACATAAACATTTCAGCCCGCTCTACAGAGAAGTATGATAATGATGGATGACGTCTTGACCACCTGTTCATCGGCGTCGGAGAAATCTGGGACACGGCTTGTTTCCCTTTATTAGGAATGAAATTACATGTAATTACTTACCCCTTACACGAAGAGAGCTTGTGTGTTTCTAAAGTAAGAAGTGAATTCAGTCAATTATAACGCCTATAATGCACTACTAAAACTCCCCTGGGTACACACGGCCGAAGCAAGAAAAGGGGCGTGCGCTTTTCCACACGGGGGACTCTGTGCTTTTCCTAAGAACAGAAGCAACGACAAGGGAAGGAAAGAGAGAGAGAGTGAGATAGAGAGCCCCGACCGAGTACCCAGACCAGTAGAACCGTCGAGACACACCGTCCTTCCAGAGTCCAACGTCAAGTTGATACGCGGAGAGGGTGTAGAGAATGACAAGAGGAAAAAGGAGGGCCGAGGCAGATTCAACAATAACGATGGCTTGAACGGGAAGGAAAAAGGGAAAATATATTCCTGACTCCGTGCCAAAAGCCATCGAGGAAAAACGAGATGGTACGGAGAGCAGTCGACCGACCTCCCTGTCCTGGCCTGTTGTCCCCTTTTGTACAGTTTCCGATCCAACAATGATCAGCGGCTTCGGTTCTCGGCCCCCGCATCCGCTCGGGGAACGCGGACGTTTATTAGGCGGCCGGGGCGTCTCCGTGCCAGTCTTCTCCGACCTTGACCCATCTCTGCGTGGTCTGGGAGTTTCCGCCCTTCTTAGGGTGTCGGAACTTGGGGTCGATGACAATGGGGTTGTGGACTTGGGGGATATCTCGGGTAGTCGGAGCGTCCCCTGTCCACTCCTCTCCAAATTTGACCCAACGCCGGCTAGCTTGAGAGCCGCCCTTCTTGTTGCCCCGGAATTTGGGGTCGATTACAATTCGTTTGTTGACCCCCGGGACGTCTACCGTCGAAGACACTCCTCGGTCCTCCACTGCGGGGGCGTCGTCTCCTGTCCACTCCTCTCCGAACTTGACCCACCTCTTCTCGGCCTGGGAGTTTCCCTTGTGGTTGTCACGGAACTTCGGGTCAAGAACGAACCGCTTGCTGACCTGGGGGCGGACTTGCACGCCGTGGTCGCCGACCACGTTCCGCGGCTTGGCAACGATGCTGAAAGGGCGACCGCCGCCGGGAAGGTCGGCCCCCGAAGTCTTGGTGGTATCGGGTTCGTAGTCAACCCCGGGAATGACGATCTTAGAGTGCCCGTAGATGCGGGAGACGGGACGGTCGCCGTCGAATTGGATACCGCGGACCTCGATGCCACGCTTCTTACCGCCGTCTGAGCCTCCTCCGCCGCTTCCTCCCTTATTAATCATGACGTAGACTACAACGGCGATAACAATGACAACGATGATAGTGACTGTTTTAATTCGAGATTTGTGTCAGCCAGACCTATAAATGCGGTGTGATTGGGATAGGGGCAGTGAAGAGACGCACCACAGATGCCCAGGCAGATCCACTTCTTCTTCCGCGTCTTCTTCGCCGTCGTGACGGCGACTGCGATCTCCTCGTTGCCCTTATCGAGGTTCTCGACGACCTCCTCACCCTTCTGCTCGATCAGGGCTACCTGGACCTCCTGCTGGACGACCAGCGTGTCCATGTCCTGGAACAGCTGCGCCAGCTCGATCATCTGACTCTCGATCTTCTGTAGGGCTGCCTGGCGGTCCTGGACAGCGTTGAGGACGGCACGGGCCTGGCCGCGGCGGTCGCTCTGCATAAGGGCTTGCTGGAAGACTTGGCCGCCTTGGGAGCTGTCATCGACGGCGGCACGGACCTCAGACTCGGACGCGTCAGGCCGCACGATCCGGTACTGCCTTGCCATCTGGTCCTGCGTCTTCTTGCGGAAGGCCGACTCGACCTGCTGGTAGTTCTGGATGGCCTGCTTGAGCCGGCGGTCGACGCGCCCAACCTGCGGCGCGTTCTTGGGCTGCCGGCTGTCTGGGCTAGACTTGACCTCGCGAACCCGCTGCGTCAGACCGCGGTACATGGTCATAGTCTCGGACGACAGATTGTCCAGCTGTCGGCTGGTCGAGGACCCAGACGAGGTGTCGGCGTCGTTGAGCGACCGGTCCTGCAGCATCTTCAGCTGGTTCAGGTTGCGCTCGATCTCGTCGACGCCCCTATCGATATCTCGGCACTCATTCAGGATCGCGTTCGGGTCTCCTCGGCCAAAGGAGCTGGCATTCTGGGTGAGAGGGGCCATCTCGACGTTGCTTTCTGCTCGAGGAATCATGTCAGACGCTGCTTCACTCCTGCTCCCTTCATACCTTGCACAGCGGCGAGGCAAACTTACGACCGTAGTCATTTCGCCCAGCTGCCGGCTGGTTATATCTAGGCGGACCTCCTGCCCCTCCTCCCGGTCGTGGTCCCTGGCCGAAAGCGCCCGGTGGCGGAGCGCGAGGTGCAGGCGCTGAATATCCGTCGCCACCTGGGCCGCCCCGCTGGTCAAAGGGGTTCGGTCTGCCTCCGTATCTGTCAATTGAGATTGTTAGCACCTGCTTCAAGTCCCTGCTCGCTGTGTTCGATTGGCGGTTGGTCGTTCGAGGCCTGCGCGAAGAATAACTAACCCGTACTGATCCATTTTGTTAGTGAACACGTCTCGCGGTTACAGATTGCAAGGGAGACAACAGGAAGCAAGAAAGTAGGCGACATTCAAAGACATCCCTCGGGAGCCCACGGTTCGAGGTGCAAGACGCATCTTGGTGCGGGCCACAGTGGAGACGGGATTGAGACAGAAAGGATACGGGGGTGAAACACTGACACTCATGGTGGAGAGGCGAAGCGCGCAAGCGCTGCTCTACGGTGATATCGAATATGCGGCAACAGTCTGGTCAAAGGAGGGATGTTCGCGGTGTTTTTTGGACTTCGAACGAGGTAAAAAGAAAGATAATGAAGGCAATAGGAGGCAACAGAGCAGTCGATTAGGAGAGATTAGCGAAAGGGAGTTTCGAAAGTGGAAAGCGGCCTGGGGGCTGAGGCAGCAAAGGGATCAGGGGAGCAGGGGTGTCCAGCTGTGGCTTGGAGGGTCGGACTGGTATCTCGAAAACGGTTTGGTACGGCTTCGCTAGGGTAATCGTGGTTACTGCGCCGCAGCCGATTGTTCGTAAAGCATAAAAGGTAAGCACGCTTAGGTATGTAGGGCGAAAGCAGGAAACAGGGCAGTCTCGTTTCTCATCAATAATGAGAGGTTTTGGAATTCGTGTCTGAGTTGCAACTACTGCGTACGCCGCAGACAATGGTCTTGTCTCAACCCGCTCGGGTCTGAATCACCGGTGGTTCGCCCGAGACGAGTGGACTGGAGTGGACGGTGTGGGCTCAACCGTTGCAGGGGTTCGTGAGATGGGGTGGTGGATTGGGTGGGTGGTATTCGTTCCTGTAACAGCAAAAGGCCAGAACGAGACAAGTTTCAAGTATGTTGCTGATCGACAGGCGCCCGGGATTGGTTGGCTGAACAGGGATTCTGCGCGTAATTAGGTGTGGGATTAACATGGAAGGTACTGCGTACCTATGGTAGGACTGGAAACCGAGTACAACTCCCATCCAATTCCAAGCTCCCATTGCTGGCGAAACCAGGACGGAGCGAGTCTTGAGAGACATTGCCCTCATGCTTTCTTCCTTTTATCGAGCATTCTCACTCCAGTGGTTCAGACGGCTCCGAATTCTAGCCTCAGCCTCAGCCACTAGCGCTCGCCAAACATCCCAAAATGGAAACATGCCAAGGCATCAGCCGTAAAGCATTGGTTCAGCCAGGCCTGTCATAAATGCGCCACGAAAAGCTTCGCGAAGCCTTGGTGTGCAAGGACCATCGACGAAGTACTCCGTAGGAATGGGTGCTTCATCCTGAATCGTCCCCAATCAAAAATTGGATTCCATCCGGACTCCTAGACCTGGCGACCAGACCACCCCTTCCCATCTGTGCGGCTTATCCGAACAAGTTCAGACGGTCCCGTCAACGCACTGACTGGCCGTGCTCCCAGTTCCGTTCCGTTCATGCCCCGATGCCGCGTTCCGAAACTTCATGTTTCGCCGCACCAGGTTGGGCTACCAGATTAAGCATTCCGTGCCAGATATACGGCCATTACCGAGAACCTCTGTGTCATGCAACCGAGTCCTCGAGCTCCATCCTCGTTCAGCCTCAGCAGTCCCCAGCCGCTTACGGCCAGCTAGCTCCGGGTTGCAAGCTAGCTGGAGTCCAGGACACGCAGATTGACCATATCGTCGTGGTGTGCTAACTGCCAATACCTTAAGCTCAGCTCTCCGATCATCCTAGCCTCCACTGCAGCACCGGTGGGTACTTATGTACTGCATAGTATTCTGACATCCATTCAAAAAGCTACACCACTCGAGCTCTAATGCTCGCTGTCTACTCCGTCCGGGCACCTCTGGCAATGTACAGCTGTAGTGATATCTGATATCCCGCCTCTTCCAGAAAAGCAGCCCCTCTCACCAGCGAACTCCTTACCAACAGTTGGAGCATCACGCCTTCCAACGCCTCTCACGACTCGTTCACCTCCCTGGCAACGATGCTCCTCAAACGACAGAATAGAAAGACACATAGCTCACACTTGACTTAGTCGCCTCCTTGAGCTCGCTGTCACTTCGGTCATACTTGACCATCTTGAACTTTGCCTGGGGCCCTCCTAGATTCTCCTTGTTCAACGCTTCCATCGCTGCCATCATAACTCCAATGGGGTGCCGTCCACAGACTGTGTTGCCCGTCTGCTTCAGGTTTCTGAGGAAGTTCTCATGAATTCCCGTCTCGACTGCGGCAATCGACTGATCATCCAGCATCTTGATGCTCTCATGGATCTCCATGTCCTCCTTCTCGCGGGGAAACACTCCGTACGATACCAGGGCCGGTTCAAGCTCCCCCCCGCATCTCTTGACCCGTTTGGTCTTCTTATCGCATCTGGTCTTGTCAGGGCCCTCAGCCCGCTCCCGTTCCTCGGCCTCGGCCTCGGCCTTCTCCCTCTTTTCCATCTCTCGCGCGGCAGTCAGAGAGAAGTAATTGTAATACTCAAAATTGGGGCCCCAATGGCAGAAATCGGACGAGATGATGAATGCGTTCTCCGGGTCCTTGAGGTATGGGAGCAGGATGTTGCCGAACTTTTTTTCTGCCCTCATACCGGTGCTGCCAACGAGGATCGGCACTATGGTGGGCCACTTGTCCTTGTCTCCCCCATGTGTTTGCTCTAGTCGCTTGTAGAGGTATGGGAGGTGCATCTCCAGGGAGTGCTCCGCAACATCCGCCCAGGTTGGGATTTCGGAGAACATGCCAGTGTCCCACAACTCCCCCACGATGTCCTCGTCGACGACCAGGTTGCCAAAAGGAGTTTTGTACTCCGCAAAGCTAGTCAACGCACAGCCCGGTAGACCGTAATGATGCGACGGCCCGAGGATGAAGACACGCCTGGCGGCGCTGAGGTTTAGGCACTTGTACGCCCAGGCAGCACAACGGCCAGAATAAGAATAACCCGCATGGCTGCTGAGCGGTTAGTGATCCACTGGTTACTCATAGAAACTGGGAATAGAAATAGTCGAGGTAGCTAGGAGACAATCGCCAACATTTCGGACTGAATCCCCGCGTCTGTAAACATGGGACAACGGAGAGTTCGTCTTACGGCGCAATAACGGCTCTTGCTCGAGGGACTGGCAAGCTGATGCCATCAATGGCATCTGGGACGCCTTCTAGGTACTCGTCCAGCTTTGCGGTGAGCGTCGGAGGGTCAGCGTAGTACCATGCGTTCTTTCCACCAGCGTGGGAGTCATCGCGGGTGCCTCTCAACGACATGATATCTGGGGGCGCACACAGTACAGTACCAAGGACGAGAGAAGGGGAAATGTCTTGGCAACCTATTTCAAACAGAATCGCGACAAGAATTAGATTTGACGCCAATTAGGTAGGTAGTAGGATGGGAAAGATGACGAAGCCCAAGGTCATACCAATTATACCTTACTGATTGATCACATGCTCAAACACCCCCTCCTCCGCACCTCCCGTCATCCACCCCTCATCCAGCGGGATGCTGCAGACTGTGGGGCAGTGCCGCTGTCCCCGCCCTCAAATGGGAAGCTCCGAATAGGTACCTTATTAGCTCGGCTGGAATATCCCCCTCTTCTAGCTCAAGACACCCATTCTCCTGGCATGCTATATCTCACTGATTCAGCCCTTGAGGCCGTTAAAATGGCCTTCGAAGGACGAGGCGTCCAGGTCTGCGGTGTTTCCTGCGGTGTTTCGACCATCTCCAAGAACTCTCCCGCTATTTGCCATGTGTTCAGACTCCAGATGATGACCCAATCCTCTGGCTCGGCCCCAAATTTGAGATCCAGCAGTTCCCATGGCTCCCTATACTTCCCATCGAAATTGAAATCGACCTGGATCAAGTGTCCCGAGAGATAGGCCTTCTCTTGGCGGCCATACTGCACGAGGTCGATGCCACACTTCTTCATTTGTCCCACCCAATTCCTCACCGCTGAGCTGTAGGTGGCCCTCCACTTGTTTTTCGTGCTGCCCCGAATCGCCAACCCGTGAAGTAGAGAGATCAACGGCGTCCCTGTCCAGCTATCCTGGTATATCGTGCATTCCTCGACGGTATGGAGGTCGTCGACGGTGGACGCCAAGATAATCTCCCGCGTGAGCTTATTCCAACCCTCAGATAGAGAACCCGCAACTGCACGCTTATTTCCGAGGGCCAGGGCGCATGAGTGAATCAGCGAGACGCCCTCGCGAACAGATTCCGTGATGTCCCTCCGAAGAAGGCGGCAATCCGCGTTGATAAGGTACCTCAGTGAGTCCGGCCGGTAATCACGCCACTGCTCCCTGTAGACATTGTTCCGAACAGCCAATAGTCGGTGCTTCAGGGGCAAGGAGTGGTAGGATGTAACATCCTGGCACCGTTGCTGTGATAGGAAATCAGCTTCCCACGTACGGACCTCGGTATCAACCTGGCCGACGCCCGCCGCATCATCGTCGAAGTCGAACTTCCAGAAGAGGTCCATGATTGCGATTCTTGCCTCTAAATACGCTATGTCTGAGGAAGGACCCCTCAATATACCGGCATACGAAAAGTCCCACCGGACAGTTGACATTCTAGGAGTCCTATTGGCGCGTCAGAAGTCTATTCAAGCCTTAGTAGGGGATAACACGAACTCAAGAAACCCCGGCTCGTCAATGCAGGAGTCAAGCCCAAGCTCGATCAGAGTCTGGCACATCTCGGAATGGTTCTGGAAAACAGCATACTAGACCGGATTGACGAGATTAGCCTGGTGTCTTCTGTCAATGTCAATCGGGTTTGGCAACCTACATGAAGCAATGACCGGCCTTCAGGATCACAGTCGAACGGCGATGCTTCCTCGTTATCAAACATTTCCAGCATCCGATCGAGCTGGCCAAAGTCGGCCAAAGCAAAGATCTCGGAGTCCTTCTCCCGTTTGTTGTAGATGCGGAGGTTGATCTGCTGCCAACCGCTGTAGGCTCTTCGTGATTCGAATTCCCAGATCCTCTTTGTCAACCACATGGGGGGCTGCAAGCGAACGCGATAACTCTTCCCGTCCGGGGAAGATTCGTAAAGGAAGCCGAAGAAATTAGGTTTAAAGGCCTTTCGACGAAATGGTTTCCCATAAGTGGTCTTCAGCCTCCCACGGACAGTTGTGACTGGCAAACGTTTATGCGACTTATTTTCATCCTCGTCCTTATCCTCAGCCTCATCCTCATCAATGTCCACCCGTCCCACACTGGCCACTCTTCTTCCCGGATCGGGCTGGGGGACTTGCACGATAACTTCTAATTCAGTCGACACCTGAGTTAGACTGCTTCTCACCATCTCGTGGGAGACGCGGGTCATGGCCCTGGCATCCGCGTTAGCCTAGCTGCACAAGACCGGGCACGGCAGGGAGTTTCTTACAAGGAATAGCATTCCATAGACAACTTCAGCAACCCCATTGCCTTCTTGAGCTTCTTCTCATGCTGAGCAAGCGCGTCTTTCTTGAGGACCGCCTTCGCCGACGCAATCTTCTTCCTAAGCCTCCCCTTAGACTCAGCGATATCCCGACTCAGATCATTCGCCATCCCCAACAGGGCATCTATAGCCCGCCGGCAGTACTCCTTGCTAAGCTTGGTGGACGAGTCGTCCCAGAGCTCCGGCGGGAGGCTGTTCTGGCCCAGCTGCTTGTCGATCTCCCTGAGCAGCGGGTCCAGCATCTCGAGCTCCTCGAGCAGGTCGGCGATCTGCTCCGGCACGTCCCTCACCTGTTCCCAGAGTCCCTTGAGCTTGATCGCCGCCTTGCCCACCGCGCCCGCGACCTGGCCGATCGCGATGACGCTCGCGACCAGCCCGACTGCCTCGGCCATCTTGCCCGCCGCCGTGTCGTAGCCGAGTTATCGCCGTGGGTGGACGTCGTCGCGGGAGAGCGTAGATGCATGCGCATGGAAAGAGCAGCAGCTTTGAGGCCCCCAGGGCCCATGGGAAGGGGGGAAGGCTGGATATACAGCTTCATCTTCCCTGCCCCATTGAACGGCCTGCCGTGTCGCCCTGTCTCAGGATCTGCGGTCGCGCCAACAACGAGGCGGCCTCCGGAACAGGCCCCGGGAAGGCGCATGAATGGGTGTGGCGCGACAGGCCGGCGCATAGTGGTTGGCGAGTAGGCAGCAAGGCGCAGTTTGCTTCTTGTGAAACGAAACAGGGTCGTCCGATTGGAGCAGGCGTCAAGGTCGTGGCGCCTAACAAGAAGATCCAGTTTTTGATGGGGAAACATGGCCCTCGAAGCAAAAGGCCTGGAAAGTGACTGGTAGCATATTGACTGTTCTGTCAGATAAATTGAAATGACGGAAACTATTGGAGGTAGAGACGCTGCAAAGATGGAGGAGGGTGGGGGTAGAGGCCATCCCTGTAAGCTGGGGGCTGCCTTTGATCCAGGGGTTGCAAGCCGCTTTCTATTGCTGTTGAAGTGTTGATCAGTAACAACAGCTCTCTGGCAGAACTGCCTACCTTCCTAAACCTATGTTGAAAATACGGACTGCGCGTGATTCACCCAAAGAAATATGACAAATGGCAAGCCCATCAAGTCACCAGTAACAAGGATCTATCCATATTCGTATCTATTGCCAACTGCCCCTGGAGCTGCGGTCTCCATGGTAGAGATTCCGAAAAACAAAGGAACAAGTTCCAGCAATAAACCTAACATGAACTACCCATGCAGCTGGCCAACAACCTAAAGCAAAAGGTATCCGTGTAGAATCCATTCCAAGCGCCACCGACGCCCACCCAACCTGGAAATCAAGATGCTGCCAAAGTCAAAGCCGTCCCATCCTCAGCCATGAAGATGAGGCCGCTCCTCGAACTCCAACCAGAGTAAAAGAAAACCATATCCTCAGAATCCTAGCAAACCCCAACCCCCGCCCCACCGGTCCAGCCGATCCCGCCAACCCACACCCTCCGCCCGGCACACACAAGGCACCGCCTCTGCTCCCCGAGGTTGCTGATCGAGCACCCGAAGCAGACGGCCCGCCCGCACGCCCCGCAGCTGCAGTCCCCGAGCCCGCACCCGTCGACGTCCATCGAGGCATCGCCGGCCCCGGGGCCGAGACCTGTGCCGCAGTCCTCGCAGTGTGTCGGGGCGGAGGCGCGGTGGGTGGGTGGTGATGGGGCGATTGTCGAGGAGGTGGGCGGGGCGGGGAGGTTCCAGAAGCTGTGGAGGGAGCGCTGGGCGGTGGCTTGCGTCTGGTTCTGTGTCTGTGGTGGTGGCGGGACGGGAGCCGTGACGGCGGCAGCGACGGTCTGCTGCTGCTGCTGCTGATTGCTGCTGCTGCTCGTGCCGCTGCTGTGGCGGAATTGGTGGTGGTGCTGGGCCGAGTACAGGAGGCTCAGGGTGTGCTCTGCGGGAGTGATATGAGCAGATGATGAGAAGCTGGACTCGCGCGGCGGGTTCTGGTGGTGGGCCCGCCACTCGTAGAACTTACGGTGCACCTCTTCGTCCGACGGCCGGTTGTCGCGGAAGCGCTTCATCGTCCGGCTGGGGAGATGGGATGGCGTGCTGCTGGGGCGGAGGGGCGAGAAGGCGGAGTGGTGTTGGTGGCCGTCCGCGTCCATGGCCATTGTGCTGAAGTCGAAGATGTTGCCGCCGCAGGGACGCGGAGGCGATGAGAATGCCGAGCCGCTCGAGAAGGACAGCTCCGAGTCAGAGCGCTTCCGCTTGAGAACCATCTTGAGGGGGAGGATGGAGGGGCAGAAGTCAAGAATGGGTAGATGGTGAGATTTGGATCAATTGACGCAGTTGAAGAACCAAGAGGACAATCCGGAGACTAGGCAGATCCACGTAATGTCGGGTATGAGAGTTGGAGTCGTGATGAACAGGCTGGTGAGCATCGAACAGCAGCCAATAATTGGGGCGGACCACTTTTTGTATTTTGGGTGCTCAGTTCAGGGGAGGCTGGACGTGAACGCGACCGCGCAATTAGCGCGACACGGGTGCTAAACCCATTAAACTAGTGCGGTTTCTCGTGTTCGCGACAGCCCCACAGACCAAGATGGCCAGCAATGCGGAATACCTATTCTTCAGTATACCTCAATAAGTCCCCAAGCTCAAAGAGCAATCCATTTTCCCCAGACGATTAATTACCAGGTAAGTCTAGTGTACAAGGCCGAAAAAGGCGACGAGACAGTCTACCCAGGACTTAGACAATCTTGATGATCATCTTCCCAATCCCTCCCTTCCCCGATTTCACCTCCTGGGCCCCTTTCTTGACGGCTTCGAGATCGTCGAGACTGGCGACTCGCATGACGGCCTTGACCTTGCCAGTGGCAATCATCTCTCCGGCAGCTTCCAGGTCCTCTCTGTTCCCCGGATTTCCCGATACAAACGCGGCCTGCACGTTGGTGCCCCTCAGCCGGAAACTGTACCACAGCTGGACTAGGTCGAGGATCCAGGCCATCCAGAAGGGTATATTGTGTGCCCCGAGCACCTTCCGCATGGTCTGGGACCCCGGGATGCTGGCAATGGAGACGATGACGCCCGTCTTGGGGTTGGCCAGCGGGAAGGTGCTCGTCAGGCCCCACTGCGTGTTATAGATGAAGTCGACCTTCCCTGCCCCGACTTCCCGGACGATGTTCTGGGTCTGGTAGTCGATGACCTCGTCAACGATGCCCGGCATGTACTGTTCCACCAACGGCACCTTTGGCGTCGATACGGTGGAGATGAGCTTCCCGACCCCGTACACGTTCTTCAGTACCTGGCACCCCACCGAGCCTGTGGCGCTCAGCGCGCCGGGCACGAAAACCGTCTTGCCCTCCAGCGTCCCGCCTGATGGGCCCATGTATTCCAGCGCCAGTTTGATGCTCTGGTAGACGGTGAGCGTGGACCCGGGCAGTGACGCGGCCTCCTCGAACGACAGGTGAGTCGGCTTGGCCAGCAGGAAGCACTCGTTGGTGAGGGCGTATTCGGAGCAGAACCCCGGCGCCTGAGGCGGAAAGGTTGGGTGCTTGAAGTGGAGGCCGTACACTGCATCGCCGACGCGGAAAGCCTTGACCTGGCTTCCCACAGCTGCGACGACGCCGGCTCCCTCCATACCTAACTTGACGGGAAATCTTGGGAGGAGCCATCACACGTTAGCCGGCTTGCATGACGACGACCGTTTTATGAGCTGGTCAAACAACAATCTTACGTTGGAGTAAACAGGAGGCGCATGTCGCCGCCCAACATCTGGGTCTCGCCGGTGTTGAGAGCTGCGGCATGCACCTTTACCAGGATCTCGTCGGGCTCCTGGATCTCTGGCACGGGCAACTCCATCACCTGATAACCTGCCGGCTCGCAATACTTGGGCACTGCGAGCGATCGCATTCTCTTAGGTATCGATGTTGAAGCCATGTTTTACAAACAAATCATGTCACTGTAAAACCGGAATTATTGCAGTTGTGATTGCGCAGTTAAGATGGAAGAGATGTGGCACTCTCAGGTACCTATATTTATAATGCAGCTGGGTGACGTGTATAATATTATTGCCTGGCTGGTTCGGAGGTGACCCCCGAATCAAGCCGCCGACACCACCGGACGCCCGCCGAACGCCCCGCCGAAATGTCGCTAGCCAATTAGCATCCACTATACTCAAGCGTCCCAAGAGTGGTTCAATCCAAACCTCGTGATCGTTCCGGCATGCCTTGAAGAGCCCACAAACGCCTATCCTTCCCAGTTTAACCTCATTGTAGCGCTCTCGGAGAGGTATTTGACGAAAATAAACCTTGTTAACCGAAACTTTCTAGTGGATGTTGACTCGGGTATGACGCTTGTGATCTGGCATCCCTTTGTCTCGCTGTGTGGGTATTTAAAGGAAGCCATCGCCTTGGTTGTATCTACCCATTAGACTGATCAGGGGCGATACTCAGGGCGACGGCAGATGGTAACCACGTACAGCGGTGGGTACACACTCGGAACTCTTGGACTCAGGCTGCCCAGAGAGCAAGGAGAAGCCCAACCGTCAACATTCTTTAAGTGTCCCTGAACCGCAGCCCAGCCGAGTGCTCCCAGCCCGCGGGTACCCATGCGCATCCATTATATACATTAATGGTAGTCTCGAGGCCCCATCAACAACTGTAGGATAGAAAGCAGCCAACCCACGGAGTTCTCGAGAATATCGGGATTGACTCCCTATTTTCTAGGCTTCTGAGATCCAGGAAAGGCTCTCGCCAACTGAAAGAAGACCCATGTGCTGTTTCATCCTCGCCAACTTGGTGACGTTGTTGACCTCCCGTAGAGGGCCTGATCCATCGTATGCATCTTTGGAAACGCTTTCTAGCAAATATACGCCACTTGGTAGCTAAAGAACAAAGCTTGACCTAGGTTGAGACCCCGAGCCCCCGAGGACTGGGCAGGAGAAGGTTAGAGTTCCTAGCTCCAGAGTCATGGGTTCATGGTCGTAAGTTCAGGAAATCGTATAAATGCCTGTCTCTGCCATCAAACGGAAAATGGGTACCCTTTGCTGTTACGTCGTCAAGATCACATCTCCTTTCGCCATATTGTTGACACCCCATGCCGCAAAATTCGATTTCCGAGATCTTCAAGTCAGCAATTCGTGCAAAATGGCGATGCATTCCACGGTTGACCCTGCTTGGGGCGAGACTTGGCCCGTTTACCGGAGAGAAGGAGATATTGTATTCCTCAAGTTCTACAAGTCATTCGACCCTGACGACTACGCGACTCTGATTGAAACAAACTACCTCGATAGAGGAGCTACGTGCCATCCAGTCATCATTCTCAAGCTTTCTTCCGGGGGCACGCATGCCATCATTACAACAGTGTCTGCATACGGCTCCAACGGGCACAACCATCTACCGCCGTGGGAGCAGCCGCGCCACATCCGAAAATGCCCCGAGGACTTCCGTTCCTTTGAGGGCTCCGCGAGAGTGAGCAGCAGCCACAGGCTGCTCTACCTGGAGGACGGAATGGGGATGCCGAAACCGAACGCATCCTGGGTCTACATCCGGAGCCTCTGGACCGTGCCAGTCTCAGTCTTCGCAGTCTTAGACGATGCGCCGCAGGAGCTGCGACTGACGCAGGCCAGCCTAGAGGACCTGCTCCGGCACATGGAGGAAAGATGCGGCCCGCGCCTGCGCGAGTGCCGTGACAGACTCGAGAGCGGCGGAGAGGCCACACCTAGCAGTGGCGCGCCTCTCGACAACAGATATTCTGGCAATTAAATCGTAAGTCTAGAGGATCTCCCATTGAGAATAGTCCACATGATCCCAGAATCTAACACACGAGTTGGACCAATGCAGAATAAGGAAAGCAGCTGGGATCACGACGGCGCAAGGGGTGGTGGGAAACAATATAGACTCAGGGAATATAAATGATACCATCAGAGTTTGCAGGTCGTAGCTATTGTGTGAAGCCGCTGTTGCCCCGCCATTACCATGCCAAGCTAATAATAATAACGCAAGTTGACCTATTTCTCCCAGAAACGAAGGTTGAAGGAGTTAAACTGAATAGACAAAGAACCAAAAATACTTCAAGCTCTTTAACAGTCAGAAATAAGGTGTTGAACGAGGTTGGTTGCCGGGACAGGCAGCTAGCTGCAGATATGTGAAATCATCGTGCCTATGGCTAGCCGCCTTGCCGCGATCTAGGTACCTAGTTTCTTGGGCCTTCGTATGATTCGCTATCTGCGACAGGGGTGATTGGCTACCGGAATTAACCGCCAGGGAACCCCTGGATCAAGATAAAGCCCCTCTTTGCTCCCTTCGTTGCCAGATCTGGGCCACGTCTCGAGTCGCGTGCCCAGTGAACCCTTTTCATGCGCCGCCAGCCCGAATACCCTCATTTTAAGTTAGTTTTTACTTGATGTTGGTTTACCGTCTTGTGTTTTTGGTTTTAGTTGCCTTACATTAATACATCTGCCCCCCCTTCCGGAACCCATTACCCATTCCCCAATGAGGAGCCGTTCCTCGTTTCGTAGCAGGCGCAGGAGCCTCTATCTCGCAATCGCTGGAACAATTGCGCTGTTGTACTACTTTACATTTTATTCATCATCGGACCCGGCGCGTCTACCGGAATCAACACAACTTGAGCGCTACATGAACTATGGCGGTTCATTACCATTCGTGCCGGTGGTGGAGAGCAGCTTCGACTGGAGTCGAGTCAAACTCGAATACCCGCCTGGCCAGCAGAGGTCGTTACCCCAAGGTGGAAACAAGCGTCTTCCACCGATCCAGCATGAGTTTGGCCCGGAATCATCAGCCGCCAGACAAATACGACAAGCGCGACGCGAGGAGGTGAGAAAGCTGTTCCAAAAGAACTGGCAGAGCTACCGGAAGTATGCCTGGAAGATGGATGCACTTCTGCCACTCTCTGCCGCCGGAAGAGACCAGTTTTCCGGCTGGGCTGCCACGCTTGTCGACTCCCTTGATACCCTATGGATCATGGGACTGAGGGAGGAATTCGACGAGGCCGTCGCCGCTGTCGCCGAGATTGACTTTGGGAAGTCGTCGACTTCCAGGGTCAATACCTTCGAGACCACGATTCGCTATCTCGGGGGTCTTTTGGCGGCCTATGATTTGAGCAAACGGAAGGTCCTGCTGACCAAGGCCACCGAGCTCGGCGACCTGATTTACATCGGCTTCAACACGAGACGACGGATGCCAGTTGATTTCATCGATTTCGACCAGGCCCAGAGGGGCGAAGGTTTAACTGTGGAAGGCTTCGTTGTTTCAGCATCGCCCGGAACTCTGTCTCTTGAGATGACCCACCTGTCACAACTGACCGGCGACTCCAAGTATTATGATGCCATTTCCAGGGTCACAGACTTGTTCCACCAGCATCAGAACGAGACGAGCCTTCCAGGCATGTGGCCGATGTACGTCTCCATGAGCAGGCAAGATGTCGTGACTGGACGCTCTTTCACCCTTGGAGGAGGTGCCGACTCCCTCTATGAATACCTTCCCAAGATGTATGCGCTTCTTGGTGGGCTCGAGCCCACATATGACACCATGTCCAGGACATTCATGAACACGGTTGATAAACACCTCTTCTTTCGGCCCATGGTCCCCAATGACGAAGATATACTCATCTCCGGCAACGTTAATATTGGTGATGATGGCGTAGCCCGTCTGGATCCCGAGAGCGAGCACCTCACCTGCTTTATCGGTGGGGTCTTTGCGCTCGCAGGGAAACTATTCGGAAGCCCGAAAGACGTCGAGACTGGTGCGAAGCTGGCGCAGGGATGCGCCTACGCCTATCGGTCCATGGCAACGGGAATGATGCCAGAGCGGTACAACATGGTCCCCTGCGAGTCGCGCAAGAGCTGCAAGTGGAACGAGGAGACGTGGGTCAAGGAGAGGTCAAAACGGCCCGAATGGAAGAAGCATCTGCCCCGGGGCTTCACGACAGCCAAGGATCCCCGCTACATCCTCCGGCCAGAAGCCATCGAGAGTGTCTTTATTCTCTACCGCATCACCGGCGACAAGGCGTACCAAGAGACGGCGTGGGATATGTTCAAGGCTGTCAGCAAAGGCACCAGAACCGAGATCGCAAACGCTGCCGTCCTTGATGTGACCATAGCAGGCGAGGATCTTCCGCAGGAGGACTACATGGAGGTAAGCGACGTCTGCAATGAATTCCCGTCTTGATGGCTGACCAACCTATTTCTCTAGAGCTTCTGGTTGGCCGAAACCTTGAAGTACTTCTACCTCGCTTTCTCCCCGCCTGACTTGATCAGTCTCGACGACTATGTGCTGAATACCGAGGCACATCCTTTCGCGAGACCAAAATGAGTTTGACTCGTGTGTGTACGTATGGGGAATCCTGCAGCAAGTGCAGGACCCTAGTGCCATGGACCTGCAGACTGGGATCTGAATGCATTGCAACTTGGAAGAAAGGTCCATCTATGGCTTGATGGGCTAAGGACACTGTAAGCCGACGAGGCGGCATTCTGGGCTTGTGCGCAAGACTTCGCGACAACCCTCGGAGCAGTTGAGCCGAGTTTGTCAGCGGGGCGACTGCTCGAGACTCATTCCTTGGGTAGCATGGGGGAGGGGGGATTCCAGGGTCCAGAAAGAACAAACAAAGGAACGGTGCCACGGCCCTGAATGCATGAAGTAAACGGAGCAAGGCCTTGGAGGCCCACATCAACTCCAGTGGTTGTATCCTACCTACCTACCTACCTAACCTAGGTAGATCATGATATATAATTTGGGGTACCTATCCTAAACGGTACCCGAAAACTGAGAACAAACTCCGTCAGATCTAATATGCCACAAAACGCTAGGATTTCCCGCCCAAATGCGCCGATATTGCCCTCTTAATTGACGTCATAATTCCACCTACCCCTGGCATACAGGGACTTGATCGCCGCGCTCATGACCTCGAGGAACCGCTCCTCCTCCAAGCGGACGTCATTCCACTGCCACGAGCCACGCCGCCGCACCGCCGCCGCACCGCCGCCGCCCGCGCCGGTGTTGCTTCCCCCGTGTCAGCGGCGGCGCCGGCCTCGGGCGGCGCCGCCCCGTCCTTCCCCGTCCCGACCCGGCCCTGCTCCGCCGGCGCGACCGACGCGGCGTGCACGCGGAAGAACCCGAGCCCCCTCATGGCGGCGAGGTTGCGGAATCCGTTGTGGCGCAGGTCCGCGGGCTGGATCTCGACGACGGCCCCGACCCCGGCGCCGTTGTCGTCGCTACCACCCCCGCCCTCGACATTGCGTGGGTCAACCCGGCGCCGTGCACGCCGACGAGGACGTCGGTCGTCCGGGCCACGCGCAGTTGCTCCGCGAAGGGGAGGGCGGCGAAGTCGACGAGGCGCACGGACACGTGCGGGACGCGCTCGCGCAGGGCCGCGAACAGGCGATCCTGGTCTTGCAGGCGGCGGGTCGAGGTGCGGTCGATGAAGGTGACGACGATGGCGTTGTTGTTATCGTTGTCGTCGTCTGTGGTCTTGTTCGTTGGTGGCGCGGGAGGGTCGTCCGTGACGCCGTAGAAGTCGAGCACTCGCCGCGAGAAGGCATTCAGGGTGGTGGCGGCAGTGCAGCGGCGTACCGCCCAGTCGTTCTGCCACAGGGGGTTGCTCCCGCCGGCAAGGGGGACGATTATGCTCGCGTTGGTGGAGGGGGCGGGGGCGGCAAGCAGCTCCTTCAAGCGGACGGGCTTGCGCTTTGCGAAAAGCGTCCACAGGTCGAAGTATGGTCCGTCCTGGCGGTCATCTAGGATGACGACTTGGGTGTCCGGGGCGTCTTCTTTCGGCCGGAAGAAGGGCCCGTCATTCCCCAGGGGGTCACGAGTCATGCTCAACACGTCAAGTGTCATCCCCGCCGACCATATCTCCATCAGGCAGTGCCAGGGGTTCGTCTCGCCCTCGCGCTTGAGAAGCAGGTAGAACCGCGGCGGAGTCGCCTTATCGTTTGTGTTCTTGCCCTGGTCCTCTGTCCGATCGGGGGTCGCCAGCCCGGCTTTTATATCGACGAAGTTGTTGAAGATTTGGGACGGCCCAGTGTCGTACCAGTATCCTCGAATTTGATCGAATTGTACTAATCCGCTGGCGGTTTCGTTCGCATTCAGAGTCCTGACAGGGCACTGGAGAGCAAATTTGCTCGTTCCAACGTCGAAGGATGCCCCACGCCCTATACAGAATGAGTCTACTAACCCGCCCGAAGCTTTCCTACTGTGGAAGCATGTCAAGTTCGATCGAGAGCCCGGCGAGCAATACGAGCCGGCATGATCGCGGAGATCTTGCAGGTACTTCGAGGAGAATCGATCGGCACAAAACCCAGGCTGGGACTGTCCCGACTCATGATAATCTGGCGGTAGTGGAAGGAGTTCGGGCTGTGCTTGTTTCGACCATGAGCGACGACGCAGATTGTGGTCTCAAGCCTGAGACGGGACTAGCGGTATAGCTTTGCCACGCTGGATAGGAGAGAGTAATGGTTGATAGGAGGAGGAGGGCGAGGATGGACACGATAGCACGCCTCTGGTTGAAGAAGGATCGAACAATCATACCGGCCGCCAACCAAGTGTGCATAGAGACATCATGGACAGGAACTGCGAGCGCAGAGGACAAGAGATAAATATAGGGGTTCCAGGAGACATCGCTGGAGAGGGTGACGAGAGGGCTTGGGCCGGGGGAACAAGTGAGCAGGCTTGCTTCGACCTGGAAAAAGCTGGGGAGGAACGGGGAGGTGGTGTGGATCCCTGCCTCGCTCCGCTGTGTCGGTGTCATCTTGAGCACCTGACTGGACCAGCTCTCAAAATTCCCCCTATCGACAACCCCTGTACCGATGCCTCTGCACTGGCGTAAAACAACATCGAGTGTAACTAGGTACTGTTGATCCAATCCTCGTCAGACTAGTGTATCTACCAACACCGGCTCGCCGCCTGATTCGCGTTTCGGTCGATGCTTTGGCAGCGCGGCATAAGCATGTAAGCGCGCGCTGGAATCCAGTCTATTCCGCACCGCAGAGAGGCGAACACGTAGCGGTGTACCATAGTAGAGAGCAACCTATCCATTTGACTCGCTAAGCTCAGTCTGTGGTCCAGTGACTTTTGAGCGCAGTCCACTTAGCGGCGTGCTCCACTATCTGATCCAAACTCTCGGGTCGGCCCGCGCATTAACATTGGTCAAACTGTACAGGGGGGTCATCCTACCCAATTAGGTGGGCACCAAGAGTCTCATGAGTGATGGGTTTAACCAACATCGTTCGGTTGTGATTTGACAGTGCTGTGTCGCAGCACCAGGTTCTGAACGGGGATGAATGACCGCAAGGATTCCCCTTGAACCGGGGAAGCTGCTGACTGTCGACGTTGCTGGGTGGGTCCTGCAACATCACTGGCTTGGGAGTTCCAAATGCTTGGACCCAGTATTCACGTGATTTCGCGTGGTGACGTGTTCTCGTATAACGCGCCTAAACAACCGAAATCTTCAAGCCGGTGACTGAACTTGAAGACATCATAGATCGGCACCCCACGCGTATCGCAGAATCATGCGATGACGGGGACAGACACCCTTGACTATTTCCTTCATTTCCTCTCCTTTGACGGTACAATATGGCCCCCGAGGGGGTTGCAGAAGACGATGTCTCGAAAGAAGATACGGTTGAAGACGTCAAGTCTGACCATGAAACTCTGAAATACCAGCTCCTCGGTCCATCCTTGACCAAAGCTGGGCAGAAAAGCGTTGATCAATCCAAAGTACTACTTCCCCCCTTCTGCCGCTTGGTTTGCGCCGCACCTAACCTAACCTGCAACGCTGTACGCAGGTGTCCGAGATCATCTACAATGCTTCCAAAGGCTCCAAGTTCTTCAACCACGAAGAGGCCAGGGACAAGGTCCTCACGGCCAAGATCTCCCAGATCCTGGCAAAGAAGCAGCACCTCGAGACCCAGGACCTGACCCGCGAGCTCCGACACGCCGACACCTTGATCGCCCAGCTGGAGCTCTCGCGCGACCTCAGCCAGACGATCGTGCACATCGACTGCGACGCCTTCTACGCGGCGGTGGAGCAGCTTGACCGGCCCGAGCTGGCGGAGCTCCCCTTCGCCGTCGGCGGCGGCGTGCTGACGACGTGCAACTACGTGGCCCGGCGCCACGGCTGCCGGAGTGGCATGGCCGCCTTCGTGGCCCGACGCCTGTGCCCGGACCTCATCGTGCTGCCGCTCAACTTTGACAAGTACCGCGCCAAGGCCGCCGAGGTGCGTGCCGTCCTCGCGCGCTACGACCCGCGCTTCGAGTCCGCCAGCATCGACGAGGCCTACCTCAACCTGACCGCCCACTGCGCCGAGCACGGGCTCGCCCCCGACGAGACCGTCCGCCTCCTGCGCGCCGAGATCTACGCCTCCGCCGGCATCACCGTCTCGGCGGGCATAGCCGCCAACGCGAGGCTGGCCAAGATCTGCTCCGACATCAACAAGCCCAACGGCCAGTATCTCCTGCCGAGCGACCGCACCGCCATCATGGCCTTTATGCGCGACCTGCCGTGCCGCAAGGTCAACGGGGTGGGCCGCGTGCTGGAGCGGGAGCTGTCGGCGCTGGGCATCGTGACGTGCGGCGACGTGTACGTGCAACGGCAGTTCCTGGGCCGGCTGTTCGGGGACAAGGTATACGGGTTCCTGCTCCGCTGCCACCTCGGGCTGGGCAGGACGAGCGTCCAGCCGGCCGAGGAGTACGGGCGCAAGAGCGTCGGCACCGAGAGCACGTTCCGCGACATGTCGGACCCGGCGCTGCTGCGCGACAAGCTGCGGTCGACCGCCGTCGAGCTGGAAGGGGACTTGCACAAGGCCGCGTGCAAGGGCCGCACCCTCGTGCTCAAGGTCAAGCTGCACACGTACGAGGTGTTCACGCGCCAGGCCGTCCCGCCCAAGGCGGTCTGTCTGGCAGACGATCTGTACGGCTACGCCCTGCCCATGCTCACCAAGCTGGAGCAGGAGATCCCCGGGATGAAGCTCCGGCTGATGGGCTTGCGGTGTACGAATCTCGTGAGCACCAAGAAGCCCGACACCCTTGCATTTTTTGGCCTTAAACCGAGGCGGGCAGACTCCGCGGACGGTGGAGACCGACGAGACTCGGTTAGCGACAAGATAAAGGCAAACGATAACCCCACAGAAGACGGGCAATGGGAGCAATGGCCAGAAGAAGAAGTGCTCGGCGACTACGAAGCAGACATGGAAGAGCACGGGGAGGAACTGAGAGGAGGTACGGGCGCGAGTCCCGACACGACGACGCACGCAAAGGAGATACCGCCCAAGACGAAGGAGCCCGCCCCGGAGGAGGAGGAGGAGGAGGAGGAGGAGGAGTGGTGGGACTGCCCGGTTTGTAGCCGGCCCCAGGCCGCGGACGAGAGGCTGTTCAACGAGCACATCGACTTGTGCCTGTCGCGGCAGACCATCCGAGACGCCGTGCAGCAGCACGCCGACCTCCTGTCAGCTGATGGCGGCGACGCTGCGGCGACGCCCGAGGGTAAGAGGCAGAGGGCGGGGGCGGGGACCGGGGCGGAGAAGAAGAGAGGGAGGCCTGCGTCCGGACCGGATCCCAGGCAGAAGAAGCTGTGTTTTGGTTGATGATACGGTGGAAGGGGGACATGTATGGTGCTGAGCTTTTAGTATAAAATCACGACATCACGAGCAATGAACGAGAGTTTCCCATTACGGGCAGGGTGCCATTGTTAGGGAGGCCATTTGACCTACTATTTTCCTCGACACTTTCAGGCCTAGTAAACGGCGGAAATCGAAACCAAGTGTTTCGTATGTCGGGAGTTACTATACATACATGGGTGGGGGGTATATCTACCTAGGTCTCGGCGCCCACCCCGCGGCTCGTCAAGCTCCGCCTGATACGGTGGTCCTCCTCCTCGTCGCGGTGCAGCTGCTCTCCGGGCAGGCGGACGGCGCCGTCGAGGGCGACGGGCAGGCCGCGGTGCCGGCCGCGGATCATAACGAGGCATAGTACCAGCTTGCTGCCGCGGCGCCAGCCGCCGGAGAAGCTGTACGACTCGGCGGGCAGGCCGACCGAGATGCCGACGCAGCCGAACGCCGACACCACCTCGAAGATGATGTTGAAGACGGAGAAGGCGACCGGGTCGGCGAGGAAGTGGCCCGTCTCGATGGTCGTGATCACCAGGACCGCAATCACCAGCCACCAGATGTCGTGCGCCAGCTGGCCCTGCACCTGCTGGCTGACGAAGCCGATCGGGGACTCAGGGCCCTCGCCGAACGGGGGCGGCGGCTGTGCCGTGACGCCGACGCCGAAGAACGTCGCGAACGAGTGCCGGAGGGCGCGGCCAAGCTCGGCCGACGTGCCGGAGCGGCTGGCGCGGTGGGTCGATGCGGCGACGCCGGAGACGGGGGACGAAGGGTGGCGGAGTAGCGCGGTAGCCTCCTCCGGATCGTCCTGTGGGGGAGCCTCGTCGCCGACATAGATGCCGAGGGACCGCTCCTCGTAGACATTGGAGTGTCGCATGGTGATCACGACTGGGTACACAGAGATGTACATCATAATCACGTAAAGCACCTGCAAACCAATGTAGACCGACGATATGGGAACGACATAGAATCCGCCAGAACGGACAGCTTTGTTTTTTTTGACGCGAGTTAGGTCCAGAGCCCTGAAAGTGTGTGGAGCATTGGATGGGCTGGGGCGGCGGTGCAATGAAGGGAAGGCGCTACTTTACCTAAGCCCTGGAATAGCCCGTCGAGGATACGAGACCCAGTAGGAATGTTATCGATCGCGGGGTTTCCAAGATTGAGGAGCTCAAAGGCAACCCAGTCCACAGAGTTCAAACAGACCAGCATGAAGACCAACCACCAGGTCGGGCGGGACGGGAAGAGGTTCGTATAGACTCGACGGGGGTACTTCAGGATGAATTTGAGGGTTTCCTTGAGGTCACATAAATCGTCGTCGGCAGTCGTCCAAGTCAACGCCTTGAACAGCGACCAAAAGATCAGACGCAGGAAGACGGGATAGGCCGTGTTTCCGGCCAGGATCATGAGGCCCATGGTGATGAGGACGAAGTACGAGTTCTGGTAAGGAACCATGTTGGCATCAAGGAGCGACATGCCGCAGTTGTTGAACGCCGAGAAGCCGTTGAAGATGCCAAGCCACCAGGGATTGATGCCGTTGCTGATTGCCGGTTCGGGTAGATTGTTGTTGATCCACGCTCCCAGGGCGACGCAGCCCAAGAATTGCCACAGGAACGAGTACAGCGGGACAACAATGGCGAGTAACTTCAAGGCCCGGTACTCGTAGCCGCCGAGATATTCGCGCTCCTCCGAGGTAAGGTCATGGAACTGGCCATTTCGACCAACGCTCCGGTTCGAAAGAAAATCCTGTATGTTGGCATGGTGCTTTTCAGGGTCCGAAGATGCCTTGGTTGGGTTACTCCGGCGGGTAGGCTGGTGCTCAGCGAGGTAGGAACTCGATGTAGCAAGCCCATGGGCACCGGCATCCAGACGGGGGCTATTGACGAAGGTGATATGGTCGGATTGGCTGGTAGGGGTCGCAGCTTGTCTCAGGATATCAGATGGTTCGGGGGATTGGGAGGTTGGCCCGTCAACTTCCAGTGGCAGCTCGCTCCGTCCTCGGGACTCTGGGCTTGATGGGGTGAGGGCTGCCTGGTCTACCGGCGTGTTCCGGGCCTTTCGAAATAAACCAAATCTCCGGAGCAGTGAAAGATGAGAAGATGTACTGTAGCGAGTCCTGCTGCGCTTTCTAATGCGGTCGGCTCGAACGATATCTTCAAATCGTTTCTCAAAGGCGTGCTTCCGGGCGACGACAGTCCAGATAGAGACCCAGATTGCGCTTCCCAGTATTATGAGGAAACACAAGAGGACCTGCTGCCAAGTTGTCATCTGGCTGAGATTGACCGTGTTCAAGCCAGTCTCAGTCATGGCCGACACGACCACAAAGAGGCTGTCGGTGTAGCTGATGCTGAAGGCTGGATCCGACGAGCCCCAGAAGATGAGGGACGCGATGAGGCACACAGCCACAAAGTATGCATAGTGAAGGGTGATGAAATTGAGGGGGGGCAGGCATGCCCGCAGCCTGGAGAGAAGTTTCACGGCGCGAGGGTGGCCATCGGCAAACCCATCTCGTCGCGACATGGTCCACAGGCGCCGAGGAAGGGGGACGGAAGAAACTCGAGGTCGAACGAATATCCTTGGAAGTGCAGCTGCCAATTAAAACTCCATGACGAAACCGATAAAAACTGTTCTCAAATGTGAAATCTGGTGGCTGTCTGTCGACGACAAATTTCCAATTTCCACAGGCTTGGAGGGCTGAGGTGGTTGCTACAAGGCCTCCTAAGCGAAGGCCAAATCGAGATCCATGCGATTAGGATTAGAATAAAAGGGCCAATCCAACAACTGATAATGAGGAAGAAAGAAAAAGAAAAAGTCCACCAACGGTGAATGGAACGAGCCCCCAGAATGCTGCAAGTAGAGGAGCGTCGTTAAAGTGAATGAAATCTGAAGTTAGCGCCAATGATGAGAAAATCGAGGCTCGGCCCGGCAAGAGCGATCAAGCATCGGCATTTTTTGGCGATACCCCTAGCAATGGGTTCGGGTTGTCTTGGCAGCACAACTAGCCTGTACCTGTCACCTTAAACGCACCTATACTGGAAGCTTCAAGGACCGGTGCACAAATAAACACATTTAATGTTAGTCTGTACATGTTCGAGGAATGAATGCTGCCTGTGTCTCCAACATTCAGGATTGACCTCTTGTCTCTGATGTAACATGCAAGCTGCAAGGTCCACGCCAGCCCCATTTTCCTCAGGTCTAGGAACCCCCATCTCTCGCACCTCCGTTTTGCCGCCCTAGAGCTCGTTGTGCTCTTGGGTGTCGTCCGTATCGGCAATGACAGTCTTGGCCGCCTCTGCCGCCTCCTTCACAACGCTCGCCACCTTCTCGCCGACCTTCTGTGTTGCCTCCTCAGCCTCCTCGCTGGCTGTCGAAGCGGGACTGTCGGTGGCGGGCTTGGTCACGATCGACTCGGGCTTCGGGACACCATCGATGCCCATCAACTCGGTCTCGAAGACTTTGCGGGAATTAGCAAGGGTGACTGATCTATAATAGAGACGCCAGTAAGGTCGAGATACGCACTGAGGGTGGATCCGGCAGGGATGGAGCCGATGGCTCGCTGGCCGTAGCCGTAGCTGGGCGGAACGGTAAGGGTGCGCTTCTCGCCGATGCACATGTCAAGAAGACCCTCGTCCCATCTGTTCGACAGGTCAGAGATTCGTTTCGACTTGGAAGATGGGTAGGTGAGCCATGTACTGACCCCTTGATCACCTGGCCACCGCCGAGCTTGAAGCTGAAGGGCGTGCCGCGGTCATAGCCTGGTGGTGGGTGTGGAAGCACCGCAAGTCAGCCTCACACTCGACAGATAACCGTTGGCAGGGCAAACAGGGCGGACTGACTAGCATCGAACTTGGAGCCATCCGACTGCAAAGTTCCCTTGTAGTGGACGTTGATCTTGTCTCCCTTCTGAGTCTTGCGTTCGCACTCGACAGGGAGCGTGACGTCAATGTTCAGCTCATCCGCAGCGAGGGCACCAACGGCTGCAGAGGCGAGAAGAGACAGGGACAGAAGGAGGCCCTGCATTGTGAGGACTGCGACTGAGCTTGCTATTGATTGGTTTCGGTTGGGGTCGGGGTCGGACAGGATTAGGTAGCTCGACGCAGGTACAGAAAACTAAAACGGGGCTGTAGAATTAGGTACTGGTGGCAGTCTCAGATTCACAGATGCGAAGTGGTCCGAATTGGTTGGGGGGAGGTCGGCGTGCGCTCTTCTTGATTTCCAACTTGTTTGATGGTTGACGATAACGGGATGACAGGTGTCTCTGATTCAAAGCCAAATGTACACAGCCAGCGTCATTGGCGAATCAGAATCAGCCAGGCATGGAAACTAACCCCACTAGGTCCCCCAAGTAGGTAGGACTGACAACCTAACCTACTAGACCAGTTTGACCAGGCGCAGGGTCCAGGACTTCCAGGGCATGGTAATTACGAATTCATTGTCGCAATTCTCCACACGTCAAGATTCTGGACCCGGTATTGACAAGCCTCACCATCCAGTCCGCGTACGCCCAACCACAGAGTGGAGGAAACTGACCCACTAATTGATCATCGAGCTCGCCACTTGGACGCCGAGGCTGTTTCCAGGTCTGATGGTTGACTGGCTGTCGATACCCTTTTGGCCCGGTTGGGCGCATTGGGTGGAAGGTTTCTTCCACGCCGCTCTGGCGAACCACTCACTGCACTTCGTCATCGACGCGACTGCAGGCCCGAAGGGCTGGGTAGATTGGTTCCAACTTGGGCCGATTTCACAGGCCAATTCGAGACGGACTTGACGGTACCTGCCTCGTGCTTCATGCAAGCATTTCAAGCCATATCAGGGCTTCATTTTAATGCCAACAGTCAAGTAGGTGAGTCATAGGTGGCTGAGATAGAGAGAGTGAATTAGCGGCGTTCACAGAGTCCTCAGCAGGTTCCTTACCTGCCGACCTTACCTTACGTAGGCACCAGGTATCGTCTCTCGAATCCGAAACATCAGCCATGGAAATTGGAGGAACGGGCGGGAACAGTGCTGCTGCCTTGCGTGTCTAGACCTGACAGGGACCCGGCTGGGTGGCCAAACTGAGGCCCTGAGGCCCAGACAGACAGGAAGATGGAATTGTTTCGTTCCTTCAGATCGGCACGGCCGCAAAGAGGCCCTGGCAGTCGGTGACTGCATGTACACCACTTCGCCCACCTTCCCCGCCTCTGGGCAATTCTCCAACTCCCGTCCTGCTCGGCGCAACAATCCGAACGTCCAGGTCCCCGTACCTACCTAGCTAATCCGCCTCGCCTTGTGCATCGTCACGGGTTGCCATCAGGTTTGGTCATGATTGCCCTGCCACTTCACCTTCCGCGCTACTCAGCCTCCTGTTCTTGACTCCCGACTGAGGGCTTTTTGTTCCTGGCATTAGGGCTTTTTGCCACACCACACACCTTCCAAGCTTCTGACGCCAGGCACCTACGGTTTCCCTCACAACGCCCTCAAACCTCCACCCCACCCCCCTGCTGTCCTCGCCCGTTTCCTTGCCGTTGACTCATTCCCTTACTCCCTGGACTTGTTCCGAGCTACCTAGCGCGCTTGCAAGGCAGCCGCTCCAATGGATTAGGATGTTTTCCTCGTTTGTCTAGGTGCCTCACCGAAATGCCCCGTCGTCCCCCTGTTACGAGGAATGAGGCTGTCTAGCTGTTTGGCAAACCGGGAGGCCCAATCTTGGAATTGGCTTCCCCGGTGTCTGGTCCCAGCTAGACAGCTTGGTAAAAGTTAGGTATATATATTCTCATTGTCTCCTCTGTCTCTCGTCCTCTCCCTCGTCCTTTGTACCATTGAACTCACAAAGCCACCCATCTCATCGTCCCTGCATCTGAACCCCTTGGACAAAGTTGCCAACTCTTCTTGTCCACACCAAGCCAGCCCAACAATATCATTCACTGTCAAAGAATGCCCCACCACCAATCCAAGTACGCAAGCGACGTTGTCATTGTTCAGGATTACTACCGGCCTTCCTCAAGCTCCTCTTCCTCATCAGCTGGCCGTTCATCCTACGAGTCAAGCCGATCCAGCTCTACCAGCATGGATTCCAGAGCCTCCCAGTACACGCAGTACTCCAACTCGTCCACCTCGTCCGGGCCACCGGCGAGGGACGGCGCCTACCGGGATCCCAAGTCCAGTAAGACGAATGGTGTCCCTGTGTCGGTCGCCCACCCACTAACACAACACGCAGGCGGCAACTATGTCGATGTTGTACAGCGCAAAGGCCCCAAGGGCGTCGTCGTCGTCATCAACCACCACATGGCCAACCCGGATCCCAACGAGCCTCGGTCTTCCGATTGCCGATAAATTGTCGGCCGTGGGTCTCACATCGTCGACTCTCACCGTCGTCTGTAACATTATCTGGGCGTTTTGGGGGAAATTAGGACATATCATTGCATCATTTGCAATTCTCATGAGGACTATGAATTTGGCGCGGCCCAAGTTGGCTTATCATCATTTCTTTGGTGCCTTAATTGGCGAAAGGCAAGGCAATTCGGAGTTGGGGTGGTTTGGGTTGGTTTTCGTTGGTTTTCTCGGCTTGTATCAGACTGCTTAAGCTAGAGATGAATTTGTCGTTGGCTGCCTCATGGCACACAGCCTGCGAGCCTTGTTTGTACGGTCATCTGATACAAGATACCGGAACAGAATAAAAACAAGAAATTGCTGTCAACCTTGAGGTTGGTAATGCATAGGAAAATACAACCTCCATTTGGTTCATTCCCTCCAATGAAGTCACCTTCAATGTGAACAGCATCCAAGGACAAGCCCTGAATGCAGATGCAGTGCACAGGTCGATCGCTTGGACCTGCATATTTGCACCAGGTCGATGGTTGGTTGCTTAGTGAGACGCGCAGCTTGGCCACCAGGAAAAGTGCAAGCAACTAGGCCATTCATTGGATGGCCCCCTGGCAACTCGTGGCAATGCATGGAAAGGCAGACACAGATACCTTTCTTTTGGCAAATCCATCGTCATCCACATCTGAATCAGCAGCGACCTTGGTAGAGTGAAGAGACCTATCTGCCTACTTAAACTAGATCCCAACGTCACAGTCCCATGGCCATATAAGCCGTTCCAGGTGCTCCGAAGCAAATAGAACCGTGAGTTGATCCGTGCCAATCCCAGTCAAGCCCTGATCCATACTTGAGTTCCGGCCAAAGCAACTCCGCCGAGTCCTAGCATCATAGCATCAGGCATCCAACAATATTGGGCTGTTTCTCACGAAGCCAAACCAAACTCCAAAGCACGTCCGAGGAAAAGAGAAAGGGGGAAAAAAGACCACGCATTAGCCCAGAGCAACCAAGCCCCATACCGTTATCGGATTACAGGGAAACCCACACACACACACACACACACACGGAGAGGGTAACGGAGGGCAGCGAGAACAAGCCCCCTTTTTGGGGGAGGTAATCGACCAGGAAAGCATCATCAAGCGCCGCCCTCCCGCTTGGCGTACTCGTCCTCAATCGCCTCGGCGTACCTCTCCTCGGGCGACCGCGGGTCCCCGTGCAGCACGCCGCCGCGCACCAGCTCCTCGGGCGACGGCCGGTGGGCGATCTTCTCGTTGAGCGAGTTGGCGCGCATGTGCCTCTCGAGCTGGTTGAGTTGGCGGGCCTGTGTTAGCATTGTCCGGGAGGGTGGCCTCGGCGTGGCGTGGTAATCGACTCACCTCCTTCTGGTGGGCTAGAAGGCTTGGGGCGGCGGTGGAGGCGGGGAGGATGTTCTCTGGGGTTGTATGTTAGTTGGTAGTAGGTTAAGGCGCTTTTTGGGTGGTAGGGTGGTTGGTTTTGGTTTTGGGTTGGGTGTTGATGCCCGAGTCGTCATCAGGCTTCGAGGGGAGTGAAGGTGGGGTAGTGAAAGGGGGAAAACATACTCTGAACCAGCTCCTCCCGTTCGGGCCGGTGCATCAGATGCTGCACCAGCGAGTTCTTGCGCTCCGGATTTGGCCGGCTGGGGGAGATGGGAGTGTCGTCGATGGGAGCATTGTCGATGGGAGATTGGCTGGTCTTGTTGTCGTCGGCCATTTTGCTGGATCGGTCAAGATACTTTGGGCTCAGCTGGATAGAATGGCAAGACAGGTAAGGTATGGCAGGTAGTTATCAGAGAGGGTCTTTGTTGATGATGGTTGAAGAGAAGTTGCGGGGAAGCAACGGTAAGAGGAGAAGAGATGGGAGCCAACTCTGTTTAATATGGAGCTGGGGTCTGACATCTGCTGGTTGGGGGGGCAGCAAAGGAGAGCTACTGATATGACGATGATCATGACTCCCTGCCCCTCCTTCGTTGATCTGGCAGCGGGACGGGGCCATGTGATTGGATTGGCCCCGCACCATCCGCCATAACAAAGCGACCTGGGTGGCATTCCCCTTGCGCTGGTGATGCAATGCGGTACTGTAGGTATCAGTGGGCTGACCTTGATGCTACAGGGATCAGAGCTTCTGCTCGACTCCACCGGCGCCAGGCCAGACTCGCCCACTCTGATGATCTCCAGTACTACCGTATAGTCTCTTTACACATGTGTCATGTATGGTCTGTGCAGTTTGCTGGGAGCTGGTTACCTAGGTAGGTCAGCATCGCCATGGTTACTTTCCTAGATACTACCCTGCCTGTAACTGAGACTGAGACATACATACCTATTTCGCACACCCGTGCCTTACAGAATCATGACTTGCCAATGCCCGGCACCTCCCGAGCCGCTGCCAAGCGCTGAACGACACTTCAAGCTTCTCCACGCTGCAGGCTGCAGCTACAAGGGTGCACCTCACCAAACCCCTGCGAAACCACCTGAAGCCAGCGCTAACTCCCTGCAAGCACACTAGCGTAATTGCTGAAGGTGCAAATCAGTTCATACGTAATTGTGGATTTTGGGGGAAACTGCACCTCGCTTCTCCTCGGCCTGTCATGCGATTCCGCCATCCCTAGGGTGGACAATCAAGTTGCCGTTCGACTCCCAAAATAGCATCATGGGGCAGGCCCAGTCAGAGGAGCGACCGATCCCCTCGCACGAGGAGATCACAAAGGAGCTGGTAAGTTGGATAGTCCAGCCCGTCGAGATTGGATCGTGCCTAATACCTATCCCTTTCTCCCAGGCCCATAAGTTCGCCGAGAAGTGCTTCACTTCCCTCGAGATATACTCGTTCAAGGATGTCTTCAAGGGCCTGGCCGACAACCAGCAGAATGTCCGCTACCTCAAAGAAGACACCGTCGCCCGCTTCCTCGAGATCCCGGACATCCTCGGCGCCTCGCCCGTCCTCTTCCAAATGATCTCCTACATGGGCGCCTTCCCGTTCCTGCAGGACGCCCCCGCCGTGCTGGGCCTGGAAGAGATGGTCATTGTCATTACCATCATGACCGAGCGGTATAAGAGAGTCTTGGCGAAGGGCTCTACCGACCGCCGGAAGCTTCTCTACAAGAGCCTAGCTGTGTACGACCGGAAACTGTCCGAGATGGTTGGAGGGAAGGAGAAGGCACAATCAGGAGGAGAGCAGGCGAAACAAGAGGCTACCGATGGGCAAGAAGCAAGAACCCACGCCACTGGGTTCGCAGTCGACGAGCCTGGGGATGAGAGCGACGATGTCGATGAGGAGAACGAGGACGACGGCCTGGTCATGGCGGCTTTTGAGTCCCTGGATTACGTCGATGTCTTCAAGCATGGGAACGCGCCGACAATCCACGGAGCCATGATACCGGCGGATAACTTCCGCAAGCTGATCATGTTACTCCTTCTGATTGCGCCTCTGGAACCCCAACAGAAGCTTTCCCAGCAGTCGGATCGACTGGTCGGCGAAAGGCTGGAGGGCTTACGGACAACCGCAGAGAGCATTCTCGCAACGTTTCTGAACGTGGAAGAATCCCCGGGTATTAAGTTCAAGCACTTCAACACCATCATCCCAGCCTCGTTCCCCTATATGTTCAATGGCTTCAATAACCTCTTCGAAAGCTTCCTCTTCTCCAAGAACCTCGACTTCACCAAGCTCAAGGACGGAACCGCCCCGCCCCGAACCCTGCATCCCCCCGAACCCGTCCAACCGTTGCTCCAAAATGAGGCATCCATCATGAACCTCAACGTCATGTCCCAGCTCTCCTTCTTCATCCCCGGCTCCACGCTCTTCCGGCGGCTGCGCCTGCTCTACTCGGGCGATGACGACGGCTTCAGCATGGGCAGCTTCGAGACCAAGGTCTTCAACTGGCGCGCCCCCACCATCCTGCTCGTCCGCGGCGCCCGCCTGGAGGAGGAGGACCCGGACCGCCACCGCCACCGCTCCGGCGGCGGACCCGAGTCGGCGTTCGCCGCGACCCTCCCCGCCCGGCGCTTCCCGCCTGGGACCCGGGGCGGGCCCGGCGAGGCCCTGACCTTTGGCGTCTACATCGGCGAGCCGTGGCGGCACACGCACCGCGAGTGCTTCGGGGGCGAGGACGCGGTGCTGTTCCAGCTGGAGCCCGTGCACGACGTGTTCCGGACGTCCAGTCTCAACCGGGACTACGTCTCGTTCAGGCGGCCGTCCCCCTCGGCGCCGGCGGGGCACGCCGGTGTCTCGTTCGGGTGCCCGCCGCCGCAGCGGCCGACGTTGCAGGCGTATGGGCGGTCGGGCGGCAGCGGCAGCGGCACCATCATCCCGCTCGGCCCCGTGTCGCTGGTGCTGGACGACAGCTTCGAATTTGGCTGCTTCACACACGACCACGGCTCGCGCGGCGGCGCGTTCCGCAACAGCGTGTCGCGGAGGTTCGACTTCCAGGACCGCTTCGAGGTGCAGAGCCTGGAGGTTTGGGGCTGCGGTGGCGACGCCGAGGCCAAGATACAGGCCGAGCGATGGGCGTGGGAGGCTAGGGAGGCCGAGGCGCGCCGGAGGATTAACCTCGGCACGGGAGATATCGAGGCCGATCGGGCGCTGTTGGAGATGGCTGGCCTCATCGGGGCTAATAGGAGTGGTGGGAGCATGGCTTAGAAGATGGGGACTCTCCTCATCCGGATGGATATGGATGGAGTATCGGAGTCTGTGTTCAGGATCAAGCGACTAAAATGGGAGGCCAGCACATCGGTCTGGGTATTCACGGTCGGGATATATATTGACAGTGAAAAGGAGTAGAAGGTAAACGAAGGGCGTCAGCCCATGGGCCTGTAGCCGTCCCGTAATCCATTGATCCCATATGGTACAATTTGAAGATGGTAGTAGTTTTTGCCCCTTGCCTCATGTGCCAACACATGTATGTATACACCGTCCCATCCCTTCCTATTTCTTCGCAGCCTCCGGATCGACCTTCTGACCCTCATGTTCTGATCTCGGATCGCTCGGCGTCTCTTTTTTGTCCCCTGATCCACCAAGCAAACCGCCCAGCGACCCGAAGAAGCTTTTGCCCTCCTTCTTCTCCACACTCAGCAGCTCATCGCCAGACTCGACCTCGGCAACCACCTTGGGCTCCCCTTCCCCGCTGGCCCCCTCGGCCTCCTTACTACCCTTTGCCCCGGCCCTCGCATGGGCGACCGCCTCCGAGACGCCACCGCCGCCGCCGGCGCCTCCGGGACCATCGACCCCCCTCTCGGCGGCCCTCTTCCTCCTCCGCTCGAGGCGCTCGCGCAAGGCGCGGTCCTCCTCGTCGCGGGCCTCGAGCTCGCGGATCCAGCGCTGGCGCTTCTCCTCGGCGTCGCGGTCGCGCTCGAGCTTCCAGAGCTCGCGCTCCTGCTTCCGCTCGCGGCTAAAGTAGACGCCGCCCGCGACCATGGCGCACACGGTGAAGGCCTGGGCGGCGACGCGGGCGCGGAACATGCGCTGCACGCCCGCGTGGTCGCCCCGGCGCATGGCGCGGTAGGCGTTGGTAAAGGCGGCCACCGTGAGGATGCAGCCGATCGGCACGAGGGGCTCCTGCTTCAGGCGGCGGAGGACCTTTCGGAAGCCGGATTCATTATAGAAATCCCTGAGGGGAGGGACGTATGTCAGTAGGTGGCGAGGAGATTCCGGCCCCGGAAGGGAAGACGGGGGGACTTACTCATTCTCGTCAAAGGACGAGGGGAGCGGTCTGTCAGACATATCGTGGAATTGGTTTGTCTGTTGACCTGACAGGATCCGTTGATGGTGGCACGATTCCTGGATTGGGGTCCGGGCAACATCAAATCCCTAGGTAGTTCGTCATAACGAAAGGTCAAGCCACTGTGGGTCTTGGGTAGCATCACTAGCCACATGCCATGCCATGCCACGCCCCACAGTGGGGTGGGGTCGTGAAAGTCAATGGCCCCACCAAAATTTATTTATCTTTAAAAGTTGCCCAAGCCACTGATGACTCCGTCTCCCTCCGCCAATTCACAAGCAATGGCTTCCTCAACTTTGCCAGCCGAGACTCCGGCGACCAACGGGGTCATGGTGAACGGCGTGGAAGGCACCAGCTGGAGCAATGGCTCGACTAGCCGCCCTTACACACCCCACAGAACTCCTAGCCTCAGCGGTCTCTCTCTCACCGAGTACAGCGCACAGCCATCTCCGCCATCGGAGGACAAGAAGGCCAAGATAACGAAGATTGTGCCCGACGAGTTCCTGCTTCCCAACGGACACCCCGATGTAAGCTGCGTCTTGACTCTGCCCGTCCTTGCCTTGTCATCTGCCAATTATTAGAATCGACCATTTTGCTGATCGAAACAACAGTATCTCCGCCTAATCATCACATCCTACCCCAGGGTCAGGGAAGTCTGCAAGGAGACCCCCTTAGTCCAGGCCGCCAACCTCAGCAACCGTCTCGAGTGCAACGTCCTCCTCAAGCGCGAAGATGAGCAGCCCGTCTTCAGCTTCAAGCTGCGCGGCGCCTACAACAAGATGGCCCACCTGGACCCGGCCGAGTCGTGGAAGGGCGTCGTGTGCTGCAGCGCCGGCAACCATGCCCAGGGGGTGGCCTATTCGGCCCGCAAGCTGAAGATACCCGCCACCATCGTCATGCCCAAAGGGACGCCCAGCATCAAGCACCTGAACGTGTCGCGGCTGGGCGGCCATGTCGTGCTCCACGGCGCCGACTTCGACGAGGCCAAGGAGGAGTGCTCCAGGCGCGAGAAGCAGGGCGGCCTGATCAACATCCACCCCTTCGACGATCCCTACGTGATTGCCGGCCAGGGCACCATCGGCATGGAGATCCTGTCGCAGACGAACCTGCAGAAGCTGCAGGCCATATTCTGCTGCGTGGGTGGAGGCGGTCTGATCTCGGGCGTTGGCGTCTACGTCAAGCGTATCGCGCCGCACGTCAAGATCATCGGCGTCGAGACGTACGATGCGGACGCCATGACTCAGTCTCTGGCCAAGGGGGAGCGTGTCCTGCTCAAGGATGTCGGCCTGTTTGCGGATGGCGCCGCCGTGAAGACGGTTGGCGAGGAGACCTTCCGCATCTGCCAGGAGGTCGTCGACGAGACGGTCCTGGTCACCACCGACGAGGCATGCGCCGCGATCAAGGACATGTTTGAGGACACTCGGTCCATCGTCGAGCCTGCCGGCGCGCTGGCCGTCGCTGGCCTCAAGAAATGGGTTGCTGCGAACCCGTCAAGCGATCCGGGCCGGTCACTAGTCGCCATCACCTCGGGCGCGAACATGAACTTCGACCGGCTAGGCTTCGTCGCAGCCCGTGCCACCATCGGCGACGGCCGGGAAGTCCTCTTGGCCGCCAAGATCCCCGAGCGGCACGGCTCCTTCATCGAGCTCATCAACGCGATCATGCCCCACGCGGTCACCGAGTTCGCCTACCGATACCACACCGACGCCGAGGCGAACATCCTGCTCGGCATCTCGCTCACCGCGCCGGGGGCGCAGCGGGCGCGGGAGCTCGAGACCCTCGTGGAGCGCCTCCGCGAGTCCGGGAGCATGTCCGTGGTGGACCTGTCGGGCGACGAGCTGGCCAAGACGCACGTGCGGTACATGGTCGGGGGCCGGTCCGACGCGCCCGACGAGCGGCTCTACATGTTCAAGTTCCCCGAGCGGCCGGGCGCGCTCGAGAGGTTCCTCAAGACGCTGCGGCCAAAGTACAACATCAGCCTGTTCCAGTACCGCAACTACGGCGGCGACGTCGGGCAGGTCCTCACCGGCATCCAGTGCCCCGACGGCGAGAGGGCCGAGCTGGAGAGCTTCCTCAAGGAGATCGGATACCCCTGGGTCGACTGTACCGAGTCGAGTGTCTATAAGACGTTCCTACGGAGCGCATAGGGCCTGCTGTGTAGTTTGGCGTTGTTTGGGGCTTTTTGGGGGGGTTTTGTTAGGAGTAGAAATGCTTTTTTTTGGCATATAGATAGAATCTGCGCTACAATCACATTACAGTTTGGTTTGGAAGATTCATGTCAGTCGACATCCCGTATTATAAATCGGGAATTAAATCAACAGAGTCTTCTGCTGTCAACCCGATCTATCTAGGTCTCATGAGTTTGTCTGAATAATCCTCGATGTTAATAAGAATGATCACCGTTTGTATCACCAATTATTAGTATTGCTATTCACCGATATTCCTATGATACCAATGAGTGGATAACTGGACACCTTCATTATGAGCGTATGGTTTGCTAGATATACTAGGTACATCATGAAGCGTTGCTCATTTCCGCAGGTATTAATCATCAGTTCTGTTCTAAATCCTTGCCCGAGTGGAAGCACAAGCCCACCTTACAGTTTATTTTACAGAGGCTTACATCCCGGGCAGATGGTATTACCAGCAGACTCGTATTAATGCCTGCCCTGCCCTTGACCTAGCGAGTATACATCCCCTCGCCGTTGTTCCGGCCCCAGAGCTTGATCGTCCGATCATGTCCGCCGCTCACAATCCACTTCCCGTCCCTGCTTATATCGACACTGGCGACAGGACCCGTATGGCCACTCAGAGACTGCACCAGCGCCCAGTCATCTGCCGAGAAGATGTTCACCTTGTGGTCAAACCCTGCTGACACGAGAAAAGTGCTCGTCTTCTTCGGCATCTGCATCCCCTTCTCATCCTGGCCCGGGGGTGTTCCGTCCAGAGGGTCGTCAAGGCCTTTAAACCACCGTACGTCGGAAACGGCACTGGTGTGGGCGCCAATGCCTCCGGTCTTCTGTACCTTTCTGACATCCCAGCATTTGATCCATCCGTCTTGAGAGGCTGTCAGAATGCGATGGCCGTCTGAGCTCCAATCCAGACCGTAGATGGGCTTGATGTGTCCATCCAAATGGCCGTCGAGAATCATCACAGTCCGCCCAGACCGTAAATCCCAGATCCGGGCAATGCTGTCTAGACCCGCACTAGCAAGGAGGGAACCATCCAGATTAAAGCTGACAGCGAAGACTCCGCGTGAATGGCCCTCCTGGAGTAGTAACTCTGTAACGCTCGTAGTAGCCGTAGCGGTTTCAACGTCCCAGAGTCTCCAAGACGTGTCCTCCGACGCCGAGGCTAAATACCTCCCGGAAGGATGGAACTCGACGCGGCAAACCCGCCCTGCGTGGCCTGAAAGCGTCGAAAGGGGGGTATCCTGGGTAAGAGACCAGAGGTGAACCTTGCCCTCCGCTCCGCCGGATGCAAGATTGACCGTGTCTGGCGAAATATTGCCCTCCGGCAGCGTCGACCCGGGCATCCAAGACAGTCCGCTAATTTTGTTGGTATGGCCCCGTAGTGTTTTTTTCGGTTCGAGGCTGGGAATCTCGGTGAGATTTACTGTTCCTCCCCAGTTACCAGTCGCGATTATTTCCCCATTCGGCGATATCCTAGTCATGCTGATGTGCCGATCTCCTACAGTTTGACTGCCTTGTAGTTCGAACGCTTGCAGCCGCTCTTTGATTTCCTTCCGAAATTGGACGTGTGTTCGCAGGGGGATAGTCGCCTCCTTTTTCTGGAATTCAACCCGCTTTTTGGCTCGCGGGATGGAGTAGTTGGCGATATTTATTCGCGCTTGCAGTAGTTCGGGGGAGCCCCTCGAGTAGAACTCCTCCTCCTGTTCCTCCTCCGCCTGCTCTTCACTACCGACCATATCCACATCTTCCTCCTGACCCCCGAGCTGTGCTTGTGTCGTTAAGAGCTCTCGTAATCGGTCGCGTCTATCTCCGGGTCCTTCGCCGAAGAGGGTGATTGGCTCTCCAAGCTCTCGAAGCTTTGCGCATACTCGTCCATCGGAGGTGGGCACTGCAATACCTGCTGCCAGTCTTTTGCGCTCGAAGTGCGACAGAAGGTCGGGCGCAGCCCCGACTCCCGGTATGTCGTAGTTACGATCGAGGGCTGTTCTTTAATTAGCACACGTACTGTATGATATGATGCTTGACCCGACTTACGAATCGAGTCCAGGTCAACACCTCCCTGTTCCTGTATTGGACGACCCCGGTTAGTTCGTCCTTGGTCTGCGCTGTTGAGCTGCTGCGATAGTATGTACGTGCAGGAAATTTGGGGTTACTAACCTCGCCACCGGCGTCCTCCACAAACGCCCTGCGCGATGGGTGCATCATTTTCGCGGCTATCGAAACCTCGAGGGAGTGGTAAAAAGGTTCTTGGGCGATTGGGAATATCTTTCGCGTACGGATTAGATACGTAAAGGTACGAGGTACTTTGTTCCAACCGGATAAGAGTTATTCCATTCCAGAGCCCAGGCCACCAAGGTAGTTGGGTAGGTACCTAGGCCCTGGGGTTACCCTGCTGGGGACGACGTCATAGTGGAGCCGCGGGACCCGGAAGGTTACCTACCCACATGGCGCCTTACATTCTGATACTCCGTATCCGGACTACCCTACAGCCTACGAGTCCTGGGGCTCTTCTGGTATAAGGTCTTCAATAGCCAACATAACCAGGATGACTTGTAATTACCATGAGAACCGTGATAAGAATGGTGAAGAGGGTCATGACTACGAGGACAACGAGGACGACAACTTGAGTCACTCAAGTTGAGTGATGAGCTTGAGGAATCCAAATCTTAAGAGCGAGGTTGATAGCCCGATGAGTTCGACGGCCTTGTTTGGTCCACCTATGGTCCAGAATAATTACCATGTCTCTCATATTGATTATGGCTGTAAACCTTCGGTCTCGGAATAGTATCTCCATATTCTACCTCTCCAAGGGACAATGTTGAAGCCAACCGCTACACCAAAAGGATGTGGCCAAGAACTAATCGCTCAATCTTGGCAAAGGGACCCAGAACCAGGTCACGATATATCAACAATTATGGGAGGGAGGAGGTACACGGAGATCTCCGCCAGCTGACTCTACTTTTACCAATAATGAGCTCTCCTCGGATCACCGAACGAAGGCTAAATGGGCGCGGGATCTGGGGTACTCAACGCCCTCCTGATTGGATTTCCCGCCTTTCCTTTCTTTTACAATAAGCTTCAATATAATTATCGCTCCAATGAGGATACGTTGCCCTCAATCACTCTCGATACAATAAGTGACCCAATATCAGTCACCCAATCGGAGGCGATTTCGAGTCTGCATACCAGGAGAATACGGATGCAGTTAAGGCATGATTAACTGGCAAGTTTATGTTTCTTGCGTTACATTGTTCATAGAGGGAACAATGAGAGTCTGATACTTTCAGCCTCTGATCGACCTCCTTGAGGCTGCACCGTGGTCCAATGTCCTCTTAAACCACACTGCTCTGTGTTCAGTGGCCTATCCATGTAACAAACTAATTCTTACGGGGTTGGCACAATAATTAATTCAAATAAAAGATGGCTAACGCATAATTAAGCGGCAGAACGGGCATCGGAACATTGCGAGCATGAGAGACAATATGAGCCCTATTCCTAATTGAATCGAAAACAATCCGGCGTATCCAAGTTGCGGGAGGAATAATTATTACGGCGATCGACATAAATCCAATTTATCCAATACACAGCCAGATCTTGCGTCTGGAGAATGAAATATGTGAGTTTTACCGGGAGCTCTCACTAATACCCGCTCTGGGCTCAACCCCGACATGCATAGATTTCTCCTTCCTGGTGGTATTTGAGTACAGGTGTCGAGATTCGTCGAAAATACCCTTCCCCCCGAAGATTGTGTGATGTTGCACAAGCACATGCAACCCCCACCCCGCCATAGTAGGAGTTCGCCATCATGGGCGAGATCCTAACTAGACGGGTGAGGCGCTGGAGACATGCCTGCGTATTTTTGGGAGCGTCTCTTCTCCTGTACTTCCTGCTGTTGGTCTTTACTGTCCTCAGGGGCGATGGCAGAACCAGCAACTCCTTCCAAGCAACAGGGCGGCACAGGCGTCCTTCTCGAGGGGTCTTCGAGACTCTAAATCTCAGCGAGGAGCAATGCAATGTTACGTTCCCCGGTCTGACCGACGACATTGATCGTACGATTGCTCGCGGCCCTTTCACACTGAAGCAGACTACTGGAGCCTTGGGGCCGCTCCAGGCACGCATCAAGGATGGGCAGGTAAGACTTCAGGGTCCTGACATGTTAGGTGGGAGCTCGGCTAACACCAGTTACTCAGCTGTACATCGTCAACTGGGAAAAAAAACTCTCCCCAGAGTTGATCGACGTGAGTTTGTTACCCCTGGATGCAGAATCTTCAGTTTGCATCAGCTTATGAGCCATTCTAACTGATGTCACCCCTCAGTCTCGCATGGCCTCTCTGCACCAAATCCACCGAGCCCTCCTCACCGCTCCCTCGCTCCTCCCGGACACAGTCTTCTCCCTCAACATCCAGGACCAGCCCTTCGGCACGGCATGGTCGTACGCGCGCCCCGCCTTCCCGGCGCCTGCGGCCAGCCTGCCACACATCAATCGGGCCTTCTTGATGCCGCACTTCTCTTTCTGGAGCTGGCCGTTACCGTTCGTGGGCGTCTTCGCGCGCGCCGCTGCCGCCGTCGACGCCCTCGAGGCAAGCCTCCCCTTCGCCGAAAAAGACCCCCGCGCCGTGTGGCGCGGCACCGCCCGCTTTAACGGTGCCCACTACCCGCGCCTGCGGCAACGGCTGCTAAAGGTGGCCCAGGGCAAGGACTGGGCCGACGTCCAGCCCCTGTCCCGGGGCCAGAACGTGTCCGCGGATATCGATCCGGATGTGGCTCCGGGGGGCTACGGGTCGGCCACCAACTCGCTCCTGGTCGAGGATTTCTGCAGGTACAAGTATATCCTGCACACCGAGGGCATCACGTACAGCGGGCGCTTCCAGTTTCTACAGATGTGCGGCAGCGTCCTGATCACGCCGCCGATCGCGTGGCTGCAACACACGACACACCTCGTCCGGCCACTCTTCTCCGACGACCTGGACCTGGGCTCCGGTCCGGGCACGGAGTCGTGGATACCCGACCCGGACATAGTAAAGGCGTGGCCGACGCGGTATCGGCCCGAGGAGGCGAATATCGTGTTTGTGTCGCCCGAATGGACCGACTTGGAGGGCACGGTGAGGTGGCTGGAGGAGCATCCCCAAGTTGCCGAGGGCATTGCGAGGAGGCAGAGGGAGCTGTTTGTTGGGGGAGGATATCTCAGCCCGGCGGCCGAGACCTGTTACTGGAGGGCCTTGGTCAGGGGTTGGAACAAAGTTGCGTCCCTCGAGGGTGAGGGATGGGAAGAGAAAGAGGGGATGAGGTGGGAGTTGTTTTCTATGCGCCACGAGGGCAGAGAGTAACAGCCCAAAACTCGGTTACATAGGTATTCGAATAGAATTCTAGATTTAACCTGCCTAGGTGCCTTACCTTCCCTTATAATTTCCAGGTTAGTAACAAGGATCGTAGCAGATTCAAAGCCGAGGAAGGTGCGTTCTGTGTGTGCTTGCCGGTGTTGAGATCTATGCCAGCTACCTAGATGTACCTAGGTAGGTCCCGTCTCTATACGCGGGCAGCCGGCGAGGCAAGCAATAGCAGCTCCTTCCTTCACATGAACATGAGATGTGGACCGGTCGACAGGTTCAAACTGGATTCCCACATTCCTGGCGTTCGCCTCCCTCATTTCTTTTCCCCAGCATCCATCATCGAGACACACAGTACGTTAACCCCCTTTTTCCATGACCCCCAGCCTCCAAACTCCATCCTGTATCATCGATGCCCTTTCACATTCGTGTCCTTTTCCTCGATTCTGTTAGCTCGAGGAATGAGCAATCCCAAATCTCGGCCCGCTTCTTGTTGCCCAGATGTCGAGTACTGACTCGTGGAACCTGCGAGAGAACACCCCCTCGAGCCCCTCCAGCGGTTCCCTTGGTGCAAACGCTGTGCGCTGAAGTTAAACTGACGATGACACTGAGGATAGTTCGTTTGTCAAAATGCTTAAAGACATACGCAGACGGTTCCGGCGCTTTCGACGGAGCTTGGTCGCCCACTTCCGCCGACAGCCACCTCCGCCCCCTGCCCCCCAAGCAGTGCAGTCAGTACAAGCACGGCAAGCACCGCAGACAACCCCAATGTCGCCCCGGTTGCCGATCCCGGACTTCGAATCTAGCTTTGACGGTTTAACCCGCAATGACTCTCAGAATTCCCATGACCTTCTTTTTTCTGGGTTTATCCCTATTTATTTGGAACGGGCCTAGCAACTCCACCTGCATCACGGCGCGATTCACCAATTGCACGACCGGTGAAAGAGACGGGAGTCATCACAAGTTGCAAATCCATGGCAACACTGTTACTCCTATGGAGACTGCGAGCGACGCACGACATTCAGGATCAGAATGAGTCGTACTGAAGGAGCAGTTGGAGTCGAAATACCAACCATGCTACATTCTCCACTACCCACGAGCAGCAACACCGATGATCAGCCACCCTTCAACTCACTCATACAACTCGACGTTTATTTTAGCCAACTGTTTGCCATGATTTTGGACCAGGACAGCCCTCGGCAGTTTCTCATGGCGGGGCCGGTTCTTGGATTGGGCAAGGTCCTTGGAAGGGATTGTGGGTTTTTGTGACAGGTTTAGCGTTGATCCTCTGTATGAATCGAATTGCAATTGAATATCAAGCGTATCCGAATTCCTCAAAACCTTGACTTGAGCGGACACGTTGTTACCCCGAGGATGACCGGGCTTGCATCAGATGCGATTCGTCTGCTTTTCAAGTTGGTCATATGTCGTAAAATGACACCGCACCTTGGAGCGGTGACCCTCTGCAGCCCATGTTCGATCTGCAGGCCCTGGTGGGACTCACCAGTATCCAGGAAATGAAGACCCCATGCCGCATATCTGGATGCGTGCCCAGCTGTGAAACTTGGCCAAGCTGTCATGGAGACAGAATCTCGGTAACCACGCGTCCGCAAGGGGATGGTCCAAGTTGGGGTTTGAGGCGGGCGGTGCGAAACAGACCACTATTGCCACAACCAACTCACGCACCAGCGGGGCCTCTTTTGTTGCTCTTGGTGTCGCCCTCCTTCCGATCAGCTCCTCGATCCGGAGAGCTGGACTGATGTAGTTTATAGAGCACAGGCTATCCCGGGACAAAATCAGTCCGATCGCCCCTGAGAGTTCATCTCGAAGTGCGTCCCAAAGGTTCATTTTCCATGGCCGGTTGTTTTCAGGACCTTACCGACTTGCAAGAATGGAGAGGATATTGACGTCGAGAATGAAAAAGCACGGACCATTCCGGACCAGGATGAGTCAGTACCTATTTAATTGCGCTGATCACTTCAACCACTTTCTCAGGTGGTGGGGTGTCCAGGGATTATGGTAGGAGGGGGGGTTATAGTATGTGATCCGCAAGCGGCCAGGCTCTGGTCTAGGTCCAAGCATGTACAGGCGTCGGACCTTGATCTTGCTCCTGTCGACTTGTGCTCCCGCCTGTACCAGAATCTTGTCTACACTCTTGAGTTCGAGCTCGCATGCCAGCTTGAGCGCGGTGTGCAGCCGGCGCCGCCTCCGTCTCTCGCTAGCCCTCTCCTTATCCAGCCAGAGCAACATGGCTTTGACGGCATCAAAGTTCCCACACTCAACGGCCAGATCGATGGGTGATCGGTCATGTATGTTCTTTGGATTCCACTTGGCACCACGTCGGAGCAGCTCGTCGATGTGCTCTACCTTGCCCGTGCTGCAGGCGCGGTGGAGCGGCGTCATACCAAACCTGTCTACACCGTCGATGTTGAGCTTCATGGCTAGGCAACGGGCCACGAGGCCGTCGTGACCGTACCGAAAGCTCAGGTGGAGACAGCTCTGGCCAAACGCGTCGATAGCCCGGGTGTCGGCGCCGAGCCGGAGCAGCTGCTCCGCGGTGTCGATGCCGCCGCCGCGGATGGCCTCGAGCAGCGGTGTCATTCCGCTTACGTCCCGTGCCTCCCTATTGCAGCCCAGGGCCACTAGCTGCTCGGCCGCCGACACGTTGTCGACCATGGCGGCGTAGTGGAGGGCGGTGCGGCGCTGCTTGTCGACGAGGTTTAGCTTGGCCCGCTTGAAGCGAACGAAGCGGCTGAGGATACCGCCATCGAACCACAAGGCGAGCAGGTGGAGGAGGGTGGCGCCAGTGTTAGTCCTGCCAAACTCTCGCTCCGGCATCTCAATGAAGAAATCCAGAGCGTCTCGGTAACCCTGCTCCGCAGCAAGATGGACGGGCGACATGCCATTCTTGTCCGTGATCATGTAGCTTGCGCCGGAACTCACGAGGAGCTCCAGGGCCGGCATATTACGGTTGGCAATGGCGATGTGAACGGCGGTCAGGCCGTCGCGGTCCTGGGCGTTGAGAGCGTCCGAGCTGTACTCTCCCAGGTCCAGCCTGCTAGTATCCCAGTTGTATTCCATGGCCCAGTGCAGCAGCGTCCTCCCGGCGTGGTCCCTCGGAAGGGACACCAAGTGATATTGCCTTTGCAGTCGGTGGACCACGTCCTCCCAGTTATGGTTAGCGCAGAGGTGAAGCACGTCGTACTGCTCTCCCTCGCCGCGCAATCCAAACTTGGCGGTTGCAGGCGGAAGGCGGTCGAGGATCCAAAGCAGCTTCTCCCTGCGACCAAAAAATGCATACGTTGCCAGAGCATTCATCTTGGTATCGGGGTCGACCATCAGGACTTGCTTGTGGTCTACTCTAAGGATGACTTCTTCGATACGCTTCCAACCGAGTGTTCCAGCCAGGATGAAGGGGCTGGTTCCTCCCATAGTTGTACTCAGGGCTTTGTCGGCGCCCAAATGCAGCATCCTTTCCATCACGGGCTCCCACACCTTATTCCTGTACACCATCGAATAGGGGGTCTCGCCGTCCTTGTCCTTAGCGTCGATGCTGATGTATTGGTGGTTGAGGAGGACTTGGACAGCAGCAACATTCTCTTCGCGCATTGCCTGATGCAGCGCTGTGCCAACACTCGCCATGATGTTGACGTTGGTGTAAGGGTGCTCGGCGAGCGTTTGGATGTAGTAGACATCAGCCGTGCGGAGTGCCGCATGATGGATGGCCTTCGGTGCTAGGGGTTGGCCGTAATTGATACTTATGTCCTCACTGCGGAGAAGTACCTGGAATGACTCCCTACGTCCGCATATGATGGCCCACGACAAGGGCGTGATAAAGCTCTCGATATCTTGAAAGGAGTTGACGTTCGCGCCGTTCGCTATGAGGGCCTTGATTATCCCCGGACAGTCGTCTCGAGCCAGCGTCCGAAATAAAGCCGCGGTAACTGTTGTACCGGGCTGTGTGTGCACTTGGTCGTATGTGTTTAAATACCCGTCTTGGCCTCGCGTTCGAATAGCCAGCCACAGCATGTGGCAGTAGTAGGCTGTCTGGGTAACAGAAAATGATGCCAGCATCCTATCGTTGCTGTAGCTGGGGGCGGCGAGCGTGTAATGCGTGACCCAATATCGCAGTGCGTACAGGAAGCAGGGCGTCTTGCCTATCAGCTCGAGGCAAGACACGCCCGTCTCGACCAGTTGTCGTTGTTGCTGATCATCTAGCAAAAAGGTACCAAATGACTTCACGAGCTCGTCCCGAGCTCTGGTTACGTTCTGAAGCGCCCTCAGCCAAGCCTCGGGAGCTCGGTCTTCGAATTCGAGAATAGACATGCATACTGTCTGCAACATGGCGTGGGCATCTGGATCCGACACGATGTACCTTTCCATGATTCGTCGCTGGTCCGGCTCCAGCTCCTCTAGACTGCGTGTGAGCAAATCCTTCGCGGATACGTGAGCAAAATCAACTGTGCCGTCGTCGACCTTCCTGATGATGTATCCGCAGACCCTGGATAGATAGCTCTCAAAGTCGGCGCTTTGCAGCTTCAGTTCGTGGAGAAGCAGCGGCTGGCCGCCCAGCTTTCGGCTGTACAGAGTGGCGAGGAAGGCTAGCTGGTGGGACGTAAACTTCTCTCGGCTGACACGGAGGATGGCAAACGAGGCCCGGGCCTGGTTCCGGTGTGATGTCGGGATGCTTCGCAGCAGCCTGCAATAGACGGCAACAAAGTCCTCGGACGCTTTGCTCAGCCGCGACAGGCTGTCCTGGATCTGCTCGCGAGACCATTGGCTGACGCCTCTGGAGAATTGCTCCCATGCCAGCCTCGCATGGAGAAAGTTGCCCCGGGAGATCTCGATGATCTTATCCTCAATATCCGCTGCAACGCTGGAAGAGATATAAGATCTCGCCAGAGACTTTCGGACGCAAGCACAAACATACTCTTGCACATTTTGCTGTGTAGTGCCATTATTGACGTCGATCATGGCGAGGTTGGCATCTGCGAACTCGTAAGATCGCTTCTCCCGATTGGACAGGATAATGCGAACCCGCCCGCTGGAATCCAGAGACGTGAGCTTCTCGAGCCTCTCGATAATGGTAGTAGAAGCGCTGGACGTGTTTCGGAGTACTTCGTCGACGGCGTCGACCACCAACTGAAAAATGATGCCTCTTGACCTCTCGATGATCTTCGTCAGGCACATCCAGAGATTATCTTCGTTAACGGCGTGCTCCTTATTGACTTGCTCTTCTAGATACTTGATCACAAACGCGGTCCGACTATCGGAAAGGATCTGTTTGAGGATGGACTTCACAAACACGACCGACGTTTTCCGCGTCAAGTCTTTGTCGTCAAAGAAGAAGTGGAGCGGCTTGCGAACTAGTGAACCGTCCGACACCTCGCTCTGACGGACCAGGTGGGCAACGACACTTCGCAAAAGTACCGTCTTGCCGGAACCGGGTGATCCGTGAAGCCAGATGACTTGGCGTCCCTGCGGCCTCGTCCAAGATTGGAAATCTGCGTTTTTGCGAAGCCACTCCGAGGACTTGCCCAAGTAAACCGGTGTGAGATCGAGGACCTTCATTTCGTCAACAGCATCGAGGCTGGACAGAAACTTTCGCTCGGCAAGGTCGAATTCTGGTTTGTTGGTGAGACACGTCCAAGAGCAAGCCCAAAAAAGCAGGAGGGAGCTCATCTTAGTTGCGTACGTGTTGGCCCAGTGTCCCTGGACAGAGTGTCGACAAGTTCGGTGATGCAGTTAGAGACGGTCAGGTAGTTGGCGCTTGAGCTCGTGAGATATCTGCACATTCCGACATGGTTTGCGTCCAATGGAAGAGGAGTCTCGTTAGGTATGTGAAGAATGGCCGAGAACTCGTCTACCACCTGCAAAACTTGGGTCAGTAACCATCACAAACAGCCAAGGATGCGACTCACCAAAGAATCCAGTGGCTCCGTAACAAGACGCTCATAGAAGCTGAATATCTGCAAGCGCATTCCGCGCTCGGTAAATTGAGAACAAACGTTGCCAAGCTCGCTTGATTTTGATTCGAGGTTTGGTAACGATTTGTGTGGCAGTTTGTGAGTGCGGGCTACCTTGGTCAAGTAATCCGACCAAAACTTGGACTCAGCCCCCCTATGTGGTGTGCCCAGGAAGACGACGCCTGCGACCGACTCGCCGATGGCGCCGTATAGCCTCTTGTTCTCGTGAGCAACAGCCATGGCTTGCTTGAAAACAAGGCCGCCAAAGTCATGGCATACAAACATAGTCTTCCGCTCGGCCTTCTCGTTCTGTCGGCGGCGTAGTTGTCGGATGCCTTCTAGCAGCTGTAGAGCAAAGTCGCGCGTGTTAGAAGTTGAACCGGTAAACACCAGTCCCGCATCATAGCCAAATGTCAAAACGCGTACTTTGGGCAGCCCACAGGGCAAGAAGTCTCGTAGCCAAAGCTTGTCGCCTTCGGTCCAAGTGTTGAGCGCATGGCCGGCTAGGCCGTGGATGGCAATCAAGTCAAGGTCCGTCTCGATATTGACCGCGGCTTCTGTTTCTGGCCTGGGCCATAAAGGCAACAAACCAACGAGCGGCGGTTCGATAGCCGGCTCCGAGTCTCCCGCCTCATCATACACATCGTACGCGTCAGCGTCTTGTTCCGTGGTACCGACTCTTTTCCGTACGGTCGAGACGGCGCTGCTCCAAAGGTCTTGTAGGCAATCCGTCAGAAGTAGGTAATCTTCGTCAAAACTACCCCGAAATTTGGGCAAGTCTTCATGGCTCCGATTTACAGCGATTTTGGTGTGAGAAACGCAGTCTGGCCAGTGACCAACTGCAGATGTCGTGTTCACGAGCACTTCCCTCTCTCCTGACCGGTCCCAGACACCTGGAGCTTTCTCCTTAGTGGTCTGACTCTGTAGCGTTTCATAGACAGAAATCACTTTGGAGCCTGGAAAATTGAATGCATCCCTGAACCTGTCATCCAGGCGCTGCAAAACGCGGGACCCATGCTTGAGGCACTCGACGAGTCCTTTGTTGGGTTGCTTGTTGACCATACGGAGCCAGGGCTCGACAAGGAGGCCCTGATGCGGAACGCCAAAAAAGACGAGGCCATAGACGCACTGGGCGTTGAACCTATCGTTGGCAATCATGTGACAGACGGCCTCTTTAACGACGAGTCCACCCAAGCTGTGGGCAATGAAGACTATCGGACGCGGACGCGGACGCGGTTCAATCCTGGTCTTGTTGCGCGGTGGCTTCCGGACACTTTTGACCGAGAGGGCAAGTCTCTCACCGATGTCGGTAATGTCTTGGAACGACTTGCTTGCCACGAGCGACGTGTCGTAGCCATAAAGCAGCATGCGCACATTGTCTGGGTAAGCGTCGTTGTCGTCTACTAGCCACATGAACTGGCCTCCCCTCTCTTTCCAAGAGCCAAAAGGGTGGCTGCTGAGACCACTGACGACAACACAGTCAATCTGATGCTCCTCGTTGTCACTGACGGTGTTGAGTGGAGTGAAGCCGAGGAATTTTGTGTCGACTTCGAGCCGGACATGGCGCACCTGGCCATCATGCTCGATAACCTTCTCCTCGAGTTTCCATGGGCTTGCACCGTTCAAGCAGGTCGGCATCTTAGAGAACATGACAATGGCAACTGTGGCAACTACCGAAGAAGACCTTTGTGGATGCAGCCCCAGAGACCGGATCTTGGACTCAGCGTCGGCGCCGAAGAAGGCGTCGAGAATTGATTGTGCGCCATGCTCTGAAACATTGGTCGGAAGGCCGGCAACTCGGTACACTGACATGTTCTCGCTGCGCATGTCAAAGACTGGCGGATGTCGATGTTGCGCCGAAGGCGTCAACAATTTGGAGCGCTGCCGTAGCAATAGAGGGAGCCGGTGCTAAAAGTTTCAAATAGGAGTGAAGAGTCTCGTCAGAGCACGCAGACGACTTCTCCGCACTGGACAAAGGGCCTTCGGCCTAAGGCACGTGTCAAGGCAACCTGTTTCGCCCGCAAAAACAGTCATCTTGGCCGTCGAGCTGAAAATTGACCGTGCAATGAAATTGGAGAATTCGGTCGCACCGGGCGTCTCTTGCGCAATTGTGGTTGGCGCTTATATCTGCCTAGATATGCGGGTGATAAAAGGCTTTCTCGCAGCATCCACCGGGATTGGCTTGGGCAGGAAGGCTCAGTTGTTGAGTGTAATGCGTGGTGGATTTCTACGTACGTGGAAATCCACAGCTAAACTACCTATCTAACTGCCCCAGGAGGGCCTGTGCGCCTGGAACCCTGTCGGGGCTCACGTGTATCGTCACGTGGGGGCTGACAACATCAGTGGATGTGGGGATGCCAGCGTGGCGGCACTGCATCTGTGCCGCATGGGTCACCTCAGCCGCATTCCCAGCATTCAAGACCATCTCCTCAGAAGTCCTCAGACGTCCCAGGACTTTCCAAGACCCTGCGCTTGTGGGTCTCATATGACCGCAAAGTCGCCTTTGATGGATGACACGAAAGCCGCTGGCCAAGCAGCTGGTCTGCGCCCGCCGTTCAACGCATCCAACAGCCTTGTTTTACCGGCGCATATCATCACCCCGGCGGTGGTTCGGCGCGGCTCACAACTCATCGTACCCGAGCGGGACTTGGACGTCTTCCTGGCAACGGAGCTCCGCACACCGAAGCTCACTCGGCTGCATAAATATCTGTGGCTCGCAGGCCTTCCAGTCCCAGCCCGTCCGCTGCAGCGTCAAGTCTTGATGAACCGCACCCTAGCACTGACGGAGCGGCCGGATGAACACTTGGTATGGCATCGCAACCGACTCTTCCTCAAACCTCTTCCGGACTTCCTGGTGTGCCATAGTTTCTGGGAGCAGCACTTGTGTCGCGATACAGGTCTCCACCGTAGCGCTTGCGGGTTGTTGTTGTCGTACGCTTGCCTGATATCCTACCAGGCCGACTTCGGCATCGCGCAAAAACACTCGCTGCTCCCAGACGGTCTCACTTACCATGCCTGGGCGGAGTTCATGAAGGACTTTCTAAGCCACATCAACCTCCCCGTGACCAGCTATGACCAGGTCGACGTGCGATACTACTACGGCGAACTGAGGTACTCCCGACTCGACCTCCTTTCTCGGTTAGCGGCCATAATCACAGGGTCTTTCAAGGACTTCGTGTACGGATTCATGAGCACGTCGACCTGGTATCAGGCCTTTTTCGAACACAACTTTGGCTGGCTGTTGGGCGTCTTTGCATTCTTTACGGTGATCCTGTCGGCGCTACAAGTCGGTCTAGCCACGGACGCGCTCCAGGGAAGCCAGGCATTTCAGTCCTTTTCCGAGGTGGTTGCCATTGCATCGCTCACGACCGTACTATGTGGCATGGTGGGGGCCTTCGTCATCTGGTTCGTCTTGTTCTGGTATCATTTGCTTTCAACAATAGTGTTTACGAAACAGGCGCTAGCAGAACAAAGCGGTAGAGGCGAACGGACAGCTGTCATAACTATGTAGAACCTGAAGGCTCAAGGAACCTACGTTATAAGTTTATAGTCGAGGTTCTAGCTCTATCGCTGAGAAGCTTCGAGGACTTTCTATATCGTCTCGTGAATCTTAACAAACAGGCTGATATACCTGTAGCCCTTCATAAGATGTTTGATCAGTCGTTCGTAGGGTAGATATTCTATTCGGCTGCGGTTATCCTACTGAAAATCGCAGGTTACGGACTGCTAAAAAAAGGCAGCCAGCACCATGATACACGCACTCTCTGTGGAATAGTGTAGCGTACCCTTTGAAGCTGGGTAGCGCTATGCCGATGTTCCCGAGAACCTTGACCACCTTCCCAAAAGCGGCGATGAGGATTTTTTCAACTCTTGACATGCAATAGTTGGCACAGATTTCAAGATGAATCATCTGGTGAGGGCAGAAGAAGAAATCCGTGTTCCCAAGTCTGCTGCAGAAGTTGATTTAGCTGGGAATACGTGCTACCACTTGTCAAGGTGCAGGTGATATAAGCGTTGATGAAAGGGTAACTGTGCGTCGTTATTTATCTCCCTGCAGATCATATTCTTTTAGGCGGGTTATTCCGCTAACAACGGCTAGAGATTTGAAAACCAAGTATTATGCACATGTCGGGGGTAAGTGGGGACGATAATTCTGCAATGCGGAAAGGTACGTCACAGCTCTCTCTCTCTCTCTTCTCTCACCCAAAACAAACGAACGAACACCCACCATGGTAGACTCCCCTCGCAAAAAATCGCGATCGCGCTCACCGCGGCGTGGTGCTGCCAAGGGCTTCCGATGGAAGGAGAAGCGGCCGTCGAACCAGGACAACGCCGAGGGGAGGGATCGCGGCCTGGATCGCGGCTACCGCAACCGCTCGCCGCGCCGGGACAGGGATCGCGAGAGGAACCGGGATCGCGACCAGGGCCGAGAGGGAGACAGGACCGGAGAGCGGGAGCGGGAGGGAGAGCGACGACCGCGACGGGATGGCGACAGAGACGGGACCAAGGGCGGGGAGCGAGAGCGAGGGGGAGAGCGACGAGCCGGACGAGATGGAACCAAAGACAGGGAACCCGGCCGCAGCACGCCATCGTCATCATCTAAACCCCGCGCGCCCAAGGACGAGGGTAGCGGTAGCAGCACCAAGAGACAGGCGGCGGCCCCAATGTCGGCAATCATCGTCGTACACGTCAATGACCGGCTGGGAACCAAGGCCGCTATACCTTGCCTTCCGTCCGACACGATACGGGAATTCAAGCTCATGGTCGCGGCACGCATAGGTCGCGAACCCCACGAAATTCTATTGAAACGGCAGGGCGAGCGGCCTTTCAAAGACCAGCTGAGCCTGGAGGACTACGGGGTTGGAAACGGCGTGCAGCTGGACTTGGAGGTCGATACCGGCGATTGAGCGGGCCGGCGGTGGGTGGAGGGCGTGCCTTGGAAAGGACGTTAGGACGGAATGCGCCGCGAGTTCAAGTTCAGGGATTCGAGGCTCATCGTCCTGGCCTGCTCGCCTACATATAAGCCCATCATTGCTTGCGTCCATCTTCTCCTGCTGAGGACTTGGAAGAATCGAGATACCCAAAGGCTGGAATGGTACGTTTTATTAGGCCCCTGCTTCGATATCCACGTTTGCTGATCTGGGTGGAAAGATCGATGTTACCGAGATGGAAAGAAGCCCGATACATAAACAACATCCTCCGAGCCGCATTGGTGATGACATCAGGCCCCTTCGACTCATGATGGTTCTTGCCATGTCCTCTTTTATTAGCTTGCATTAGGACTAGGTCCGTACGTAGGTGAAAGGGCAGGATGCCAAAATTGAACCCACAAGAAGGTCGAGACAGGTAGAGATGTATGCATGTATTTGCCCCCCGTACAGTACATGATGTACTGCCAAAGAATTCACTGTGTCTAAGGCACCTCCTCCCTCATCATTTGCCGGCAACTGAAAGTCCGTAATCTTGCTGTACAAGTTGAGGAATAGAACTTGAAATGAGTGAGAGCCCCAGGAGCCAAGAGTGAAGGGAATCACGTGATACGCAGTAGTCGTCGTCAGCAACGTCAATTCGAGAATCCCAGCTGGGCCTAATCCAGGTAGTGCAAGGATGGTGATTGGATATAGGAAGGTAGTGTGTCTTGCACGTCGTAGTTCATTACGAACGATAATTCAATAGATCCCATTGTCCTTATGGTATAAGAGCAGAACTGAGCGTTCCAACTTGCGTCGACCCGTTTGTGTGTTTACCAGTGAGTGTCTCTCATCAGACATTGCCATTCCCGCCCGACTGCTTGCTAACTGCGGTCCCAGCTCCAAGATATCCAAGATATCCAAGATGCCATCAGAGCCATATCCCACCGTGGCGGAAACGCTCAAGCATCCGGCCTTCGAAACAGCAGTATGGAACCTTGAGCCAACCCAAAAGGGCGTCCTTCCCGTCGCCGAAGGCCGCGGCGGGCCCTTCAATATCTCCTGGGAGATTCACGGTTCCGGCCCTGTCAAGCTGCTGGTGAGTCCGCGCCACAGCACGTGTGCCCTGACTTGTCATTCCACTAACCGCTCCCCCCGTCCAGTTGATCATGGGCCTCGCCAGCGTCAAAACCGTGTGGCAGCGGCAGACGCTACACTTCGGCCACCAGCGCGGGGACAAGTACTCGGTGCTGCTGATCGACAACCGCGGCATTGGAGAGAGCGACAAGCCGCTGATGCGGTACAGCACCTCGGAGATGGCCAAGGACGCCATCGAGGTCCTCGCCCACGTCGGCTGGGTATCCCCGTTTCCCTCTCCCACCGCCACCACCACGACGACCACCGCGCCCTCCACCCAGCAGACCCGCCAGGTCCACGTGGCCGGCATCTCGATGGGCGGCATGATCGCCCAGGAGGTGGCGATGCTGATCCCCTCGGCCCTCAGCAGCCTGACGCTGGTGAGCACGGCGGCCGCGATCGAGAACACGACCACCTTTGCCGAGAACGCCGCCACCCGCATCTCCATGCTGATGCCCAAGGGCGTCGAAGCCTCGGTGCGCTCCACCGCCCTCCGCGTCTTCTCCCGCGCCTGGCTCGTCGGCCCTGACGACGTCGAGCTGCCCGACCCGGCGGCGGGCATCCCCGGCGTGGGACCGCCGCGCGTCCCTCCTCCTCCTGCGGGGAAAAAGGGCGAGCAGCAGCAGCAGCAGCAGCAGCAGACGTACGGTCGGTTCGGAAGCAGGTACCAGAGGTGGGCTGCCGAGGAGATGCACAAGCGGCGGGACCCGCGACTGTACGGCAACAAGGGGGTGATGCTGCAGATGGTGGCGGCCGGGTGGCACCGCAAGAGCCCCGAACAGCTGGCGTGGCTGGCGGACCGGGTCGGCCGGGAGCGCATCGCCGTCATCCACGGGTCCGCCGATGAGATGATGACGCCCCCGCACGGCAGGAAGCTGATCGAGTACCTGCGCCCCGCTGTCGGGGAGATGCTCGAGGGCGTCGGCCACGGGCCCGTCGCGGAGCGGTGCGAGTGGTTCAATGGTATGCTGGCTGAGAGGATGGCTGTGGGCGAGAAGCTCGATGGGCGGGCGTGATCGATCTATGAAGGTGGGGAGGAGGAGTAGAGAGACATGCATCCATCCATGGGCAGTTGCTGCCGAAGCAGCAGGACGGGTAGGGGAATGGCACTACTGTGGGTCATGGTTTCGGGGACTGGGATTTGAAGCAAACTCGTATAGATCTGCATAGACATACACATAGCTCGTCAGATGCGGTCCCGGCCAACATATTCTACCTAGACTGGTGCCCGGGAAGAGGCTCGCATATCCGGCCTGTTTCCCGGTCCAGAATGCACGATACAGCCTGCAGCCCAGAGCCGCGGCCGTATACAAGCCGCAGGGCATGACTACCTATGATGTGTTCAAAACGGGTCTTTTTCACCACCTCCTCCACTTGTCTACGCCGGAACTAAATGCCATGCGCTCTGAATCCGCTTCTGCTCCCGCAGCACTTAGCCACCTTCGAGAAAACTTGATACACGACGACCTCTCGTCCTGAAATAGCGCACTGGTCATTTTGCAGGAGCCGCCGCTCAAGCTATAAAGGGGCACCGGCACATAAAATGCAAGCAACAATAATACTGCCGTGACACAGCCGTGGTCCGGAGCGGGCCGCACCTAGTCCCGTGGAAAGGGCCTCAGAGCATCACAAAGCCCACACCACTGAGGTGATCCTCATCAAGCCTATTCTTCTTGTCCACACCGCCGGCGATCGGGTTGAGGCGATAGTTGAAGACGTAGTAGTGGAGCTGTCCGTCGCCAGGTCCGAACTTTTGTTGCTCGAGGAAGAGGCCGTTGTGCATCAAGGAGAGGGCATTGAAGACATCGAACTTGTATCGCTTCGCGAGAATCAGGGCATCCGCGATGAGGGCGTTTAGCCGAACCTTGGTGGCTTTGGGGTCGAATGGGGCCGTTAGGCCGGCCTCTGTGGCATAGTAGAACAGGTAGGCTGCCCGGACGACCTGGTGCTTCTGGTTGTTGATCACCGAAGACTCCAGGCAGTAGAACGAGAAGAAATCGGTGATTTGCTTGTTCGCATCCTATTTCGCCCAGGTTAGTGGTCGCGCGAGGGACTGGGTTATAGACCGGTTAGTGAGGATCACGTACCTCGACAACATAGGACCAGATCACCTGGTCTCCCGTCTTGCCGTTCTTGTTCAGCAGCCAATGTTCAACGTCCTCGCTGGTGAACTCGGGCGTGAGCTCGAACTTGTCCAGGTAGCGCTTCAGCAAACTCTGGACGGCACCCACGTCCTTGAGCTGCATCTCGCGCAAGCCGCGGGTGGAGGTCTGGTCAGGCACGGCGTATTTACGTATCTGATAGGCAGGCTTGCTGTTAGGCGGGAGAGGGCTGAAGCCGACCTCCCATAGCTTCTGCCAGTTCAGGGCGCGGTGGTAGTACCGGCAGGTGCTCGCCGGCTTCGGCAGGACGATGCCGGCCGTGTGGATAGCCTGCCAGACCCCTTCCAGATTGCAACGGCGGGTGATCTCCTTGATCAAGACAGGCGCCAGCCGCTTGTTCCGGAGCTTCTTGTGGACGACCATGAAGTTGACCTCGGAACCCTTGATGCTCTTGCCGCGGATGCGCATCTGCACGGGCACGGCTGAGATGAAGGCACAGAGAGACTTTCCTCCCCGGATGCCAACGTGCCACTCTTTCTTCCATCCCGGAGGCATTAATGCCCTGAAGGGGAATACGATCCGTCAGCAAACCATGGAAGCTTCACAGCAAAAAAAGGGGGGGGAGATGGGGAGCAGACTCACCACTGGAGGATCGAGGTCGAGTATTTGAACCTGAACATGGCCTCGTCGTCTTCAACATAATGCCCGTTAAGCAGCTCGTAGACCTCCTTCAACTGCGACTCTTGGGTGAGGTCCATGGTGACCCAGTCGAACCCCTGCACACCCAGAGGTGCTGGCTCCGTAGGAATGTCCTCGATCTTCTGGACCTTGAGAGGCCCTTCTTCAATGGGCTTGTCCTGGCTCTCACCAAACTTCATGACAGGCTGCGTGCTCCAGAACTTGTATGACGCCATGTCCTTCACGTTCTTCCCGCTGCTGGCCAGTCCCGTCATTATGTCCTCCAAACTGAGCGTCTTCAGGATGTCGCTGGCATCCGCAACGCCGCCCGACGAGCTCCCGGCCCGCGCATTGTTTTCGGCAGCGATCTCCTGCGCCAGTGCCGGGTTCAGCTGCACGAGCTCGGAGATCTGCTGGGGTGTGAGGCCGCCGATGGCCTTCTTGATTTCGGCCTGCGGGTCGCGGTCGCGGGTCAGGGCGTCCTTGAGCTTCTTCCGCTTCGACACCTTCTTGCCCTTCTTCTTGCTCGCCTCGGCAGTAGAGGCCGCGGCGGCAGTGGAGTCCCCGGCGGAAGCGGGACCTTCGGGCCCCGAGTCGTCTTCAGACTCGACGGCGGCGCCCTGAGCTTCGGACATGCTCTTGAGGGTCTCGGCCGCCTGCTCGGCGGCAGGGTCTACGGCCTTGGACTCTTGAGACATGGCGGAGGAGGTGAGTCGTCGATATAGCTTCTCGATAGGAGTTACAAATTAGAGTCGGTACGGGGCGGCGGGGTGCGCAATGAATCAAAACTTCCAAAAGGACAGATTAAAGCATTCAGTACCTATCGGCAATCGTTTTGTGCTTGTTTGAGATGCAGCTCTCCGTTAGACAACCGGGGCCGGGATGGTGGGGTACCTTAGTGGGGTCTTCCTCCAGAATATGTCCGTGCACCGACCTCCATTGCTAACCCGAACCCTGACCACACCTGATGCCTAGATTCCATCTTGTGATTGCGAGAGGAAACAGGTTATAATTCGAAACAATCGTAATCCGTACTACCTATGGTAGGACTGCCAAATTGCCAATAGGGTACTAGCTTCGGGGTTTAATATACTGTCATGTTTTTCTTTGGAGGTGGGGGATCTCGTGGGCGAATCATGTCCAGGGTGTTGCGTGTTGCTGCGCCTCCATTGCGCCGCTGTTGTCTTGATCCTTCCCGTCTCCTCCTCCTCCCGTAACAGAAGTTGGGTTGCTCCTTGTCTTCGTCTTCGTATTTATCGGCCTCCTCGTTGCAGTTGTATTTGAAGCGTGTGTTTATCATTGCAGTTTACTTCAAGCCCGACCGCCACTTTAGAGCGTTACGTCTCTGCTGCAAGTCATGGGCAAACCACCATCCCCCGATCTTCCACGCCCCGGTGGCGACGACGCTCTCTCGCTCCACACCCAGCATAGCGCTGTCGATATCGATGGATATATCGACGATGATGCCCCCGAACTTATAGGCGATGACCTCCCGCCCCTCTACGACGAGGCCAGCGCCAGCAGTGCTCCTCTCCTGACCCCTGGCCCATCTTTCATGGTGCCACAGTATAAGAGAGATGAGACCACTGGCGTCGAGTACTATCTCGACAGCCGACTAGACACGGACCCCAAACTTCTCGAGGAACACATCCTCTGGTGGGCTTCATTGCCACCGCGGCCGTATGTCCGCATCCTCGGCACGCACCGGCAGACAGTCAACAACGGCGGCAAGAAGGAGAATAAGACGGTGGTCGATTTCGACGTCAGGGTCGAGCTGACCCCCTACCTCTACTCGGACGCGACCCGCCGACTGTCGTGGCGCGAGCTGCGCACCGTCGAGAACGCCGACAAGGCGTATCGCGGGACGGTGCTGCGCTCGAGGGACCCGTCGGCGAGGAAGGGCATCCAGCTTAGCGCCCACAAGCCCTCGCTGGCCGAATGGTGCCACCGGTACTGCGCCAAGCACGCCGGGCTGAAGCGCTTCACCCTCCGGCGCAAGATGGTCGGTTTCGAGGAGCACCGCGTCCGGCAGAAGCTGAACTCGCTGATCCGCTCGACCAACTACCGCGGCGCCATCTGCATCAGCGTCCCCGTCATGGACGAGGCCGTTGAGGTGTACAACGAGTGCAAGACGAACGAGTGGCGGCTGACGACCTGGATTCTCTGGCTCTGCATCCTCACCGCTACCTTCCTCTTCACATGGCCGTACCTTTTCTTCCGGACCAAGCGGTTCGAGGTCCTCGTCGCCGAGTGGTCCTTCTCCAAGCCCACCACCGACGGCGACCGCGAGTTTGTCAGCATCGACGAGGCCCAGTGGTACAATATGTGGGGGAGAGCCATCAACCGTGCCGTGCTCGAGAAGCGGCAGGGCACCCTGGGCCAACAGGAGCTCTTCTTGTCGGAAGGCGCCCCTCCCACGTTTGACAGCGCCTCCGAAAATACCGCCGCAGCCTTCGTGAGGGCGGGAGTCAATGCGATGAATGAGGTCAATAGGCAGCTTGGATGGGGATACGATTCCTAGTGTTCGTACGGTTGGGATTTCAGATGGCGTACGGGATGTGCTACTAAGGTATTTTAATGTAGGCATGAGGGGTATTGCCGTTTTTCTTTTGGACTATCCTTGATATTTCAGCCTGTCTCCCACTATCTATGCTACTATACGGTCGCAATATTCTTTCACGGGTCTGCAGTGGCTGCAGAGTCAAACGCCCGCATAACAGCCATGGTGACGGGAGCATACATCATGATATCGTTGTGCCCTGCAAGATGTCAGCATTCAGGATGATCCAGGGGCCCATCCTTCCGGTCCCGTTCTGACTCACCTCCGTAAGGGAATAACTCTTGCCGGATTTCTATGTCACCGTCTCTCCACGTGGTGACAAACGCAGACTTCCCCTTGTCTATGGTCCGCTTGTCTTTCTCCTCGGCAAGGATCTCTGGATCGATACCATCCGGGTCATCGACGGTCCCGCTGACAGCAGCGGCAAACAGCCTATCATCCTCGTGGCACGGGATATCCCAGTCGTTCTTCGCGTGGACCAACCCCAACCTCAAGCGCCCGCCCCTGCCCTTTACGACCCGCACCATCTCCCCCAGCCGGTCGGCGCTCGGCCACCTGTCCGCCATGAAGCGCAGCACGAAGCGCAGCAGCCACGGCCAGACCTTGAGCGGGCGCAGGACCGGCACGTACCCCGCGATGGCGTAGTCGGCCAGCATGGCGGGCAGGCTGCTGAAGCCGCTGACCAGCACGACGCCGGCGAAGTCGACGCCCTCGGCGGCGTAGCGCTCGGCGGCGGCGGCGGCGACGGCCGTGCCGAGGCTCTGGCCGAGCAGCACGATGCGGTCGGAGCCGACGCCCGCCACGTGCATCGCCCAGTCCACGGCGGCCGCGGCGTCGAGGATGAGTCCCGCCTCGTTCGGCTTGCCCGTGCTATGCCCGAAGCCGCGGTAGTCGATGGCTAGCACGTGGTGCGGCGACGTGTCGGTTAGGACGTGGTACGATGCCGGCCGGATGGCTTGGGCGAGGTGGCCGGCGTTCTAGACATGGGAAAGAGGGGGTTAGTGCTTAGCTTTCTTTGGGTTGCTAGGTTGCGGATGTATGGATTGTCTTACTCCATGAACTGCCGGGCTTTAGTTAGCGAACACCCCTGAGAGAATGGGGAGGCCGGGGACGCACAGTAGATGATAAGTTTGGCATCAGGGTCTTCCTTCAGCAATTTGAAGTTCTTGGTTTTGGTAAAACTTTTGCTAAGTCCTGAGGGCTGACTGATGAGCTCGTCCTCGTGCTTAGCATATAGCGGCAGAGGGAGAATATGCCAGGCATATAAAGTCTCATCGTCCACTGTTGTCAGCGAGAGAGGCGTGACTTGGTTTTCTTGGGCAACAGTGGCGTCAGCTATTCGCACGCCGTTTAAACAGAAAATGACTCAGGAGGCAACTGACTGGCGAAACCCCAATACTCCGGGTTATTCACGTCATTCCACCACAAGGTGTGGAATTTATGGGCATAGAGGAAGCTGACAGAACAGTCAGCACCGTATCGTGTGCCCACTCGCGTCGCAGTTTTACAAAAGTGCAACTCGAGCTCATGAATGCTGCTGCTTACTGGCGTTGGAAGAAAGAAATGGTGCTCAGGCCGAGAAAGAGAATATAGATCCCAAGTGGCACTGCCACGACCAAGGCGATTGGCCAGTAGCGAGCAGACATGGTGTTGAAGGGCGAAGCCGAGTTAAGCTCTGCAGATTGGCATGCTTCAGTTTTTAACGTTCAAACTGTTCCACAACCGTGGCCTAACTAATGATGAGGAAGGGCTACAAGACTTCTTCCATCATAGACTCTGCGAAACGTGAGTAGACTAACAGCCTCCGCTACAAAGCTGCGCCATCCCTCATGACGAGGCACGCCTGACGTTGGAGCCAGAGGTCGTGACCCAGAGGCGGAATGTTTGGAGCACTAGCAGAAGATACGGAGATCCTCGCCTATTCAAGGTGTTCAGGGCATGCCATTTCTGTTAGCACGGCTAAGAGGCGCGCTAATGATGCGGCTTATCACACGTCCCACTTGATCAAAGCTCCCCGTCAGCCGCAACAAAACAACGCTTGCATACAGTTAGAGCTTCTGCTGGGACAATTGGTTCAGAGGGTGAGTGAGGGATTGGAGCCAGATACGGCCCAAAAGGTCCCAGAAAACAATTGGAGAGGCAGCCACATTCTAGAGAGCACAAAGCAATTGCACACTAATAAGAGAGGAAGTAAAAGGCAGATTGTTACTCGTAGATGAAGAGAGGAAACAAAAGCCGAATCAGAAAAAGAATAGAAAAAAGGTTGTCGAGGTCAACGGGTCCTCCCCGCGGAGCACCCGCTGGCACCCAATCACCGGCCTGCTTCTGCTTTAGCGCACCAGGACATTGGGTGTCTCTTAACCCATTCTCATTTTGGCTCTGACCATCAATAAATCAACGTGCCCCAATTTCCTCCCCCATTCTCTTTCTGACTTCCTTTACGACGACCCGCGTCTGCCATTACTTCCCCGCCAACTTGTCCTCCCCCGCCAAGCTGTTCACATCGCCAGCAGTTGCATTACTTGACGCGTCCAGCAACTAGATACCCCTCGACTAGATATCCCTCGACTAGCAACCTCTCGCTGTGCCTGCCACGCCTGCCGCGCGATCTGCCCGCATTTTCCGATGACTTTATGACAGCTTCCTTACCTCCTTCACCTATCCTCGAGCTGGGTCGCCTAGTCCTTCCAAATGGAGAGGAAGAGGAAGCTCCCAGCACGCGCTGCTGCTCGCGTCGATCAGCTTTCTAAGAGGAGGACTCTGACACCCCCAGAGCGTCGCTCTATTACTCCGGCATCAGCCCAAGAACCTGAGGCTACACCAGTCCCAGAACCCAAGCCGCCCTTGCCCAGGTCAATACAGGCCGGGAAACCTCTGCCTACTGTCGAGGATGCGCAGCCGAACGATTTGCCGGACAAGGAATATCAATCCATTATAGAGAGGTCAGGAGCAGACATCTTTGACCATTAATTCCCTTGGTTGTACATTCCACGCTGACTGCCCTTCTAGCGGTGTCCTATCCGAGTCCCTCTCGCGGTCGCGAAGCAGATGGATCAGCGAAGGCATCTTCGAGAAATTCTGGTCCAAACCGTCAAAACGCAAGGGTGTCGTCGAGGACCCCAATAATCCCGCCAAAGAGAGCATGACCAAGGTTGGCCAGGTCGTTATAACCGTCGAGCCTCACGTCTTCGAAGCTACCATGTATGTCGTCAAAGACCCAAAGCCTCCTCAACCGCCTCCGCCTCCGCCCCCGGGCCCTACCGTCCGGCCCATTATCCAATACGGCCCCCCGAATGGAATCATGCCTCCACCTCCCACGCCCTCGATAGCAGCATCGTCTCCTCCTCAGACACCCCTTCAGCCTCCGGTACAAACACCAAAGTTAGCCGCGGCTGAACTAGCAACACAATCTCAGCCACAGCCAGCAGCGACTACACGAGACGCGTCGAGGCCGCCTCCATCGACAATCCCCGCCGCTCCAAACCCAACGGCCTCGCCTCGAGGCACGGAGTCGGTGCTGCCACCGGGCTCAGCCGCGCCGAGCTCAGCTACACCCCAGGCCCTCCATCGGCCCATCGCTGCCGCGACACCCATCCCGGGTCAGCCCACCCAGCCATCACCGTCGCCCATCCCGTCAGCCGCTACTCCGACACCGTCGACGACCGTGGGAGCCCCCGGAAGACCGCCAGGAACTCCACTAGGGGGGACCCCGGCAACACGGCCTGGCGTTAATGGAGCCCAGGTCACAGGAACTGCGGGCAAGCCTGCCCCAGGCACTGATCCCATAATCCTCACGCTGGCAGAGAAGGCGGGCGAGGACCCACAGTTACGCGACCTGATGAAGAGAGTGGCACAGGGCGATGCGGCCAAGCATGAACTCGAGAGGTTCCAGGCAATCATCGACGAGATCACAGCGGAGAGCAAGAGGAAGGGGACTCCACAAGGTCCCTCGGCAGACAGGCTGCTGGTCGATGGGAAGACAGTGCGGTATTTCGCCGATGAGGTCAGGACAATACTAGACATCGTGTTGGCCTCGAACCCCAAGCAGACCTCGACAGATCTGCGGCCGCCACCGGGGAGCGATCCCTTGGTTGTCCTTCTTGTCAAGACAGCGCTCGACGAGCCCAGGACGAGGGACACGGTGCGTAGAATAGCAGAGAACCGACCTCAATTCTCCGACGCTACGGATCTTAAGGCCGTCCTTGACCGGTTGAAACATAAGGTGGCGAGGGAACTCGAGCGCAACAAGACTCAGTCACCCGCCCCCTCGAGCGCCCCTTCGGCGACACCAAAGCTCAATAATAGCACGGTGGACGGCCTCGGCACAGCAACTCCCACCCCGACATCACAAGCGGTTCAACAGCCCCCGCAACAGGCACTTCGCTCAAAGGGACCTCCCCCGCCTCCCCCGAAGCCTGACATATCCGCCGTGGTATTCGAGTTCTCGGGGGGCACAGGCGATCGGTACCTGTTCCCCAAGTTCAGCATCTTGGAATACGTCGCTGTCCCGGCGGGCCAGCAAGTGATTGCGTCCTTCCTGATTGTCCGCAAGGGAAGCGCATCCGAATACCCCGTCGCGGACCCGGCGCTGGACTACTACCAGCCCGTCACGATCCGGCTCTTCACGCCCACGGGACGGCACCTGGAGCACCTCGCGAGGGTGGTGGGCCCGCAGGAGGAGGTCCGCCGATACATGGACGACATCATGGACAGGATGACGAGGGCAGAGTACGTCCTGCTCGCCATGAGGCTGCCCCGCGCGGAACCCGCCACCAAGGAGGACGGCGCCGCGACCCCCGCCGCCGCCGGACTGTCGTTGGACGATAAGGGGCCTGGCGCGCGGACCGGTCGGGCGCCGTCGAGGCCGAGCGAGGTCGAGGTAGAGGTCGTCGGCGCGCCGCCGCCGCAGCCGAGCGTGTTGTGGGCGATGAAGCCGCTCAGACCGGATAACAAGGAGTTGATGCCGAGGACGAAGCTTGGCGGCAAGGTCCTGGATGAGGATGAGCAGTACCAGAAGTTCATCGCCGACGTCAGCAGGAAAGAGCCGGAGGAGGCATGAGAAAAATATCGAAATAGTGCGGTCCCCTCGATAGGGGAGGGAGGCTGGGACTTGAAAGTTGGCTTGGGATCGATTTGTTAGGAGTTCATTGGGGCAGGAAAGTTCAGGCGCTGATGTGTTCGCAATGAATTGAGGTACGGAAGTATAGCTCGGGGAATAACGGTATCGCTTCGTGCTACCATGGATGTTCAGTCTGGGTCTAGTCTGGGTGTTTTCAACAGCGGTAGGGAAGAGAGGAGTTCATGCTGAATAAGGGGTCCACCCAGAGTGGGATGAGGCGTCGGTAGACACGGGGTCGAGGAGGAGCTGTCGACCTCACGTGCCTCCCAGTTTTGTTTGGGGCTCAGGGTATCGCGGATGGGAGTAGAGCACGCTGGCTTTATTTATATCTGTTTCTGGGCAGAGCAGAGGTGATGGGCTATCGGCGCTGTATCGGGCCTATGCATGGGGCAGTGTCAAATCAAGACAAAATATTCGCTTTATCATCGCCAGTCTGTCGCTGCCTCTTGAGATGATATTGTGTCACGTCTTTCTCGTACTGGGTTACGGTCAGATACCCATATTCAAGCCGTGCAAGAGATTCTAAGGCATTCGTACTTTCCAACCTATCTTTTGTGTTCGGTTTCACTGAGACACCATGAATACGAGCCTTCAAGCGGCTCTCACTGTCACCGAAAGAAAAGGAGCGGATCATCAAGCCCGACATACGCACGTGGAGGAAGTTCGTTCTTCGACCTACGAATCCCAGCCTAACGAGAGCAAGGCATTGAAGCATCTGCGAAGCAAGTTTCTGAACTAGACGATAGAAAGCTACAGACCAAGTCAAATTGGGTATACGAAATCACCAGGTCCCATTTTTCAGGGTGTAGGACCGCCCACTCATTATCCGTTGGTTCAGGGCCACCACGAACCACCTCATGTATTAATAACCCCATACTGCCCAGGGGCTGCGTCCGATCGCAGGACTTGCGGCAGGAACTTTCAAAGAAAAGAGAGAAGGAAAAGGTTCTCGGTCCGAGCACTGTATCCAACGACGTCGTTTTCGGCTTCAACGACAGGCATATCCCAACGGCCCCCCCTGCTTTCTACGGCAGCGGCGACTGTTGCTGGTGCTGCGGGTGCTGGTGCTGCTGCTGCTGGAGCTGCTGCGGCTGCTGTTGCTGTTGCTGTTGCTGCTGGTGCGGGGCAGGAACAACCATGCCCTCCTTGTTCGGCTGGTAGCCTTGGGCGACGGGGGCGGCCGGGCTGGTGCGCGCGATGACCTCCTTGTCGTGCTGGATGAGCGCGCAGCATGCGCACCAGTAGGCGGCGCAGCAGTCGCCGGTGCCGTCGCCCTTGATGCCGTAGCGCTCGCGGATCTCGGACCGCTTGAGCATGGCGTAGCTGTGGGGGACGTTTTTGTCAGCGAGGGGAACCAAAAAACGAGGACGGAAGGGGGATTCGGAAGTTGGGCATCCAATGGTGTGTTTGTGTGTGTACTTACATCCAGCCGCAGCCAAAGTAGGTGATGGCACACATAATGATGCAGTCGTTGTTGAAGGTCTCGTAGGACTGCATCGTCGGGTCTCTCATGCGCTCCGAGGTCTTGCCGAGGACTGGAGTTTTACGCCGACGTTAGCTGGGCGAATCTCGTGGGAGCTAGAGCGAGGCCATTGGGAGGGTCTGGGACGGGCGGCAAAACTTACGGATGCATGGCAGGCAGGTGCCCAAGAGACAAGTCTCGCAGGGACCGCAGTCCATCAGACTGTTCTGCCACTCCTGGGTAGCGGCATTCTGGCCCTGGGCATACTGGGGCTGAGGCTGCTGCTGCTGGTGGTATTGCTGAACCTGCTGGGGGTGTTGTTGCTGCTGGGCCAGCACTGGTTGTTGCTGTTGATGATGTTGTAGTTGTTGCTGCTGCGCCAGCTGTTGCTGCTGGTATTGTTGTGGGTCATACACTTGAGCCTGCGGCTGCTGAGGCTGCTGCTGCTGGTAGTATTGCTGGTGCGTCTGCTGAGCCGATGGGTCCGCCATTGTAGAGGATTCGTTGGCAAAAGAATAATAACAAATATGGCCTTGTGGAGCAAAATTGGGAGTTGAGTTGACAGAGGTCAATTGGAACAAGAATGCTGTTGCCCAACTGGCGCGTCTTGCTCATTTATACATACCCTGTAGCTTACCATGCTAACTAGGTAACCAAAGCTGTCAGACCACGGCTACACTACACTAGGCATGAGCTGACATTGAGAAAGCCAATCAAATCGGCTGCCAATGCACCAAGAAACACGAACCAAGGGGCCTTAGCGCTCTAGGGCTGAAACGCTGTGGGTGGCGATGCTCATTTGGATCGCCCATTTCCCAATCTCCAGGTGGGGAGGCCAAGTGGTGAGTTGTGGCTGTGGGGAACAAACATATAGGTCAACGATTGCCGTCGGCCATGAGGATCTCTTCTTGGAAGATATACCGGTAGCCTGTTAATTTGTTGTTGTTCTTCTGCTTCCCAAATTGGCCGTCTTTTTCCATTGGAAAGGGCGAGTGAACCCAAATAAACCCGTGCTGAGCAGCGGCGTGATGCGTCCGATCCAGCCGCACCGGCGCGTTGCATTCCAAGCCGTCGAGTCACAGTCATACCTGCACCAGACAGATTTCCATTATTTCGTCGTCCGGGCATGCCCCGATGAATCAAACATTCCTGACGGGCTTGCTCAGAATGACGTAGTCGGGCTGGATCTCCCCGGTACGCAGCCTCCTCGTCCTTGGCGAGATCTCGTCCGTCTCGAACCCCAGCTTCCTGTAGAAGTCCAACCCGCGCTCATTCGCCAGAAAGCAGGTCAGCATGACCTTGGTGATGGGCGGTAGGTTCTTGGCAACCGTTGAATGAAAGCCCATGAGCAGCTCGCCGAGGCCGGTACTGGTGCGGGGGTTTCCTACCGTCAGTTGATGAAGACACCAGTGATAATAAACCACAAGGCCACGCAAAAGCACAAGACTAGGGAAGATAACCCGGGCTGACTAACCCCCGCATCTCGGGCTTGAGATGGATCTCGTAGCAGTACACCACCGGCTGGCCCTCCTCGTACGTCGGCATCAGCGAGGTAAATCCGCCGATGGCCCCCTCCCCGTCCCGGACCAGGATGTACCGGAGCTCGGCTGACTTCATCTCCTTGAGCTTCTTGTCTGGCCGCCACTTGACGCTCGAGGTCCTGTAGTCCGCCTCGCTTGTCTCCGCAATGAGGTCGAAGCAGGCCTGCAGTTCTCCGTCACTGAGATTCTCCGACCTCAGCAATTGGAGCGTGAATGTCTGGTTTGACCGGGGGTGTGTCCATGTCGTCACCCAGAGCGTGTCCGGGTCACTTGCAAGGATCAATCAAGAGTCGAAATGTTAGCCAGCACAAGGGACTGCTAATCAGCATGGCCTGCTGCATTTCTTGGTCGCCCGTTCAATTGCAGCAGACCAGATACTCACGTCGATCTCAAGTACTCCTCGACAAACTGCTCGTCAGTCTTCCGGTTTGCAGCATCGAGAGCATCTGTCGGGGTTCGCCGGCGTTGTGGCATAGCGTGCGAACAGGTCGGGGGCATGAACGGGGGGAAAGGGCTAAGCCAAAAAAAATACAAGTAAACCTAACTTGTATCAGGCTAAAAGACGACTTATTGCTTCCGTGATATTGGTATCTGATCTATTCTCTCGGCCGAATCCAAGACACGGTGAGACGCGCCTTCGGGAAAAGTTCAGGTGGCCCTAGCTTCGGCAGTGACGTCTGAGTGGAAGCCGACAAGCAAAAAAAGGCGACGGCAATCTTGGCGTTGACATCCAGCCATCAGCCGCCCAAAAAAGGGAAGCATTTCCGCCTTGATACCTACCCGGCTGCCGTACCCGTAGCGCAAACGCAGAGACTCGCTCTCGCATCAATGTCGCCTTGATGTTCCCTCCTCGCCCGCTCCTGTGGCACTCCATTCGCAGCTATGCCACCGGCCCATCCCGGTCGCGCCTCGGCGCAACCGTGAGCCTGGATCATGTCCGTCCCGTTTCCTGAAACCCCTGCCCCCGAGACGGCTGGACCGCCTGCAATTGACACTGCCGAATAGTTCCTCCTCCGCGCAAGGGCCCTCTCCCTCTACAGGACCATCGTCCGCTCCACGCGGCGAATCAATGATCCTACAACACGCGCCGAGACGCTGAGGTTTGTCCGGGGCGAGTTTGAGAGGCACCGGGCAGTCACCGACACGGTACGTTTGGCGCCAGTCAAGCTTGGGGAACAGGTGCTGCGAGTTCGTATTTCTACTGCCAATTCGGCTAACGACGATACCACAGGGTCATATCCGGTACCTCCTCTCGACGGGCAAGACGGAATGGGAGAGCATGGAGAGATATATTGAGGGTCTATAGTCTGTAGTGGCAATGCAACGGCATGGCTAGTTTTCACGCTTCCAGATTTCCCCTTCTCGCCTTCTCGCCTTCCCTCATCCCTTCGGCCGCCATCCTCTTCTAGCAGAGACATTCCCGAGCTGCCCACGTCCCCATAGTTGTTGTACAAGGCCTACGACTTCAAACACAAGCAGGCTTCCGATATGGTCATCTCAACGTTGCCGCCCCATCTATCCTTGCCGCTGCTTGTGCCTCGGGTTTGCCGGGCAGATTATGTAGATGTAACCCTTGTGTCGCTTGTTTCCCTTCCGTCGAACGACCTGTTTGGAATCCCACGTGTTAGCCAACTGCCATTGATTGCCGTAGGCTCCTCGTGAGTTGTTTTGCCCATCACAGACTGTTCCTTCATCCGAATTGTGCCCCAAAACCACTGCCAGTGCAAACCGAAGATCTCACCTTGCAATGCTCGCACCGTCTCTTCACCGAGCTCTGGACCTTCATGCCTCTTGTCTGCTGCTGCTGGAAGGCCACCACGCCACACGGCCTTGCCTCTGAAACAGCCCCTGCGGCCGTCGATGTCTGTGGTACCGCATTCATCGGGGTCCGTATGGTCAATTGTCGGCTCGCCGGGGAGGGAGAAGCGGTCCAGGAGAGATGCCGAACTTGATGCGCCGTCGCTTGAGCTGGTCGGATCCGGGGTGCGAGCGTCATTGCTCGCAGGGAGGCGGCAAGGACGGAAGCGGAAGATGTCCGCAAGGATGCAGACCCGGAGGCCAGTACTGAGCCTGCCATGCTTCCTGAATACGGGGTACTGCTGAATGAGTCGTCTGCAGCAAATAATTCGGGTCGTCGCCAAATCCGCGTGTTGAATCGCAATGTGGGGCGCAGGTGTTGCAGGGGCTAGACTTTCTGGGCCTAGTCATCCTTCTAGATTCACGTGACAATCCTTGTAAACAACTGCTTGTTTGTGGTTGCCAGATACCTACACCATCATCAAACTCATCCACTTTGGCATGTTTGTTGCATGTATTTTGGAGCCACAATGCCATCATCAGCTTCCGGTGGTGATTTGGACTTGTGAGATAAATAGAAGCCCAGATCCTCAAACCCAGTGGCAAATCCATCCCCACATCAGCGTCTAGCTACCTACCTGCATAGGGCAAGCTCCTCTGGTAATTTGGGTCCCCCGGGCCCTGAAGGCTCCTGTCCTGGTGAGGATGGAGCGCAGCTCAGCCGAGTGTGCCCAAGCACTTCTCTCCTTCTAGTTCCCAAAGGTTCGCTGAAACCTATCGTGCCAGTGAGGTTCATTAGGTATATATAGTCAAGTACACTTAATCACAAGATGCATGTGGTCTGAGTCTAGTTGGAATCTCGATGCATTTGCCAACGCCCCCAACTCCTTTTATTTCCATATCCCTTATCTAGCCCCTTGCCCCCTTTATCATGTCGGAAACCGAAAACCAAAGGCAAGAGCCATCGAGAGAACCAGGGCAGGAGTGATCCTGAACCAGGGCGGGAACCATCGAGAGAACCAGGGCAGGAGTGATCCTGAACCAGGGCGGGAACCAGGCTGAAAAGGGCGACAGCCCCTGAAAGCCCCAGGCGAGAGCCACCAGTCTAAAATGCAACCAAGGAAATAACCACCGTGAAAAGTGGCGAGAGCTCCTGTGAAACTGGCAAGTGCCATCGCAACCCCAAGGCAAGAGCCGCCCCTGCAAGAGAAAGAAAAAGAAAGAAAACCAGAGGCAGGGACCCCCGCGGCAAATGGTAGGAGCCGGTCCTCCAAAACGGCAGAAGCCATCATCAGACCAAACCAAGCCAGAGAGCCGCCACCTCCACCACAACCACCACCACAGCCGCCACAGCCACCACCACAGTCACCGCCACCAAAGAAAAGCCGCACGCACAGCAACGAGGGCAGACAGGCCGACCGGCAGGGGCGAGACTCACCGCTCGCGCCGCGGGCGACGCGCAGCGAGCCTCCCGGCCGTGGTCGTCGGCCGCTTCCTCACGGGCCGGTACTCCTCCTCGCTGTCGTCGTCCTCCTCCTCGCCGTCGCCGCCGTCCTCCCGTTCCTGCCGCCGCCGCCGCCGCCGCTTCGGCACCGCGACAGGGGCGACGCCGTACGTCTCGTACGTCGCGCTCAGCTGCTCGGCCGCCCGGGCCGACGCCTGCCTGGGCCACGAGGCCCTGGCGGGGGCGGGGACGGGGGCGCTAGCCGCGGGAGGGGCGGGGGCCGAGGGGAGGATGGGCGCCGCGGGGGAGACGGGAGCCGCAGGCGGAGCAGGAGCCACGGGCAGGACGGGCGCCGCGGGGACGGCCGGGGCGGCGAGAGGCGCGGGACCGAGGAGAGGCACGCGGCGGACGGGAGCGGCGGGCGGGGCGGGCGCGACCCGGGCGACCCGGGTGATGGGGCCGTTTGACTGGCCCCCCGAAGCGTGGCCCGCGAGGGCAGAAGGCGAGGCGCTGGGAGAGGGCGGGGTCGGTGCGAAGGGCCCGCGGGTGTCGAGACGAGGCCCGCTGGCTGGCCCTGCCAGGGGTTCGGAGGGGACTCGAGGCGCAGAGGGCCGCAGCTCCACGGGGTAACCCCCCGCCTGGTGGGCCAGGCGGGGTGGGTGCGTGGGCACCGCCTGCTGGCCCCTTGAACCCCCACGGGGAGGCAGGACCACGGGCGCCGGGACATTGGCAAGTTCTACTGCGAGGGTGCCCGTTAGTCGAACGTACGAGGTGGTGGTGTTGCGAGATAAACTTACCGCTTCTCTGGCCGTGGTTGTTCGCCGAGACGCGCATCTGATTGAATGGCGGCGCGAGCTCGCCAAGTTCTCCCGATGCTCCCGCGGCCGATCCCGTTTGTCCAATGCCGCTCAGCGTGAAAAGACTCTGGACGCTTGTGACTCGGAGCACGGAGTCTGCGACCATGGCGACGTTCCTCTGGATCCAGTTGTGGAGCACCGCAGCGACTTGGTTGCTGTTCTTCTCTAAAAAGCACAGCGGCCCATTCCCGTGGATGCCTTGCTTGGCCAGCTCAATGTGCTCTACCTGGGTGCCCGTCTCTTGGAGGAATTTGACTGTGGCCCAGTCGTACAGGCTGTGCGGGCTGCATTCTGTGGTGATGACCGCGTGGGCCATTCTTTGCAGGCACGGCAGCTTGCGGACTGGTTTGTCGCCTATGCTCTCCTGGCCCTCTCTAGCCTGGAGGGAATCGCCATTGTGGAGGCCGACAATGCCATCAGCCTGCTGGCTGTAGTAGGACCCTGGGCCGTCCTTCCGCATCACCTGGGAGACATTAAGGGGGCTCCAGGTAGGATCCTCCAAGTCCTTTATGTCATTGATCACCGTCGGTGGATCAAAGTTCATGGGGATGTCGGCGAGGCCATAGCGTCGAAGCCCTGGCACATGACGGAGAAAGGGGGTGTATCGGCGCTTGTTGTCCTCGTCATCCTCGTATGGCAGACAGAAAGGAGGCCCGCTAGGCTCAATGGCAAGAACAGCACGAACTTGTTCCGGCTTGTAATCGGCAACTAGCCAGGCTGTGTTGGCTCCTGTCCCTTCGCCTATCAGGATTGCTGGGCCTGTCATCTGGATGAGACTGGCTACTGCCCGTTGGGCCAGCAACTGTCTCTCTGGGGGTTCAAAGCACAGCGGGGTGAGGCGAGCAATGTACTGGTCGAATATCAGATCTCCGCAGCGTCCAGTCTGCAAGCACGAATTGTTAGTATGGGCCAGATACCTATTTTAGGGGTAGGAACAACAAGGTGCAGGGCAGCATGGTATGCAGGGTAAAAGACAAGGAAACAGCAAGGACAAGGACAAGGACAAAGGACAAGGGCAGTACAGCACGTGGAAGACAGAGTAACAAGTGTGGTAAAGGGCAAAGGGATAGCCAGGTAAAAGGCAGGAGGGGAATCAGGAAGATAAGGGCTGGTCATGACTTACCCCTGGCCATTGGTTGTGGAGTTTCGCCGTGCCCCAGTCTGCTGTCGCCGAGTTTGCCAGCGAAGTGGCCTCATTCTCAATCAGCTCTATGTTTGGCCGGATCACATTCTCGACCTGTGAGAGCATGCCAGAAGACTGTCTAGTGGGGGGGATGTGGATGATATAGACAGAGTAGCCCTGGCTAAGGAAGTAATTTGCCCATCCGGGGCGGTTGTCGGCTGTCTTGAGCCAGATCTGAGACTGATGTCAGTGTCTTTTTCTTTGAGGAATTTTTGTGTGGACTAGGCATTGAAACTTACCGATCCTGTATGGAACTCGCCGTGGATCAGGACGATAGGAATACCGAATACCGTCTTAGCTGGGATCAAGTGCTCGCAATACACCGTGCCATCCACCATGGTCATCTCCGTGTTGAGCCATCTAAACTCGAAATCCCTGGCATGGCTGGTGTAAGGAACTCCAGGATAGGGCTCCATCGAGGAGGATTGGATATTTCCTGGCTGGATGGGGGTAGAGTTGGTGATGGAGGGGCAAGAAAGTCCAGCCTGTGACAGCGCTTTGTATTTTAAGGATGGGTCCGACGGCAAGGACGACGAGGGATCCATGTTTGATTAAGGTGATAGAGTAAAAGCTGAGTAGGGAGGGTACTGCAGAGGATAAGATGTGAGAAATACTGCAAAGTTGATTGCGGGGGAGGCGCTGCTGCACACGGCGAGAAGGGGATGTGAGAAGGGATGCAAGATATCTTGCCAAGGGAAGACGCCGCTGCACACAGCGAGATAGGAGATGTGAAGGGTAGGTAGTCCGAACAATAGTGGTAATAATGCCTGTATATGGATGGGTCTAGGAGATACGTACCGAAGGTCACCGGCAACCAAGGTGAGAGGAACTTGGTAAAGACGGTAAGTCTGTCTTCAAGATGGCGGCAAGCACGACGAGAAAGACGACGGAAGACGCAGTGCAGTGGCGAGATTGGCATGCACACAGCAGTGAGAACGGCGACCTGCTCAAAGTCCTGTCTGGCGATATTAGAGGCTGCACCAGGAGATTTGTACCGAAGGTAGAAGGGTAAGGGTGAGCTGTATGTAGTAGCAGACAAAATGTCGTGGTCTCACCGAGGGAGACGGCAAAGGCAGATATTGAAGGGCAAGGTGGGATATCAAAGCAGACCTAGGCGATGATTTGCTAGTGACTTACCTTGCTACTTGGGGGGAGGTGCAGGACAGATGTGGCAGTAACGGAGGAAGTGCTGTTGTCTGTGGGAGGGAGAAGGGCAAGGCAGAAGTAGGAGATATCAAAGCAGGTCTGAGCTGAGATTCACTGGTGGCTTACTTTCGCTCACTTCTTAGATTAAGAAGTCGGGTTAGGGTAGGCGCGAAGGAGGTGATGTTGTCTGTGGGAGGAAGAAGGGGAAAGGCAGAGGTATCAGATATCAAAGGAGGTCCGAGAGGATATTCCCTGGTGGCTTACTTTCGCTCACTTCTTGGATCAAGAAGTGGAGTTGGGGCAGGAGCGAAGGAAGTGCCGTTGTCTGTGGAAGAAGGAGGGGAAACGTGGTAGGAGGAGATATCAAGGCTGGAATCCCTTGGCGACTGACTTACTTTTGCTTGTTGCTTGGATGAAGGAGCGGGATGGGTGTGGGATGGTGTGGGACGAGAGGAAGTGCTGTTGTTTGTGTAGAGGAGGGAGAAGTGGTCGAGGATGTAAAGGCAGTCCTAAGGTGGGATCCTTTCTTGACTTGGTTTGCTGGTCAGTTGGGGAGCTGAGAGAGAAGGCTGGGGATATTCTGGATATGTGATATGTGCGGTAGATGTGCGGTAGGGGAGCTTACCAGGCAAAATATCGCAGTGCCCGTGAGAGTAGACAAGGGCAAAGAAAGTGCTTGTTGGAGATATCAAAGTTGGACTGCGCCGGAGGGAGTGTTTACTGGAGATATCGAAGATGGACTGCGCCGGAGGGAGTGTTTACTGGAGATATCGAAGATGGACTGCGCCGGAGGAAAGCTTGACCCGAGATATCAAAGACAGATCGCGCCGGAAGGATGCTTAGGTTTGGTCGAGAGAGAGTTGGATTGCAGGCTAGATACTTTGTGGATGGGCGGGCGGGCGAAGAGGAAAGGACGATGTTGCCGAGAAAAATGGACGAGGTACCAGACCAATGGGTGGAAAAGGAAACAGGTTGGTGGATAGAAAAGGGAACAGACCAGAAGGCCAACGCGATATCTGAGAATATCGAGTGAGATGTTGACCACCACGTCAGCACGCGTCTGCTGCAACACTCTTGTGACAGTAAATAAAGCTGGGGTAGAATCTGAGTGCAAGGTGAGAACAGAGCTACTCACCTTGGCTCACCTCCACCTATAAGGCATGTGTGCCACCATCACAATGGGCTTTCGTCTGTGTGCCAGGCAAGCACCATGAACTTGATCTCATCAAGCCTCAATACCAACGAGAAGAGTCTGAAAGATGTCATTGGGAGGTCGACTACGAGTATCAGGAAAGGGGCACTATATCCCAATTTGATAATGACAAAATCAGATGGTTTAGGGGTTGTGCAACGGCAAGTTGGTGGGATTCATTTTGGCTAGTGGCTCATATATACTCATGTATTTTCAATGCAGTCCCCTGGTCCCTTCGTGGGAGTACTGACGAGAATGGACCGTGGCTAGGTGGTATGGGTTGGCGATCAATCACCAATCTTACGTCTACCCTGCAGTTGCAGGCCAGCTCATGAGGTCGCATAGAGTGCGCGATCGAGTATACCTGACCACTTCTCCGCGAGCCCTTGGTCCCAGCTGTCTCTCCACGCGATGATCCCATCGGGCCTGACCAGGATGGCGGCCTTTGCGCTGATGAATCCTTTCCATTCTCCAGAAGCATCTGTCCAGCCATTTTCGCCTACCAATTCAACATGGACGAGATCACTTTCGAGAAACTCCCATGCGCTGCTAGTATCTGCCAACAGCAAGAATTTGTTCAACGGAATCAAATCGCGGATCGCAACGGTCTGCCCTGCCTTGGGACATCCACAAGTGTGGAATGTGATGGCCCGGGATGGTGGACGGCTTGAAAAACTCGGTGACGAGCTCGCCGTTGCCCAATAACTGCCCACCATGGTTGTCTCGAACCCCTTCGCCGTCTGCATCTACCGAGGGGTAAAACCAGCCGATGGAATTTGCTCGGGTCCGATGCCGTCGGCGCACAAGAAAATACCCACTCCTCGCTGTCTCGTGCCTCCGGACTGTCGAACGGCCAGGGGCCGATCTGGTAAAGGTACCCGGTCCTGACACTACCTCCCTGGTCCGGGTGAGTGAACCAGATGATGAAGTTGCGCGGATCCGGGTGTCGCGACCTGAGCGGCGAACGGAAGTGCACCGACACCATATCCATAACGTCCCTCTCACCGATCCATGGCACGCCAAGCTTGTCCGTGACGCTCCTCCCGCCATCGGCGGCGATCACGAACCGGGCGAGCACCTCACTCTCCTCGCCCCTGCTTGACCTCACCTTCACCCGGACCCCACCACCATCCGCCTCGTCGACGACAAGGTCCGTGACCTCGACCCCAAACCTCAACGCCGCCGGGTTCAGCTCCCGCGCCCTCCGCACCAGCAGGGGCTCCAGCCGGTTCTGCGGCATGACCTCGTACCTCGTAGGGCCATGCGCGGCATACTCGTCCGCGTAAGCGCCACCGCCCCATGCGTCGCGGGGAAAGATCTCCCTGCCGCCCGGGCCGAGAGCCGTCCACCAGGCGGTGCGGCCCTTGACGTCGTCCGGGGCGGCGGCGGCGCGCACGGCGGCCAGGCCGCCACCCATGGCGCGGAAGATCTCGGTCGTCCGCTGGTTAATGCCGCACGCCTTGGGGTGGATCGAGGTGCCCCGGTGGCGCTCGAAGAGGGCGTGCGGGATGCCGCGGAGGGAGAGCAGGATGCTAGCCGAGAGGCCGACTGGCCCGCCGCCTATGATGACGACGGGGTGGCGGTCCGTGGCTTCTGGCGGACCTGCCATCTTTGCCGTTTTACGTCCCGAGTTGTGCACTCGGTTGGATTCCCCCTTGCACATGTGGGCAAGAGGGCGAGAGAATGAACTAGGGCATGTGGACCTCCTGCACTAGACCAGATATTCGGCACTTGAATCGTGCGGGGAAGGGAACAGCACCCCGACCCTGTTCTCCGACTTCGTTCCCCAGGTTCCCAGAAGGAGACGGGAGTCATCTTGTGGAAATGCTACGACCTGGGAGAACATAAGTTACCTAGATGGCGGTTGCCAAAATCCCAATCCAAAATACGTACCCACTCCATGATCCTGCCCAGTCCAGATTGAGGGCAGGCCCCCAACTAATGGGGTAAAACAAGCTAGGTAGTCAACTGGTCAAAATCATGAGGGGAAACGAGAGTCTAATGCCAGTTAAATCGACCAAGAGCCTCCGACATGATGATTGATGGCACCAGGACTACGTTGATCACGTGCCTGTGCACATGTTAGTGGTTTTTTTCCTCAATTAGTGGCTGGTTCTTCATTTTGGGCTTGTGATTGTGGAGCGAGCTCGGGCCACATCCCCAGCCAGCAGCACGACGGCTTTTTCATTGGACTCGAAGCGCATCCTAGGTTCCCGTCCTTTTGTCCCGTCATCGAGTTAGGTTCTTCAGTTCCCAGTACACCCAACCACGCGCCAACAGCCTCAGGATCCAACCCCGAAGCCCCGGCCCATTGAGGACACATTTATTCCAAGCTGCCTGCTTCCATTTAACTTCTCTGGACGAAACATTATCCTCTCAAGAGCCTCGCCTCGAAACGTTGCGACCGCTGCCAACGCCGAACGACTTCCAAGCTCTTGCGTGCTTAACCAAGCTTCCTAAAGCACGCGCGAAACCCCGACGAACGTCATACTCCAATCCTCAAGACCGACGCACACTCCCCATACTCTACCTGTGTTCCGAAAATCAAGCAAAATGTCGGGCGAAGCGTGGCTATACCTCTTCGCGGTGCTGATAAATGCCGTCAACCTCTTCCTCCAGGTGTTCTTCACCATTATGTACAGCGATCTCGAATGGTATGCTGTTCCCGGAATTTGTCCTCCACACCTATTCCGTATACCCTGGAGCCGCTTGTCACCCCGTCGGCATTCGGTGTCTCTCGGTTTACGTCATTGTTCTGCTTGTCCCCCGCCAGAAAGATCTGGAGGAGACCTAGAGACCGTGAAGCTGACCGCAACACACTTGTAGTGATTACATCAACCCGATAGACCTCTGCAACCGCCTGAACACGTACATCATCCCCGAAGCCGCCGTCCATGGATTCCTAACTTTCATGTTCCTCATCAACGGATACTGGCTGCCAGTGCTTCTGAACCTTCCACTCCTGGTGTGGAACATCAAGAAGTATATCCCCCCGAGCTCTCCCCGGGGCACCCAACGCCGGAAAGGGAAGCCGAGCTGACTCGCTGTAGGATCGTGGACAATACCCATCTCCTCGACGCAACCGAGATATTCCGGAAGTTGAACGTGCACAAGAAGGTATGAGCGCCGCGGAGCCCGCCTCTTCATGTGTGGGGTGCTATGCTAATCTGTTATCTGGCTGCAGGAATCATTCACGAAGCTTGGTTTCCATCTCGTCATGTTCTTCTTCTATCTATACAGCATGATCGTGGCTCTCATCAGAGACGAGGCACATTAGCGGGGCGGAACCCATCGGTTTGGCTTTCTTCTCGGGACTGGAGGGATCCCGGCACACACGAGGCAAGGCGCGATACTTGCGATCACATAATGCGTAGACGGGTTCGGGCGGCCGGCCTGCATCATGGCCAGGGTGAAAGTCACGGGAGAGGGGGCGAGGTGGTTGGGTAATCGTTGGTGGGCATGGTATATCTATCTATATGCGGGGTGGGGGGAGCGGGGAGCTGATTGCGAAAAGACGAGCTGGAAATGGCCAAACCCCCGAGTATGACCCTCATGAATCTGAGGATTAGATGTCAGGGGGGAGTTCAGGAGGGAAGGAAAGGTAAGGGAGAAAGGACGGTGTTTCCATGTGCGAGTTATGGATACAAATACCTCTGTATTTTCGGTGTTTGAGTTTGGCCAGCCTCGTCTGGGATATCGCGCATTTCGGCCCTGTCAATCAAGCGATGGCAAATGGCATGGGCCTGGCTTTTCCAGTCCGACGTCGGAAATGTATTCCCTTGCAACGACGGCGGATTTCAAAAATAATATGCACTACCTACCTTACTTAGGTATTCCGAGCATCTATGTTCCGTCTCCAACCGAAGCTCTGGCCGTTCTAATGCGCCGCGAACGTCTGCGAATTGGATCACGTGACTGCATAGTGTTGAACCTGGGCTCCAAAAAAAGTTGCAACCCATGACAACGGGAAGCTTGTAAACCCTTCACGACAGCCCATTCCGACCCGAGAAACGAATCTAAGGAGAAAAGAAAATCAGGAGAGAGTGAGGTCACCAGGGCAGATGGCCGACTTCAGCGAGTACCCGCCTAATATGGCGCCACAAGACGCCCTTGTGGTCCGCCAGCAAGCCGAACCGGACCATGCTGTCGTCCCGTACACGGCCGAAGACCTCGCGCGACCGCGGCTTGGGCCGGCCAACCCGTTCAAGGACGAGTCTACGCAGAACCTGCTGAAGCGGAAGAACGTCCTGACCGGCTTCGCGCAGGAGACGATTGTGAGCGAACACACCTTCCGCAGCAAGCACCGCGCCATCGAGAGGCGCGGTGGGCCAGAGCGCGAATTCGTGTCGGGAGCCCAGGCAAAGGAGGAGGCGGCGAGGATACGCTCGAGCCGCGAGACGAGGGGGAAGGCCGCCGTCGCCGAGGGCGATGATGCGTACGTCGGCCCTTGGGCGAAATACAAGCAGGCCGAGTACGAGGAGATCGAGGTCGGCGATGAAGACGAGCTCGCCAGCGACGAGGAGTACGAGATTGTCGAGGAGGATGGAGACGTTGTGGAAAGCGGGACGGTCATACAAGCCCCGGCACAGGCGCTGGCCCGACGGAAGGAGGTGGAAGAGATGGGCGAAGAAACCACGACATTCCACGGCGACAGCGAGTACGATTACCAAGGTCGGACCTACATGCACGTGCCGCAAGACCTGGACATCGACCTACGGAAGGAGCCTGGGAGCGCCACGAACTTCATTCCCAAGAAGTTGGTACATACGTGGAGGAGCCACACGAAGCCGGTCACTTCGTTGCGCCTCTTCCCCAACTCGGGTCATCTGCTGCTCTCTGGCAGCGCCGACACCACCATCAAGATCTGGGACGTCTACCACCAGCGGAATCTTCTCCGGACGTTCTCTGGCCACACAAAGGCCATTTCGGACCTCTCCTTCAACAACGAGGGCACGCGCTTCCTGTCCGGTTCGTTTGACCGCATGATGAAGCTGTGGGATACGGAGACAGGCGTCTGCATCAACAAATTCACCACGGGCAAGACGCCGCACGTCGTTCGCTTCAACCCGTCCGTCGAGCACGCCCACGAGTTCCTGGCCGGCATGTCGGACAAGAAGATTGTCCAGTTCGACACGCGAGCCGGCAACGAGGTGGTCCAGGAGTACGACCACCATCTGGCGGCCATCAACACAATCACCTTCGTAGACGAGAACCGGCGGTTCATGACGACATCGGACGACAAGTCGCTTCGGGCGTGGGACTACAACATCCCCGTGCCGATCAAGTACATCGCCGAGCCGTACATGTACCCGATGACTCGGTCGGCGCTGCACCCGAGCGGCAAGTACGTGGCGTACCAGAGCAGCGACAACCAGATCGTCGTGTACGGCGCGACGGACAAGTTCCGGCAGAACCGCAAGAAGAGCTACCGGGGGCACAACAACGCGGGCACGGCCGCCGACCTGACGTGCAGCCCTGACGGCCAGTTCCTCGCCAGCGGCGACAGCGCGGGCTTCGTCTGCTTCTGGGACTGGAAGACGTGCAAGATGTACCACAAGATCCAGGCCAGCGACCAGGCCGTCACCTGCGTGCAGTGGCACCCGCAGGAGACGAGCAAGGTCGTCACCGCGGGCATGGCCGGCGACATCAAGTTCTGGGACTGAGTCGAGCTCAGGGGTATAAGTGAGTGTAGGTTGCACGGGCGGCGGGGAAGGGCGCTATTGAACTGGGGCATGGCGTGGCGTTTGAGTTGATGGGTTCCAAATATAAAAAATACATGCTCCGCGCTTGTGGCGGTTTTTTTTACAAGGACTTGTACATATATATGCATGGAGCGCCGCGGGAGACGAGTATATTACACCGCATAAACCCGAAGTCCAGTAAAAATTGGTGAGAATTCGACGCAACCGCTCCTATTCCCATACCAATCTAAATCCCAACATTAGACCAAGGGTCCGGTATTCTTTTCTTCCTCGCAGCCCATATCACCCTCCAAAACAACCCTCCAAATCAACCCTCCCACTTAACGTCCCCGATGGTTCCTAGCAACGCTGATAAAATGGGACTGGGGCATCTGCTCGCCGGCACATAATAATACATCTCAATTCACTTAGGACTTTCCTCTCTTGATATCCGCTCATGGTTGTGTTTCTGAGAGTACCGTCGACGTCTGCAGACTCTGAGGCCTTAGAATGGGGTTGTAGTTATGTTCCCCTCTGTCGATAATAGCCGCAGCACCGCGTTCAAACTCGCCGTCTGGATCTAATACTAAGTTATAATCTTTGATGCATCACCAGTGTCCAGTCTGGACAGCCCTCCTACTATCAGGCTACTATGGGGAGCTAGTCAGGGGAGGCGATATCAAACATGATATATACTCATTTTGCAGGTCTCTAGAAGTAAGAAGCTAAGGCCCTCGTTCATCTCGGTAAATACCATGCTTTTACGAGACTAGTCATCCCGGGGCCTTTTGCCAGAGCCCTTGCCAGTTCCGCCAGAAGGCATATAGTTCGAGGTGCCAAGGTGAATTATCATAGTGCTGGGCCATGACGGACAACTGTAAGTAGTCCTACCCCATACTACAAGCGCTGTCCTGCCGTTTTCCCATTGTCTTAAATGACCATTCGGTAGGGGTATAGGAGCTGCAAACATTGAGTTGCAGGGCAATTTCCATGTGATTCTCATGAGTTCCGGGAAAAGAGAGAGTGTTCCATACGCGAGGCGCATACACTCGAATGGATTTCGGAAATAAGCCCTTGCGAGTTTCGATTTATACCATGTCACTAGTGGCTATGCGAGAACCGCTATCGGCGTTGCAGCATAGATCCCAGACTGCTTCACGAAATCCCGGGCACGGGGCCAGACAGGGGCCTTCCATAATTAGGTATTAGATTGTACACCTGACGACGGTTCTAATATACAGTAACTACAGAATCATTCATCCTTCACAACAGCCGTATCCGCCGTCTGTCCATCGCAGAACTCGACCCAGCCGTCCAGGTCCATGGTCTTGATGACAGTGCTGAAGCCGGTGGCGCCGGCCGCCGAGCAGGCGTCCGACACGGCATCCTTGCTAACCTTCCCGGGGGCCCCCGGCGGGTACTCGATGTGGAAGACGGGCTTTCCGGCTTCGACGAAGGCGGAAAAGGTGTCGCACTCGTCGTATTCGGCGCACTCCTCGTTGACGCAGAACTGCACCACCGAGAGGACGTCCGGGATGATGTCCGCCGCGTTCTTCAGTCCCACCCCGAGCCCGCGCTTGCTCGACTCTGCGGCAAGAAATTTGACGAAACTGACCGAGTCCTCGGCGGTGAGTTTGAGGCCGTTTTCATTTTGCTGGAAAAAAAAGGAGGGAGGGGATGTGTGTCAGCGCGAGAATACAGATTCTGCCCATCGCGGGGCGTGGCGGAGGGGGGGGGCGGGGGAACGGGATTCAGCGTACATAGCCGTCGACATTGTCCGGGTCGACAGCGTCGCAGCCCACGTTGCTCGCGAGTTCGATCCGGTCGACCATGATGTCGCGGACGTTTGGGCTGCTGATGTTCAGCCAGAACTCGCCGGGCCAGCCGTCCAGCTCCTTGCCGAGGTCCGAGTCGTTGAACCGCGATGAGTCCGGGCGGCCGGGCTCGTACGACCCGGCGCTGAAGTAGCAGATGACCTTCTTCCCGAGCTTGTGGAGGCTGTCGATGACGGTCGAGTTCTGGTGGAGGAACAGGTCGATGTCGAAGATGCCGACGTCGGGCTCCACCGAGGGCGAATCGCCGTCGATGTCCAGGGGGTAGCTCAGGATGATCTGCCAGGACGAGTTGACGGCGGGCTGCCATGCGGCGCCGGAAGGCGAAGCAGAGGCGGGAGGTAGATGCGTAGTTGGGGCATCGTCGTCGTGTTTTCGCCTCAAGCCGAGCCCGAGCCCGAGCCCGAGGGCCAGAGCAAGCACGATGATCGCGACTGATCCCAGAATGAGGAACTTTTGTCGCCGCCAAAACGGGTGAGGGCCTGGTCTCGCATCCTTTTTTACGGCTTGGTTGCGATTCTGGTCTCCTTGGGCCTTACTTCCCCCTTCCTCGGGCAGGTCCATGCCGGCTGATTTATCACGTGGGATGAACAAGAGATAATGACGTGATTATCCGGATGCAGAGCCACCATCTCTTCGAATAATTATTCGTCTGTTCATTGAAGGTTGATATCTGCTTTCCACAGACCCTGGTATCCCAGGCAGCAGCATTTTCGAGCTCAGGGGTCCAATTTGAGCGCCATACGTGCATGTCTAGCGCATCTTGGCATGGAGGATGCGCCATGGGTGTGTCGCACGAGCCATCAACTTCTGAACAACCTTCTCCAATTCTCCAATTAAGCCCGATGAATACAAATAAGGCGAGATAATAACCTGCCCGGACTCATCAGGCTTCAGTACCTAATTAATGTATTGTCTCTGGACAGTAGCACCTATGAGAGTCTATGGTTTCCGAGAACTTCCCCCATCCTGCCTCTTGTTTGTTCCTTGGCTCTGGAAAACGATACCTAATCTCGCTGGCTGGATTTTATTTCCGGAGTCGTATTCTTTGAATTCACCCCTGCATGAGAAATCGAAGCTCTAAGGGATGGCCATATTCAGACGCTGTTTGAGCCCCCAATTCAAATGGGCCTCGCTACAAATAGAATATGCTCGTTTAGATCTGAGTTACCATGGCTGGATGGCTGGTACTTCTTGTTGGGCAAGATATTTTCAAGGTTCAGAAAAGACAAAACCCTGGAAACAGACACTTAAGTCAAGCTCAGACTCCTCACGGTTTTATCAGAGCTCAATCGAATCACCCAGTCGTCGTTCGGATCATTTCCGAAGCCCTCTCTGCCACTGCATACAGTGTCGCTGTGAGGTGGCCACTGATCTGAAGCGGCAGAACAGAGGCATCCACGACGCGGACATTCCCCGTCCCGTAGACTCTCAGCTCCGGGTCAACCACTCCCCCAAGCTCTCTTGCCATCATTGCCGCTGTTCCTATCGGATGAAAATTCGGAGTAACTACACACCTCAGTCAGCCTCGATGGCAGTGCCAAATAATTAGATATCGCGAGGTTACTTACACGCTTCCGTGACCAACGACTCCCACTGCTCGTCGCTCGCGGGCAGCGGCAGGACAGATGTCCCTGGGGAGATATTCTCGACCACCAAGTCCGCCACAGGCATCTCCGCCCAGTACGCCTGCGCAAGCCTACCGATAGCCACTTGCGTGTCGAGATCGAAGGCAATGTCGAAAAATGCAGGGTCTATGACCGGATCATCAACATCGTCATGCGACGTCGATCGAAGGTGGACGCCTCCCCTGGAGAAAGGCAGGAGGGCCCAGAAGGCGGAGACGAGAAGGTCGCCAGACGCCGTCGTGAGGATCTCTGCGATGGTGACATTCCGCTTGAAGATGAGATCGTGCTGGACCTGGAAGATCTTCTCTAGGGCGCCGGCGTCGAGACCCCCTCCCGTCCTCGAGGCTGTTCGCTCTGCCCATTCAGACAAGCTCGATCTGGTCGTTGAGGCAATGGTGGAGCTACTGTTTCCAAACACGTCTTGCGCCGTGGCAAACGTTGCGTAGGGGACATATCCAGTCTCGTTGATCTTCCCCGAGTAGACCAAGGAGAGATTTGGCTGGTCCTGCAGGTTCTCTCCAACTCCAGGAAGCTCGACAACCGTGTCGATGCCCAGCTTACCGAGAATTCTGCACGTTTCGTCAGTGCTCGGCCACATGACTTGCCCCTCCCCGGGTCTCACCGTACCTTGGGTTTCCGATGCCAGAACGCTCGAGAATTGGCGGCGTCCTCAGCGATCCAGCCGAGAGTATCACCTCCTTCTTGACCTCAAGCACCCGCACAACTCCGTCCGAGTCCAGGTACTCAACACCACTTGCACTAACGCCGCCGGAACCGCAAGGATGCGCCGTTGTCTCTTCCTGCCAGAGCAGCCGCGTCACCGTCCCCTTGATCAGCGTCAGATTAGGCCGATCAGCCACCGGCCAGTAATAAGCCCTCGCCGCGTCCTCCCGCACATCTGCGTCTCGGTCAACGGTCATGGGCCAGACGTCGAAGCCTCGCACGCTCCCGCCGTTGACGTCCCGGATCTTTGGGTATCCCAGCGCGTCCCACGTGTCCCGCGCGACTTGGTAGAAGCTGCCGTTGGACAGCTCCGGTGGGAAGCAGACGTCGAGCGGCCCTCCATCGCCGTGGAACTCGGGGTCGTACGTTCCCCCCGCGGATACCTGGGCGGCCGTCGGCGGGGTCCAGTGCTCGACTTGCTTGTAGTACGGGTAAAGTGCATCCCAATTCCACCCGTCGTTCCCAAGGGCTTCCCAGGCATCGATCTCGGCGGCGTCTCCGCGGATGTAGGTCATTCCTGTCAGGTCACTTAGCGCATGTTTCTCTCTTGCCCCCCGTCTTTCATATCTTCCTCAATCCCATTGCTCAACCCACGAAGCAACAAATCACCACCCACCATTAATAGCACTCGTGCCCCCAACCGCCTTCCCAGCATGGTACACAACCGTCCTGTTCCCCGCCCCCGCCTGCGCCGCCGACAGGTACTGCCAGTCGACCGCGGTGCCCTGCGTGTCCAGCCAGCGCGCGACCCCGGTCACGTTGGCGTTGCCCCGGACGTCGCTCCCCGGCTCGACGACGGCGACGCTCGCGTGCGCGTCGGCTGAGAGCCGGTTCGCCAGCGCGAGCCCGCATGTCCCGCCCCCCGCGACGACGTAGTCGAACGCCCGACCCGCTTCAGTCGCTGCTGCTGCCGGCGCCGCGACGGCGGCGGCGGCCAAGGTGGCGGCGCGGAGTGATGGGGCCCTCATGATGTTGGGGGGGCTTCAAACTGTTTGCTCCCGGCTGTGGCGGGGGAGTATCGATGGTGTATTCAACCGAAAGCTGGAGTGCCGGAAATCCCTTTTTGTCTCCATGCTGATTGTTTATCCCGCCTTGCCCCCCTGTCGATCTGCAAGGTAGTAACAAATGACGACGTTGTGGGGTAGGTAAAAAGGGCCGAAACTGGGAACCCGATGAATCCTTCCTTTATTGGCAAAACCGATGGGGAAGGTGCTGATGTACTGTTCCACGAGCGACCAGTTGTATCTTGAACAGGGCGTGGAAATTAGTCTATTCTTGAAAGCTGGAAACTATCACTCTAGTTCGATAGTGCCTATCATGGGTTAGTACTAATTGTTGGAGAAGGAGGTCATTCAGCGGGGGGGGAGGGGGAGAAATAGAGAACGAAAAAGGGCTGAGGGGAGTTGCTTGGGTTCGTCTCACCCGGAGGTTTCGATGTTGTATCGTAAACTACCCTCGCAATGCCAGGAACTTCGTCGAAAATCCATCTGCTTATAGCCTTAAGGAGAGACCACGAAAATTCATACGGCTCGGCGCTCATCATATCCAGACTGGCCACTGCTCTGAGGATACAGATGTAATTACCGATAAACCCTGGAATCTCCCTGAACGCCCATGGCTGTAACACAAGGCTCAGTCAGCAAGCATCTTCAAAACGCAGGACTGGTTAAGCAGGACTACTAGTCCAATATTCAAGAACAAGATATAGCACATACCTCTGATCGTGTCAAGCACAGCGTAGGCTTGCGTGACCTGTCTCCTATTAGCAACTCATCTTAGTCTAGTAACGGGTCTGTCCGTGCGAACCTCGAGAGGGATTTCAAGTTCATTCTCTATAGCTCGAAATATCTCAAAGGGCGAGTTTACCGAAGTGCCTCAATCTCGAAGCGGTCGATGACTATACAAATGAGCATCACGAGCATGTAAGTGGTCTTTGTGCTAACCTAACTCACAAGTTCCGCATAATCTTGGGCTTGGCTTCAGGTTCCACGACACCGGCAAGACGACTCCAGAAGAGCTCTGACCCATCCACAATGGTCAGGTTGATACCGAGATGTTCCTCCAGCGTTTGCTTGACTTGGGCATTCGTTAAGACGCATCAAACCTAGAGGGAGGCATTAGAGTTAACCCGTGTTGTATCCTAGACTTGCTGCTTACCAGTGTCTACTAGTCGCCCTATCAACACCTCCAGAGACAGCTCCAATCTGTCGAATCGGGGTTAGTCAGTCGTTTGAGCAGTTTTCTTGAGGGCAGCATAACAACTTGGGCCTTGTCTCCAATAAGCTTGCGGAACCTGACAATCTCCTTCTCGGTGAAGCTCTCCATCTCCCCGTCCGCACGAGCCTTACAAATTTTGATAGCAAATTGGCCGAGAATATCAGTCCCCCGCGCTGTATGGGAGATCCCAGGGTGTAGCTGGATCCCTACAGGTGATCACCGTTAGTTTCTGAAACGACAGCCATACAAGGCTAGAAGCGGACAGCGAGGACAACGTGCTTATGTCGCGACAGCCAGGTCATGCTTCTTGGTAATGTTTACAGTCCCGAGAGAAAGTCAAAGTGGCTTGACAATTCCAGTCCCCAACACTTCTTGCGGGAGGTAGCACAGTCGGGATTCATCAGCCACACAGCAGTGGAAGTTTCATCATCAGTGAGGGACCTCCGACAACTTTGGTATATCAGACTGGCGATTTACAATGCATCACTGCTATTGCGCTATTCTAAGTGTGAAGGGAAACAAGGAAAGATAGCCCCCTATGTTTATCCCCCGAAGGACGACGAAATAGACCCTAACTGGTACTTCTCATTTGCCAAACTTGACTCTCCGACCAGCAACCACGCAATCTATTTACACAAATGTAGCATAGAAAACCTGAACGACGTCATTACCAGCCTGAACTGGGATGACGTTCATGCCGTTGTAAGGTTGGTTGTTGACGAGAAAATTGTACGCCACCGTCGCCTGGGCAATCTCCATATTGCAGCAGACGCCAATGACCCACTTCTCAGCACCTTCGAACGAGCCTCTGACAGCCTGCTGCACCTTGTCGAGGTCTGCCTGAAGGCGCTGCGCAAAACGGTTTAGATGGACGCTGTCCTGGAAGGTGGACTGGCACTTGAGCTCAATGATGAAGAAGGGCGGCGCGACGCCGGTGCCCGTGGGGCAGACAAAGTCAACCTTCTGGCCCGGGTTGGCGGGAAAGACTTCCCTCACCTCGCGCTGGGCGACGAGGCAAGGGATTCGCTGCTTGAAGAAGTGCGCGAGCTCGGTCTGTGCCGTCGCCTCCCAGCCGCCAGGCAGCTTGGAGTCGGCGATGCATGCCGCCACGCCACGCTGGGCGACCCAGGCCGCGACGACTTGGTTGATACGTGCTGGCTGCGCCATTCCGTTTGCATACTGTCAGTCCGCGACAACAGGGCTGCAGTGGTGGGGAGCTCACTATGCTGGAAATAGCACAGAACGTGCTCTAGTACAGAGTCCAGAGGGGCGATTCCACGTCTTCAGCCGGATTGTCAAAGGTAAAGCACAAAGATGTACACGGCAGGGTGAAGGGATGCGAAACAGAATGAAGGGCCAAGGTATGTCCTCAAAGAGCGAAGACAAAAACTACTGTTCTCGTTCTCATTATATACTCCTGTACCGTCGCCCCACATCCGGCATGCCATTACGGGACGGCCCACTCCCGATGCCGTGGCGCCGCTGAAGGCGCCCAAGTAAGACTAGCAGCATCCAGCATCCTCCAACCAGGCGGTCGAATTCCGCAGTCGAAGCAGCCGGGTAAGGCAGGTTCAGCTAGAACGGGGCAAAATAAACCGAGACTAGTTGGTGACAGGACACTATAGGTTATAGCGTAGCTCGATACAGATGTTCAGCTGCTCTACTGAGGTTTGGAGATAGACTCTACTAGGGCTGGAAGTCCCAAAACGTTCCAACTCCGAGCCAAGACACTCCGCCTGACCATATACAAGGCTTAGGGAGAGGAACTACTGTGGGTATCATGTTTGCTCGCCGCAACTCGTGTGACGTGCATACACACTTGGAAGTCACTTGGAGGGGGGCAAGCCTCCGGGATGACGGCTGCTTCGGACAGAAGGGCCTGACTGAGGAAGGGGCATTTGTCAAAGACTAAAAGCTGAAGGACAATAGATGGTATATTACAATGGTGCGACTATTTTTGCAGGCGTGTGTGTTGCTCAGGGGCGGTACGAATGCGAAGAAACCGAGGCATTCCGTCACAGTAAGTAGAAGGCATCAAAACATGGAACGTCAACGAAGAGGATGTGTGATTGTCGCCGACCACCGCTTTGTTATCGGGGTCCCTAGGCTCCGGGGAATCCTCTGGGGAATGTCGCTGGTCTAATACCAAAGAGATTTTTGGCATATCTATGATAATATTGGGTTGCTGTTGGTAGCAGGTTGTTGCACAGGCATTAGAGCTAATTACGAAAGTGGATAGATGGCGGTAGGTGCAGACAGCTTCCACTTGTGAAACTGACGACTTATCTTGCAGCCAACCAACACAGGTCATCCCACCCACTCTCATCCAGCCTCTGTGTTTGCATTCATCAGGCTCTCAGCGCGAACAGCATCAGAACTGGAGGGATCACACAGCCACAATTTTCATGGCCGGCCACTACTGTGGCCCCCTGGGTGAGTCACAGATCAAACGCAGTCGCCCGCTACCCTCGAGATTCCCACGCTTCTTTCATGGCTGACTGATGATATCCTCGCCTCCCCCCGTTCATCCCAATTTGTTTATCTGGATCAGTGGCAGCCATGTCGACTCACGCATTCCTTCGGATGCCTCTGCATTTGCTCAGTATGGTGCTTTCACACCTAGACAGCATTCAATCATTACGATCGGCCATCTTGAGCCATTCGTCGCTTTATGTTGGGTTCAGGGAGAACCCAGACAGAGTTATTTCAGATATCCTTAACGGCCAAATGTCACCAGAGACAATGGTCTACGCCATAGCTGCGTACGAAGCCAACTCTATTGACAGTGACGACAAGGAGCAAATCGAAGATTTCCTGATGCGTTGGTTCGACTTCGCTGGACCGGACGCACCAGGCGAGTATTACATCACACCGGGAGAGCAGGATCCATCCGTCGCAAGTGCTCTGAGCAGGACCCACACCATCGTCCAGTATTTCACTCGGGACCTTGTGCAGGACACGCTACCACTGAGCCGCGAGGAGCTCGGACTTGAGCGTTCGGACCACACTCGAGCTTCTCCGAGCGAGGTCTTCCGAATTCATCGCGCCTTGTACCGCTTTCAGGGGTATTGCAACCTTTTCTTCCGCGATGAGAAGGAATTCTGTCCCGACCGGGAGCGCACAAGCGCTTTATGCGCCTTGCTGCACGTCTATTTCTTCGGCTTATTCTCTACTTGGGTGAATGAGCAACTTGCCTGCGTCCATGATTACTTGGAACGAGTCCTGTCTCGAGGTTGGCGTACCACCCTCACGCCTACCCTTCCAGTTATACACGATGCTAATTTTCATCCTCAGCCTTTGATGATGTTGCTGCCCACGATGTCCAATGGGGCTTCGAGTCTGTTGACTGGCTATCCAAAGGAAAGGCTAATGAGCACAAACAAGCATACGTAAGTGTTCGAAATCCCACTCTAAACAGGAACTGCCCGTCTAAGTCGTTTTCAAGCTATCGTACGGCCTCCACTTTCTCTTCAGACTCGACCAAGCCCAGAGCTGCAACGAACGGCTGGAGATACTGCACACGAAAGGCTAGTCACCACCGCACACCAGGAACATGTTAGCCTCCCACTTCAGATATGCCACAGTGCCTTCTGACTATGTTTTTTTGAACCATTATTACACTCCTCTTGAGGACTGGACCCCAGAGCACCTCAATGACCTGCGAAGGTGGGGGACAGACGGACCAGTCGACGGGATCAAGTCGGGCCCTTTCCGAATGTGGTTGGAGGCGCACAAGGGTTTTCGCGTGAGGGATGCGGTGTACCACGAAGAGCACCCGCGCCTCAGGCGGTGCGGTTATGTTCTGTGGGATGCTCCAGATCCTCCTATAGATGAGAAAGTGCTCCGGGGCCACTTCCTGGATGCGCGCAGGCAGGGTCTCCTTGACTACTTGGCGCTCAATGGGGCCAGGGACAAGATGAATAAGTCCTGGACGGAGAGAGCCGCGATATACGAGAGCGGTGGACGCGGCTACTGGAATGAGGGTGATTTGAGCCAGGTCGTTTGGAGTGAGGGAGCGTCGCAAGTGGCAATGGGATCAAGCATGGAGAAATTACGGGTATTGTAGAACAAATGGCAAAGCGACGCTGAGGTTGTTATTTGTTTGTACTGTAACATACCTAATTCGGGGGCTCTTTTTCGGTGTGTCATCAATCGACGAGTTTAGCAGCAAGCATTACCTAGCCAGGAACTTACCTGGTTGCTATGCTTCTAGATAATAGACAAGTTCTACTGCACCTGCCTGACTATCCCGCTAAACTATAGCCAACCCCTTTACGCATCACCTGACAATCTAAAGCTCCACCTTGAGTAGGTAATGAGGAACAGGGGACGCAGCAGTGCAAACACGCCCCGCCATAGGCGTGTTTTGAGCAGTTCGGAGGCCCGTATTTGGTGTCTGAGAGCATAGTCAAAGTGCCACCGTCCAGAGACGGATGGGGTGTTTCAGCTCCTGCGGTGACAACATTGTAACCCCGCCCATCACCTCCGACAAGCAATCGGACCGAGCAACCAGACGGCACCGGGGCGAAACGATCCACATCCACGTCTGAAATGTTTGCCATCGGTTCGCTAGAGAGCCCCGACAACTGCAGACACACGAAGGCCGTGTCATCCGAGTCGGCATATGGCCATGGCCCCCGTCGTTATCTCGCTAGGTTACTCGTACTAACGGCCCGAAGGGATAATTCCCGGGTCACCACGTAAGTGCACGACCTAGCCAATCCCTCATCCAATCCGATTCGCCAGCACCCCCGTCTTATTTAGTCCCATTCTCGACCGCAGGTATCTGCACCGGCCCCCCGGGGCTGTTTTCTTGCCTCGCCGTTAGGATCTCCACGCCCGTCTCAGTGACCAGCAGGGTATGTTCTACGTTGAAGCGTTAGTTGTTGGGGTTCGCACGGACAACTAGATTTGGGGAAAAGCGGGAGGGGGTTAATTCTCGTACCAAACTGAGCAGTCCGCTTCCCGTCGATTGTCGCGCTCGTCCAGTTATCGGGCCAGGTGACATCGCGGTACTTTCCAAGCGCGATCATGGGCTCGATGGTGAAGGTCATGCCGGGCTTGCACTCGCCGACGGCCTTGTTCTTGGCATAATGAGGGATGTTGGGCGGGCAGTGGAAGACCGAGTTGATGCCGTGGCCGACGTACGTCCGGATGACGCTGCAGCCCTTGGACTTTGCGTGCTTCTCGATGGCGTTGCCGAAATCCCGGAACAGCGTCCCCGGCTTGACCATCTTGATGGCCTCGTCCAGGCACTCGCGCGCCGCCTCGACGACGCGGACCGTGTCCGGGTCCGCCTTGGCCTTGTCGCCGACGTAGTAGGTCTCGTTCAGGTCGCCGTGGTAGCCGTCGTGGTAGAGGGTCACGTCGAGGTTGATGATGTCTCCGTCGACGAGAGCCCGCTTGTCGGGGATGCCGTGGCAGATGATTTCGTTGACCGAGGTGCAAACCGACTTTGGGAAGTAGTTGTAGTTGAGGGGAGAAGGGTAGGACTATAAGATTGTCAGCGGAACCTTGCTCGGGATATTTGACCACAGAAGACGGCTTACATTCCGCTCCACACACGCCTTGTGGACGATCTCGTCGATCTCGTCTGTTGTGATCCCTGGCCTCAGCGCGGCGGCTGCGATATCCAGCACCTCTCTTGCCAACCTCCCCACCTTCCGCATCTTATCCTGGGCCGTCGCATCGAGCTGTTCGATCTTGTTCGAACGGGCGAGGGACCGTCCGGATTTGGGTATGCCATCGACGGCGTAGTCGGGGTGGGGTATCGAGCTGGGCACCTTTCGCCTCGGGGAGAGAGGATATGCTGGTCGGAGAGGCCCAGTGAAGGAAAACTTGGGGAACGGGTTGAAGTATCCCGTCAACGGGTCGGGTTTGGGGGTATTCGCGTTACCGCTTGCTATTTCGTGTATGGCTTTGTGAGTGCGCTGGAGGAGCAAATTGTCAGCACAAGCAAACGTGCATGATATGGGCTTGGGATCAATGGCTCTGTACCCAATTCTTCTTAAAGCAATCTTGAGTGCAGAAGAAGCTGTCTTTAAGGCCAATTTTCAGGCAGGTCGGGCACTGCAGTGTCCCGGCATCGTTCGGACAGTCTTCCCCAAGGCATTTCTTCTTGGCAGGAGGCTGGTCACCCATGATGGTTAAGACAGGCTTAGGATGGATCCTGGGCAGTATAGCAATTACGTCGTAGGGAAATAATAATTCTCTCCAGACTTCACAAACGGGGCGTTACTACGTCGGTGTTGTCCAAAAAACAAAAACAATATCGATTCCTTGGTGGGGGATGTCGTTCGAAGTTTTGCGCGCCCTTCGTCACCGCCTTGTGCCACCGCCCTGCCGGGTATCGCCGATCGCACAGGGACCAGGATCTGTAACTACCTCTAACCACAAGAGGAAGTCAACTGGAAAATCACCTCATTTTCCTCCTTTTCCGAAGTATATCCGAGCCGCCGAGGCAATTCCATCACTCAAAAGTCTCAAAATATTCAAATGCATCTAGGTACGTACATACAATACATAAAGTTTGTCAGCACAACTTTGGGTGTTTGTTGAGCCCTGCCAAACGCCACTGCTTGGATCATGGCTGAAAAGCAAAAGGTTGTGGTTGTTGGCGCTGGGCCTGTCGGCTCACTTGCTGCGCTTTATGCAGCTCAGAGGGGAGATGATGTCGAGATCTATGAGCTCCGAGATGGTGAGTTGTACAGTCTTGCGGTTTCATGAAGTCACTCGAAGCCCCCCGTTTCTCCCTGTCCGTCGTGTTCCACCACGTCAAGGCGGCGCAATCCACAGATCTGCGAATAATGTGTGCGATGTGATCCGGAATGTTCGATCATTGGCTGTGGCTTAGTGGAGGAGATTGTCGATTTCAAAGACGCATCAGCTGATCCTAGCCCCAGATCTAAGAGACCCCTCGACAACACCACTCAACTTTACACGATCGATCAACCTCGCGCTTTCGGAGCGAGGCATCAACGCCATGCGCCATTCGGGGCAGCCAAAACTGTTGGATCATGTGATGGCTGCTACCATCCCCATGAGAGGAAGGATGATTCACGGCAAGCGGCCCAACGGGCAAATCTTTGAGCAAGCACAGGACTACGATGCTCATGGGAGGGCAAGTCAAATTCCGGTCTTCCCGAGATGCTCATTGCAGACGCATCCCCAGCCCCTTTTGGCAGTTCGTGGCTAACTCCTCCTCCCTCAGGCAATTCTTGCCGTAGACCGTGGAGGCCTAAATAAGCGTCTACTGGACATCCTGGAAGGCATGCCGAATGTGACCTTCTACTTTAACCACAAGTTGACCGGAGCCGATTTCCGGAAATGCAAGGCTTGGTTTGAAATCCAGGGGAAGGAGTCGTCGACAGGCCGGGCAAGGGAGATCGAGATTGATTTTGACCTCATGATAGGGGCAGATGGCGCTCACTCCGCTGTAAGGTACCACATGATGAAGTTCACCCGCATGGACTACCATCAGGAGTACATCGATACGCTCTGGTGCGAGTTTCAGATCAAGCGAAAGGAAGATGCCCCGGAGAACGAGCCAATGGCCAGGTTCAGGATATCGCCCAATCACTTGCACATCTGGCCTGGCAAGGAGTTCATGTTTATTGCCATCCCAAGCGACGTGAGTTCATGGCACCCAGACATCGGACAGCTTGTTACATCAACGTTATGGCTGCTAATTTGGCACAGGACGGCTCATTCACCTGTACTCTCTTTGCGCCAAGCGAGGTGTTCGAGAGGCTCGAGATCAACCCGGATCAGATCCCCTCCTTCTTCGACCACCACTTTCCCGGCGTCACCGCCCTCATCCAGCCGTACGAGCTCATCACGTCTTTCCACCAGAACCCACACCTGCCCCTCATCAGCATCAAGTGCAAGCCCTACCACTACGGCTCCTCGGCCGTGGTCCTCGGCGATGCCGCCCACGCCATGGTGCCATTCTACGGCCAGGGCATGAACGCGGGCCTCGAGGACGTCCGGATCCTCTTCGGCATCCTCGACAAGCACTCGCTCATCGGCGGCCGCGACGACGACGACGAGGAGAGCCGCTCGGCCGTCGTCCGCTCCTCACAGCGCGAGGCGGCCCTGGCCGAGTACACGGCCGTGCGCGCCCCCGACGCCCACGCCATCAACGACCTAGCCCTGCAGAACTACGTCGAGATGCGGTCCGAGGTGCTGTCGCCCATGTACCGGCTGAGGAAGTTCCTCGAGGAGTCGCTGTCGGTGCACCTGCCGGGGCTCGGCTGGCAGACCAAGTACGCCAGGGTGTCCTTTGGGAACGAGAGGTATTCCGAGGTCGTGGCGAGGAGCGACTACCAAGGCAAGGCTCTGGTGCGGGGGTTCTTTGGCGCCGTGGGACTGCCGCTGCTTGCCGGTGGGTTCCTGCTATACTTTAGGCACCGGGGGGCGTTGAAATCGGCTGTGCGAGCGTGTTTTGGGTGGTTGTGTAGGTCTGTGAGGAGATGATGGTGTGGGTGGGCTTACGTCTAGCTACCCCTGAGTAGCATCACTCTTCAGTTTGTAATAGCATTTTGGATATGGTGATAACATCAGAAGCTCACTTGGGGTCCTTAATACTGAAGCTGGTCCATATGATCCACCGCGTTGGACACTATCAGGACAAGGTCCTCAGTGAGGAAGCGGATGGCGCGGGTAGAGTCGCAGGCGATGACGGCGATGGCGGCCTCGAGATCCGCCACGAGAAGGCAGATATCAATGGTGGCGGCAATGCCGGCAGCACCAACCAGCACGCCGAGCCAAGCAGCAATGGTGCTTAGAAGGGAAAGCGTATCGGGCCTGACCGCCCCAGTTGGTACCGTCACTGGCACTGGCACCGTCATTGTCGTCGTCATTGTCGGCGTCGGCGTCGGCTTCTTTACCGCCATAAGGGCGGCACGGCTCGGCGTAGGGGTGGGGGTGGGGGTGATGGGCATTTGTTCTTTATCTAAGCACAGTCTGAGTCAGTGTGTGTGTTTCCTGCTTTCAAAATGCTGCCCAAGCGCCCCTGGAAACTACAAGTACTTATGCTCAGTCAACTCTCCTCGAGGAGAGCTGTAGACTTGTCGGGATCAAAGATCCTCTAATAGCTGGCAGGAACTTCCCCCTAAGTTTTGAAGTAGGTAGCGAAAGCTTTGCGGTTTGGGGAGGTAATATCAAAGATAGACAGAGCGTTTTAGGGGAACGGCCAAAACATGGGCATCCATCTTAAAACGAAGGATTTGGAAAGAACGACGAGACACATGAATTGCAGTAACATATTTTCCCCATCGACGTTGCTCCCCTATTAGAGGGCCAGGCATGAGGGGTATGTCAACAAAGAGACCAACATAGGCCATTGTAATCTTTGGTCCTTGGCTTCAGCCAAGCATCCACCACCACAGGAGCACGTAGGAGGGTGTCTTCAGACCAGGGGGTGCCCGGAAGTCTGGCACTATGGGGACAGGCACTGGGGGGGACAAGCACTACTTACAAAAGGGCTGCGAGAATCCTGATTAGACTGTTAAAAGAAATCTTCTTGCTGGTAATTACAACCCACTCATACCAAGGTAGGTTTAGATATAAATTCATCAATAGACAGGATAGCAAGCGCAATATACTCTAGTAACAACGGTTTTCTCGCTTGTTTGGCAAAGAATCTGGGATATCTAAATCGGCACAATGCTGCAGCGGTTCCGAGCTTGGCTGAGACGTAAAACACGTCGCGGAGATACCATGATGCCCCGGGTCATGGCCGAAAACACTACGTCGACCACAAGTCAACCAAACTCAACCGCCCCTCCCCCGCCATACGAGAGCCTCGGCCATCTCTCATTGGACGAACTTCTCCAGTCCGTTTTACTTAGGTTGATGTGGACCACGACCCTCGATAATAATCTAGCTATCTTGCCAACGGCACCATCAACGTACCGGCCTTCGCTACTGCCATTGCTAACTGTCCCCTCTGCCATCGCCGCCCAGGCTCCTGCGGCTACCGGCACTTGCCTACGCCGCCGTGGACGCCAGTACCGTCGCTGATTGTGACTTAAACTTGTCTAGAACCTCAGGGCAGCCACAAATATCCAATAATAATTCATATAATAGGCTGTTATCTTCGACCATGAATGTGTAGAGCAGAATTTGGTGAATTGGTAGAGAGCGCTGCATGTGCCCATATCCACGCCCATAAAGGCGTCCCCACTGCCAGCTCCTTTCAGCTGAAGCTGCTCGGCCAATTATAGCGCGAGACGCCATGTTTAGTAGGAATCTGGGAGAGCATGAAAACAAGGCAGATCAGACCGTCTGGAGTCCTGGGAGAGTCGTTTCGCGGCGAGGGATCACGTGCGACACTGCGGCAGGGGGGCGAGATGTCGAGATTCGTCTTTCATCACATCTCGAAAGCCCAAATGTTGTCATTTCAGTCCGATATGGCTTTGCATATCCCGGGAAAGGGCACCGTGGTAAACACGTTTGCATGACGGGGATGTGGGTGCATGAAACGTTTGGGTATATCTGGCCGCGTTCCGGCAAGCCTCCGCATCAAAGAGATCAGCCAACCTAAATGTCCCCAGGAAACACCAAGCGACGCTTAAAAAATGGGATTCTTTTTAGCCTGGAAAGATGGGGAAACGGGGAAACGGACGGCGTAGAAACACTATGCGTTCAGCTGGGCAAAGTCTGGGCCAGTGAGCGGCCCGGGCTGTGGCGAAGGGGCATCTCCATGTCTATATTCCTTGCGCTGATGACGTTTGATAGACATCTCTGAACACTGGTTTATGGCCGACCGGGTAGGCGAAGTCCTATGCGTAATCTAAAATGTGGCTATGGAGTGGTGATGAATCCAAGGATCAAAATGGCGGCCATCACCGCCCGCTCATGCTTTACCAAGTGGTTGGGATGCCATGAATAATGTTGTCAATGCAGGCAGAAATGCAGGGTAGCTGTAAAGCCGACGGGAACAGAATGTTAGGAGGGAAGAGGCAATGAATTGTCAACGTAGTCTTGGAAGGAAGTGTCAGGTAGAAGAGAAGAAAGCGAGCTAGAAGCCCAGGCCGTGGTGTCACATTGAGACACATCGCGAGATTCGGCACGAACCGTGGCGATTTGGCCTGCTGGCACGCAATGGGAATCAGGATGGGGGGGCAAGGGGACAAGAGCCAGGAATCGAACAGGTTCGGACGAGAACCACTTCTGAGGAGACATGGCTGGCAGACCAAGTGTTTGCAATGAAGAAGCAAAGGGCTCCAGTGTCAAGTAATTGTTTCGGAGATCTGAACGATCGCTGTGCCCGACACCCGGTTCTGAGGCAACACGAGACCCGCAATCCTTTTTGATACCTGCTTGAGAGTGGATGGTAAGATGTGAGCGGTTAGCTGTCATTAGATGATTGGGCTCGATGGGTTCATTCGATCTGTTTTTATGAGACCAATTCCTTGCAGAGGCTCCATGTCCGTGAATCGCTATCGGACAACTGAGACAGACGAAAAACAGGCCCCCTGGTTGAAATTTACGCGAAGGCGGAACCTGAAGCTGAAGCCGAAGCCGAAGCCAAGAAAGGACTCAGGATGGCCGGTGCAAGCGTGGCCTGCCAAGCCTTATATGAAGTGGTCTAGCGAGCCACGGACGGTCTTCGTTTAGGTGGGCATTGGAAAAGACTAGCAGTCAAACTGGCGAGGTCTCAGATGCAGTCTCAGAATCCTAATGCGGCTGTTTGATCGGCTTGATCCGAACTTAAGCGAGGCGCCAAGGATGGACAAAAGTGGGTTCTGCAGTGACGGAAAAGGGCCAGGGGCACAGGGGGTTTCCCTGCAACCCGAGGCAAGCTCGCGGATTTCCTTTGGCCCAAGCTCAATACAGAAGCAACGGCAAACCCATCCCAGCAAACGGGTTGATGATCCGATATTCACCCAAATTGCCCAGGGAGTGGGCCGAGAATCATCATCAAGCTTAAACATGAAGCAAGAGCACCACTGGGATGCGCCAAAGGTAAAAGGCAGTATAATTTGGACTGTAGATCGGCGGACTTCTGTCGACCTGAGCGACCTAGACCCATTCTCGAGTCTCTCTCCTTTCTCGGAGCCAGACCCCGAACGTTCCGAATCGACCGCCTTGAGGGCTCGGGCCCAGCCCAGTGAGCAAAATGTTGACTGCAGCAACTCCTGAAGCAAGGATCGCAAGGTTGGCTACAGGAACTGCAATTCGACCCTGCTATTGGACCGAGTTGGGACGGATCCCCCCGACTCCCTGTCAAGGAGCCTCACAGCTGGGAGCCCCAGGACCCCAAGCAATCGCGGCTCCCCAGCTAACCAGATCAGATGATACAAGGAGTGTCCCATCAGATGGGATAACGCCGCTAACGCCCATCTCGCCCTGTTGTCGGCGCCCCTTGCCCTCCCCTCGTCCTTCACTATCCAATTTCCAGTGCTGGTATGATCGCCATTAGGGGGGCTGGCGCTCTGCCGCCATGTCTTGGCCCGTGTCGCAACGTTCGTTCTAGCCATGGCCGTCCGCCAATCTCTATATAACCTCTTTTCCCAGGCTGCTTAGCAACTGTCTTCCCTCCCTCATCAGTCCATCAAACAAGGCCTGCAGCTCTCTTTCTTTGCTTACCTTTTCGCTCTTTAAGTTCTGTGAACTTGTTTTTGTTCTCGACGCTCTTTCAGCTCGACATTCGCTTCGCTTCTCGTACACATTGCAACCTCAAAACCGCTAGTTCGGTCTTCGTCTCGACTCTCCCCCCCCCCCCAGCATCACACACAATCCGATTAGGAGAAGGAAGATCAACACGTCCAACATGTCTAAAGCCATCATCCTCTCTGCCCTTTTGGCTTTTGCCGAGGCCCGTTTCGGCCAGGAGGGTCTGATTCAGAATGCCATCTCCTCCCTGGGCAATTTTGGTAACCCCGGTGAGGCCGCTACCCTGGCTGGTGGCAGCCCCGGCGTTCTTCTCGGCGGTGCCAATGCCTGCGCCAAGGTAAGAAAAGAACAGAAACCGTTCCCCCGGGGTGACACTTGCGAGACGGGACCTAGATTGCTGACCCCATGCCCCGCAGCTTGAACTCGCCGACAAGATTGTCGCCACGCTCGGTAACGACCCCGCGGTTATCGCCGCCGCTGCCCAGCTTGTCGCTGCCGAGAAGAACTTCAACCCCTTCGCTGCGGCGACCCCCGTTATCTGCAGCGACGCGAGCCTCCCTGTCACCGTGGAGCTCCGAGGCATTGTCCCCCTCGTCGACCCCGATGTCCTCGGCTCTGATATTGAAAATGCCAACTCGGCCACGTCGCTGAAGACGCCCTTCAACGCCGCAGGCCTCAGCGTCGCCGATGTGATGGCTGCCAACGGCTTCTCCAACTTCACTACCCAGGGATCTGATGGTGCTGCCGGTGCTGCTCCCGCTGCCGCCGCCGGCGGTGCTGCTGCCGCTGCTCCTGCCGCTGCTGCTCCTGCCGCTGTTGTCGACTGTGGTGCCGGCGCAGCAGCTGCTGCTCCCGCCGCTGCTGCTCCCGCCGCCGCCGCTCCCGCCGCCGCCGCTGGCGCCGCTGGTGCCGTGGTCAATGGAGTTCAGCAGTCGACGATTGCCGGCCTCGACTTCGGCCTCTGCGTCCCCACTGTCAAGTTCGAGCCTGGTCTCAACGGCCGCAAGGACACCGAGTTCACCTTCCAGGCCATCGACCCCATCGTCAACAAGGGCCAGCAGGAGGCGCTGAACCCGGCCATCATCTTCAACCGCATCTGCGACCAGCTGGGCAATGTCTGCGAGGCTAGCGATGCCGCCAAGGCGGCTTGTGAGCAGGCCAAGGCCGACCTGAGCGGTGGCGACCGCAACGCCGCTCTTGCCGATGCCTGGAACACCCAGCTCGGCTTCGCTGGCACCGATATCAACCCCGACAACGCTCCCCAGGCTGGCCTCATCGGCCACTCTTAATCAACGAGCGGAGTGTAGTACGTATCACGGTGGGGTTGTCGGAGTTTCTGTGAGCTAAGGGACGGGTTTTGATCTTCTTATTCTTGGACGAACAACATGTATTATTCAGCTGCGGCGCAGAACTTGAACGTAGGTTCCATGCCTAGCAAATGCTCATGGGGGGAATGGAGTTTGTGCTCTTTCTCTCTCTCTCTCTCTCTCTTTGCAGCGGGATGCAAAGCACTGGTGTTAGACGGGTGTGTGTAACTAGATACCTCCTGGGGGAAAGGAAATTTGGGGGCAAATTCACGAACATGACTGCTCATGATAACTGCTTGAGACTGAGTTGCCGTCTCCAAAATATTGGTGACCTGCCATACTCTCTCCCATTTGAGGCGGAGTCCTCGGATTGGAAACCTTGGTGGGGGTGGTGGGGTGGTGGGGTGGTGGGGTGGTGTACATCGGCCTGTGGAGTCGAAGTCGGGCCCCCTCCGGAATGGAAAGGCGTGGAAATTGGGGGACCAGCAAGAATGGAGAACATTACCCGCAATTCAAGCTGCATGACGCCATGCTTGGTCAACTTCGATGACACCGCCCGCAGTTTGATATGGATGTGGATAGGTACCTAGATAGATTGGTAGACAGGAATACATATAAGGTAGAAGAGCTGCTGCCGCTTTACCGACTGGAATACTGCATGCCGATACTGCCTGTCCACCAGCAAAATCATCCGCCGATTGAAGCGTCGATTCGATCATTTCTCACAGCAGTCTACCACTACCAGCCAACCAAGCTGCAGCCATGAAGGAAGCTCTCATCGCCCCCGGGCCCAAAGTCCAGATCGTGGACTCACCGATCCCCGAGCCAAATGACGACCAGGTGCGGATCAAGGTCGTGGTCAGCGGGTCCAACCCCAAGGACTGGAAGGTGCCCGAGTGGCAGAACACCGTCATCAACCAGGGCGACGACATCGCCGGCGTCGTCGACAAGGTCGGCGCGAACGTGACCGAGTTCAAGCCCGGCGACCGCGTCGCCGCCTTCCACGAGATGATGTCCCCGCACGGCAGCTACGCCGAGTACGCCATCGCCTGGGCCCACACGACGTTCCACATCCCCAAGACGACCAGCTTCGAAGGTGAGTTGCGCGCGCGGGGACAGACTACCAGCTAGAGAAACGGAGAACTTACCAACTGACACACAACCAGAGGCATCAACCATCCCCCTCGCAGCCATGACCTCCGCCATCGCCCTGTACAACCACCTAGGCCTCCCCGAGCCATGGCGACCGGCCGACCCCGGCGCGGACCCCACCCCGCTGATCATCTATGGCGCCGGGTCTGCGGTGGGCGCGTTCGCCATCCAGCTGGCGCGGCGCAGCGGCATCCACCCGCTGATCTGCGTGGCGGGCCGGTCCTCGGCCCACATCGAGACGCTCATCGACCGCAGCCGCGGCGACATCATCGTCGACTACCGCGGCGACACCGACGCCGACTCCGGAAAAGGGGTGGTGGTGAAGCGCCTGCGCGAGGCGCTGGGCGGGAGGACGTCGCTGCACGCGCTCGACGCCGTGTCCGACGCCGGGAGCCACGCGAACCTCGTCGCCGTGCTGGGCAAGGGGGCCAGGGTGGCGCGCGTGCTGGCGCCCAGGGCGGGCGACGACGCGAGCGGCGTGGAGGTCAGCCAGACCTTTGTCGGGAGCGTGCACAAGGACACCAAGGACTTTGGATTCGTCTCCTTCAGGCTGTTTGGGCGCGGGTTGGCCGAGGGCTGGTTCGCCGGCCACCCGACCGAGGTGGTTCCCGGGGGCCTGGGCGGGGTCCAGACGGCGCTGGACAACCTCAAGGCGGGGAAGGCGAGCGCTGTGAAGTATGTTTTCCGCATCGCGGACACTGAAGGGGTTGCAGGGAAGTAAACTGGGGGCCTGTTGGTGAGGCTGATGATTCGGAATGCCTTGTCTGCTCCATGGTCACAATCGGATGCAGCATTATTGGGTGGTTTGGCTTGGCAGAGGCGGGTTGTTGAGAAATCGTCAAGAGGCCTTGATTTCTTTCCGGTTCCAAAAAAAAAAAAAAAAAAAAAAAAAAAAACCCAAATTAGGGGTTCGCGTCGGTAATAATGCTGGGGGCACAGTGCCGCTTCTCTTCTTTGCTTCCTTGTTATTTCACGTGCAAGTTTTCGAGTTTGTCAAGGCACTCTTTGTTGACTTGGAAACAGGCCCTGAAAAACACCTCGCTAAAGTATCGTGACACAGCCACCACCATTGCCTAGAACCAGGCCGCATGGGGAAAAGATGCCGAGGCGTAACCACCAAAATGTCACAGCACCAAATGAGGCAGCCACAATCAATTGCTGCATATATACCTCCAGCGACCTCCTCGCGAGCCGCACTGAGACGGGCATACAGCTGAGAATGAGTTGCAGTTGAAGTCACAATTATTACTCGCGGAAAGCCTCTTATCCATCTCAACAATAAACCCGCCGATCGGAACAGGATCACATACATCACGGCCATGGCAGCCGCCGACGGCCAAATTTGCGTCGCGCCCCTCTCCAGCCCGTACTCGCTCCTCCCGCGCGCGCACACCTACTCCCTGGTCGTCGCCCTCCTCCTACCCCTCCCCCGCGGCTGGCTCTTCCGCGCCGCCCTAGCCGCCTTCACGACCCGCACCGCCGTCGCCGCCGTCGATGCCGTCGTCCTGCTGGTCAACATCTCCTCCTCCTCCTCCTCCTCCTCCTCCTCTTCCTCCGCGCCGGCCCCCCTTGATATCTTCGTCGCCCTCGAATTCCTCGGCCTCGCCGTCGTCATCGCCTGCTGGCTCCTCCTCGCCTCGCGGCGCGCCGGCGCCTCCGCCGCCCGCCCGCTCATACGCGCCTGGGGTGCGGCCGTGACCGCCGGCTCGGCCGTCGCCTTCGCCGCCGTCACGCGCCTGGGCCGCCTCCTCTCAGCCGGGAACCCGGGCCCGGGCCCGGGCCCGGGCCCAGACCCGGCCGCCGCGTGCCGTCGCAGCCACAATCACGGCGTCCTGGTCGGCCGTGCGGCCGTGTTCGGCACGCCCGAGGACGTCGCCGTCCTGGGATCGGTCGCGTCGAGGGTCGCGTGGGTGGTGCGCAGGGTCGGGATCCCCGCGGTCGTGCTGTCGGCCGTGGCGTTGCTGGCTATCGCCCTGCCGCAGTCGGCGGGGCTGAGCGGGAGGCGGCCGGACGAGGAGCGCGGTTCCGAGGAGGTGGTGAGGGACGCGGCCGCCGGGCCGTGGAGCCAGCTCGGGCCCGCGAGGACGGTCGTCGGGATGGCGCTGCTGGTGTCGCTTCCGGCCGCGGCCGTGTTTATGGCCGTGTCGTCGGAGCAGTATCTCCACTCTATGGCGCGGGATCTGCTCGAGGTCGAGCCCATATCTTCTGTCGGGCAGTGGGGCGTCTGGGCGGCGACCGGCGTGGTTGTGGTGGCGACTTTTGTAAACGCCATGAGGGAGAAGATGGGGTTGGGGCGCTCCACGGGGAGCGCAACTGGCCATCTCCCGGCGCCGGGTCAAGACGGGGCCATCAAGTTCTAACTCGGTTAATCTAATGATGTATAATTAGCAGCTTTGCACCGCTACCAAACCATGGTGGTGATGGTTTTTATTATTCCCGACACATGGGATGATTCCACAGGGCTTGATAGCTCCCTAGAAACTGCCCCCAATTCCTCTAGCCTTCCCGGGAAGACCATGGTAAACTAACAGGAGAGACATTCGTAAGTTTTGGTAGTTCTCAATCAGGCGGCGAATCCAATCATTTCTGGGTATACTCTGTATTTCGCTTTGTGACAATGACGGAAACGTGCCGTTTCACCTCTTCGTGGCAGGGCTGACAGCACCATCAGAAGGACAGATCCGGCAAGTTTCTCAATCTTACTGATGTCTTCCTGGTTACAAATGCCTTGCGCGACAGCCAAAGCCGGATTCCGCTGCCAAGAGTGTCCGTCGTCATTGGCAGGTATATTTCCCCCCAGATGGCGTTACAGGAGTCCCTTGAGGAAATATGGGTTTATTATGTCGCAAGATACAGCCATCTGTACACGTGATCTACAATCCTGTTTTGAGGTGGGGCTAAGAGTCTATTTAGGAGGCGCAGAATCCAAGCAAGAAGCAAGGCAAGATGGCCGAGCGGTCTAAGGCGCTACGTTCAGGATGCACTTCCACAAAGTCAATTAATTCTTCGTAGTCTCGCAAGAGGCGAGGGTTCGAATCCCTCTCTTGTCAAGTTCCTCACTTCATTTTTTTTGGTTTCTCTCAAAACTTTTCCAGTATGATCCTGAGTATGATCTTGAACATTTTAAATTTTTTTAAAAAAAACAAAGCAGCTCATTCAAGGCAAGATAGCTGAATAGGGCGCTTTGCTTGAGATACACCTTTCATATCCTTAATTCCTTAAGAGTCTAGTGGCTGGCTCCCACTTTTATCATGATCATTTTTTTACTTGTATTCTTTATTCAAGGCTATTAGAAATAGCGAACCTTCCTTTGACGGTGCGGAGAGTTGCTGCCAGTGAGGGAGCTCCTGGCATGGCAGCTCTGCCTGGTTGGTGCATTCTATAATGAACAGGGAGCCTAGGGCTACGGGGGTTTTAATAAGAATTCTAAGAAGGAGTCTAGTCGTAGATGGATGCCGCTCCACTAAACTAGCTTTTGTGCGAAATGCTCCAGAGCACTTACATTGTCTGTAGGAAGTATCTCGAGAGACGTGGCCTTGAAAGCACAAGCATAGCTATAAGCTAGCAGATGGTATACCTAACGCTATAGAAGGTACCGAATAGAGAGTGTAGAAATCGTATTTCGGACATGGTTCTTTCCTACAATATATGTGGGCTACCAGGTGGGTGAAATGGGACAAGGTAGTCACTCGTTTCCGTACATATTCAACTCTTTCTTCATCCCGGATACATATGCATTATTGATATTTGACTGGTCGAGGCATTTGAGAAAGACTTCCACAGTTTGATATCAGCAACCGACTAGGCCTAGTTGGATCACTACTACACCCACTGGGTGATCCTGGCCAGGAGAAATCGTGGCCATATTGCCAATGTGGGATGTGGGACCTGAGAGCCAACCGAGAGCTTCCGTAATAATTCGAGTCAGGAGTGGGTAGGATAATAGATAGTTCTGATCAATATCTCGAGCAGAAGAGAAGAGTTAATAGTTGTGGCAGCTCCAAACATTGGAGTAGTTCTTCCACTCGAAAATCTCGACAGCACGAACTTACCATTCCAAGCCCCTGAGATTATAGAGGAGATCGTATCAATTTGTCTACTTCAGCTTCATTCAGCCATGGATCCGATCCTCTACGAGACTCAGTTTTGGAAAAGAGCCTATGATCCCGACGAACTTCCTCGGCTGATTTTTATTCTGCACGCCATGGTAGTAGCTGCAGCGCAGTTTGTCGACCGAGACAGGCACCCACAATTCTATTGCGATTCGGAGCGTCTCTGTGCTCGTTCGTGGAATGCTGTGCTGCTGGCCACGATGGATCAGCTGTCTGTCGAGGATCTCCAGGCCTTCATCATCGGCGCCTTCAATGACGTGAGGACGTGTCCCCGTCAAGCGCAAACGACCCATGCTAACATCTTGCCAAAGTCGGCGGTGGAAACTCTTCCAAAGCCTGGTCCATCGTTGGATCCCTGATGAGGACGATCGAGTACTTGCAGCTCAGCATCGAGTCCGGTAACCATGAGAATCCGCCGCTCCTGTAACCCCTGATGTCGTTGCCACCGTAGCAAAACTGGACGGGAGCAGGAGAGGCGGAGAGTATTCTGGATTGTTTTTCAACCTAGAGAGGCTAGAATCGTTTCTTTTCCCTTGTCCATTGGTCGGCTGGCAATCTCCCCTGGTTACTGATTTTATTTGCTTCCAGATTCTGCTTGGTAACCGCTGGATATTCGTCATTTCTACCGTCTCCCCTTCAGACTACGTCCATTCTGAGCAACAGGGTGCCGAAGTTGATCAAATACTAATCCACATACACAAGCCTGTGGTCCCAATACCTCTTGTGATCCCTCGAGTTGTGACTCGCGGTTGCGTTCTTCGATCGCCTCAAATGTCCTCCCCTCCTCCCCATTCTCGGCCGAGACGTGCCCCCCACTCAAGATCAGCCGGGCTCGCTCACCGCGAGCGACAGGACCAAGGTGTTCTCGACAAGCGCCACGGCGGTGTCCAGATACCGCCTGGCAAGCCCTCCCTACCCCCGGCCAGCCAGCGATTGCGAGAGAACCAGCATACAGTTGGCGGAAATAAACCCCACGGACGAGTCTGGCAGGGGCGGTTTCGCCGCCGTGCCCGATCGGCGCGGCAAAGTCCCAGAGCGGCAGGCAGCGGCCGGCGGAGCAGGTCTAGATTGCACATCTAGACGATGAAGACCAGGAAGGCGTCGCCCAGGCTGGTAGTGGCGACGCCCTCCTGCATCAGCTTGTCCCGCGAGCGGATGGCGCTGACCTTGTCGTTATACCGGGCGAAGAGCGAGCTTGTGGCGGTCAGGACCGGTTGCAGCGCTTTCTCGTCGTGGAGAAGCTCCCACCACTGGCGCATCGACAGCTAGACCCTGGAAGACATGTCGTGGGTGTCGGTACGCTCAGCGGCAGCGTGAATTGGTTCCGACCCGGGCTCGCCGATGCTCCGCAGCTTCTTACGGAGCAGCGATACTTGCGGTCCGTCCGCCTAGACCTCTCGATTCGTATGGCACGCTCGAGCAGAGAATAGATGCATCTTGGGAAGAACCCACATGTCCAGAAGCTGGGTTTGTGGAAGACAAAACGCCCCGCTCCAGGCCCACTCCAGGCCCGTCCTAGAGCACGTACTCGGGATACGAGGTGGGAGGGTTCTGCAAGCCGCCAACAACACAAAACATCACTTCTAGATTGCGACTTGCTAATTTCTCACATTGTCTGACAGTCCAATAATCGTGGTGCGCAGGATCCTGCCCGTGATGTCTTCGTCGAAGAGCTCGGCAAGCCTTTCTCTTAGCCTTGTCGGTGGCCGCATACCATGATTATCCGTCTCCAGCTGGTCGGTATGAGTGGAGGCACTCGTCTCACTACCAGAAAGATGCTCAGGACCACTGCCCAAATCAGGGGTGTGGGGTTCCCTGGAAGAGCAAAGGTCACCAGGTCTACGCATAGCACAGAGGTATGAATTTAGACCTCGGGATTACTCTTTGAAGTATCCATTCTCTGAGAGCCTAGGTCGATCTTGACTGCCTTGCCGGCTGGGTATGTTGGGTTTCCAGAGTCGGTGGAACATGGCTCCGAAGGGGAAACGCAGGTTCCCCGATCAGACACAGATCCATGCATCGGCGACGATGCCCAAAGGAATCCGCCCAGCTTCCAGACCCCGGTGACTGAGCAGATAGTCTTCCAATTGGCCCAATGGTTGCTTAGCAGTCAGCTGATAGGGGGGGGACCCTTAATCTTTCCGTCACGTGGTAATATGCCGGTCGCGCATTACGTCATAGGTGGCGTACGGTTACAACCCTGTTGTGGCTGCACCAAGCTACGTAAGGCTACTCCCTAGCGCCCGCCGGTGCAGCGATGACCTCATGATCGGAGAATTGCATTCTTTTAACAGGTCTGCATTCACCCTCAAACCATCATGTCTGGAATTCGGGCCAAGAGATTGATTGACTTGCCCAGGGATTTCTTGCTTCTCAGCCACTCATTTTCCACATAGCCGAGTTGGCCACTCAGTGCCCACGTCACTTCATGCCCAAAATCTTGCAAACCAGCCCAGCGGCTGATCGTGTCCCCCACTGATAAATTGACTTGTGAATCCTCATCGCAGGTCCTGCCTCTTTCGCTTCTCTTTTGCTGCACAAATACAACCTCCACCCTTCCTGTCTTCCACATATCCAGACCTTCAAGTCCTGCTTATTTCTATACCTTGATCCAATTAGTAGTAATTGAGCCGTCAACATGATATTCGGATTCGTCGGTATCATCCACCTCGTGGCGGTGGTGTTCTCCATCGTTGAGCTGGGTCTGACAGCCTACGGTACGGCTCCCCCGCGGTCCCCTATCCTCTCGACTTCGCACCGCTAACCTATGCCCTTCTAGTCGTCAGTGTCTTCGATGGCCCCTGGGCCAGCTCCCCGAGTAGGGTCAACTTCATGCTCTTCAACTCGATCTGGTCGCTGCTCGTCCTCGCCTACGTGGGCCTCACACCGCTCTACTACACCCGTGTCTTCCACCGCCTGGCTTCACTCGTGCTCGAGGCTATCACCATGATCTTCTGGTTCGCCGGCTCTATCGCCCTGGCCGTCGGCTTCGGCGGGCCATACAGCTGCGACGGCAACTCCGTCTGCGGCTCCATCACCGCCGCCATCACCTTCGGCTTCTTCCTCTGGGCCCTGTTCACCGCCCTCACCGTCCTCGACACTATCGAGTCGATGCGCTCGCGCCGTGGAACTACCCACAGTCACACCAAGCCCTATGTCGGAGCCTAGATGCTGCGCGACACTAAGATAAAAGGGGGACGAGAGGTGGAGGGTGGAAGGGCAAGCCGGTAGAAGTTTTGTGGTTTTCAGAAATATATATGCATGTCAGCAAATGGGATACCCACGTCGTTTCCTAAATACAGGTAAACTCAAGCCCCTCGATGTTAGTCTATCAGGACCATATGTTTGGGTATATAGCCGGAGTCATTGGCGTGCTATCTCGCTTTCCCCGAGATATGATATCAAAACATAATACTCTAATGACACGTTCTTATCGAGCCGTTGACAATTCTCTTTTTCGTGCGCGGTCCGGAGCCGTTGCTCCTCTGGCCTGCAGTATGCATCAGTTTCATCATACCCTGCATCGATGAGCGGGTCGTCCTTTAAGATTTTCATGTTCAACTGCTTCCCGTGCTTGATCCAGGGTTCTCCATCTGTCATGATTTCTCCTAATCCATTCATACCCAGAGCCGCGAAAATGGTTTGTAGACTGGCCATCTGCTCCATGTCTCTGGACCGGTGCTTCGCCGACCATGCCCTGGGCCACAGGCTGGCATGGCACAGAAATATGGCTATGCGTCTGTTCCCTTCTACCCAGGGCTCCTCCCTGTCGCAACCCTCCGCGGCTGCCCAGGTCGCCGCTGCCTGCAAGATCTACCATTGCGGTTTGCCCACAAGAGCCTCTGCTGGGCCATGCGCGTGGATGCGTGGGAGATATGCTGGGAGGTGGTGTAGCAGGTTGAGTGCCCTAACCTTGGCATCTGCCTTGACACAGTCAACATTACTGGCTGCATCTATCCTGACCTGGCCTTGCTAACAGGGTGGGCCTGCCTTCCACAACCTGGCGCAGCTGGCCTAGATAAGCTGGTCGAGGAACTGCCGGTTCTTTTACAGCGAGGCAGAGAGGGGCGCGTACCTGCCTGTCAAGGAGATCGCGTCGGTCATCTTCTGTTGGGCACATGGACCTCGACAAAAGGGCATGCCGGTGCCAGGCAAGGCGTGTGGACGACGATGATGGGCAACACCTTCTCCAACAAAAAGGTGGGCGGGACCATCACATCTGAGACTGGACGGGAGGGACAGGAAAGATTCGTGTGCGAGGTGTGGCAGAAGGGTATGCGGGCTGGATTATACACGGCCCAGCGCTTGAGCGGTGCCGTCTCGCGGCTTTGCCATGACGAGGCCACGCATGAGACAAGCCAGCCTAGATTATCTCTCCTTGATAGGTTCTGCACTGGAATTGATATCGATTTGGGTATCGCATGGAAACCGGTTTCCTACCTACCAGGCTCAATCCAAACCTGGGAACGCCGCTATCTTGGGGGCCTGGTTACCCCTGCCTTTTCTGCGCTTTTTCTTCGGCTGCTTTGAGGATTTAGCAGGAAACGAGTCACTGTCGCTATTATCGTCATCGTTCTCGCCGTCGTCGTCGTCGTCGTCGCCATCACCACCACCATCACTCCCCCCCAGTCTTTTGTTGCCCTTCTCCTGAGCACCAGCCTCCTCCTCCTCCTGTTCGCCATCACCGGTCTCGTTTTCTGCCCAGACCTTTACTGTTCTTCCGCCCCCGCTGATCATCCTGCCCTGGCTGTCAAAATTGATGGCAACGACGCCCTCGACCTCGTCGTGCTTCAGGGTGCTCTGGATCTCTCGCCGCTTGAGGTCGACGACGCTCAGGCTCCCATCCCCCATGCCCACCACCACCTTCTTGCCCCACCCCAGCTCCTCCGGGACCCTGACGATGGCATCGAGGCTCTCGCCATCCTTCTTAGACTTCCCACCGCCGACGTAGATGCGCTCCTGCTGGTCGTCCCAGGAGCCTTGGTCCCACAAGGTCAGGACCCCGCCACCGGTGCCGACGGCCACGACACCGTTGTTCCGGAGGCGCTTTGGGCCCAGACCGGTGGGGATCATGGTCGAGCACAGCAGCTCGTCCTCCTGGTCTTCGGACCTGGCCAGGATGCCGTGTCGCAGGTCGGTGACGGCCAGCGTGGTGCCGCCCGTCGACACCCACTGCTTGGGGAAGCCCGACGTGCTCTCGGCCGAGGGCGGCAGCGGGGTGAGGCTGGTGATGTAGTCGTCGTGGGGGATGTGCTTCCGCACCGGCTGCGGGTTCAGCGTGCCGCTCTCGCGGATGTCGAAGATGTAGAGCGCGCCCGAATCGGTGCCGAGGAGCATCGTCTGCGGGGACAGGGCGTGCATTATCGCGGGCGAGTCGGTGTCGTCGGACGAGCTCGTGCGGGGCGGAAGGGCGATCTTGGAGGTGACAACGCCGGTGGTGGGAGAGAAGTGCTTGACAATGCCGTCGGTCCCGGCAGAGAAAAGAGCTGAAGCTTGTCAGTTTCGTCGATCCAACGCGAGACGCGAGAGACAGGTTCGGCGGCGAGCCAACAGACGTACATTCCCCGTCATGGCTGTAGGCAAGACAGCGGCAACTCCCCTTGTGCCTGCGCGTGCTCCATATGCTTTTGATCAGGCCCCTGCCGGTTGTGGAGTTGCTGCCCTCACTGCCTTCGTCCGCGCTAGAAGGCAGACGGAAGCACTCGACGTGGCCGCTTGACAAACCCACAGTCAGAAGAGGCTCGGACGGGTGAAGGACCTGGGTGAAGATGTCGGCCCTCAGCGGGAGGGTGCAAAGATTCTCAAACATGGTGCCAGCGGTTGCAATTGGCCATGGATGCTTTTCTCTCTTGCTTTGCTTTTCGACCATAGATTCTGATGCGAATTTTTCCACCCTTGCTGTGCTATAATTAGGCAGTCCCCACATCGCGCAATGCGGGGGTGCCTAGGTAGTGTATGTCTTGTACATAAATTATGTACATACAGACAAAGTACCGAGCGAGCATGGATCCATCCAATGTGTGCTGTAATTACCACGTCTGCCCCTGGGGAAAATCATGGATACAACGGACCCCAACTCCATCATCAAGACGCATCATTCCAGACGCATGCTGCTGGAATTGAAGCCACCCAAGAGATAGTTTACACGCGCGATAGGTCGGACCTGTAATTTCATAGTCGACCCGAGACCGCCAACATGAATCTCACCTGGCCGACTATTCTTTCCTGGCTCTCGATTTCTATTCTTGCAATGCCAGCTGCAGTTGTCGCCAGGTCGCCAAGATGCATCATGTACCTCACCGGGTGTGTATCCTTCTACCCCCTCGCCTTTCTTCCGGCCACAGTTGAGTCTGTCCAGCCTAACGTTCCATCTCGGCAGTCAACATCCGATTATGCCATCGCCCGATCGGCTTCAAGAGGTCACCCATGTGACCCTCGCTTTCATGGGTTCAACCCTGTTCAACGAGCCGGGCCGTTCGGAATGGCCTCTGTTCACAACGGTTGACCAAGTCCGCGCCAACTTTCGTCCAGGAACGAAGGTCATGGTGGCCATTGGCGGTTGGGGCGACACCTATGGCTTTTCGGCCGCCTCCTTGTCTGAAGAGAGACGACGAGCGTTTGCCGAGAACGTGGCCCGCATGGTTTCCGATACGGGGGCGGATGGTCAGTCACCATGGTTTAGCGTTGATCAAATCTGGATTGATACTTCCGGGACCATTGATTACTGATTAGTTTATCTAGGAGTTGACATTGACTGGGAATATCCGGGGTAAGATGCAGCAACTTGTCTGCGAAGCTTGTTTTGATTCTGACCCTTCCGTCCTCTCTCACAGTGGTAACGGCGAAGACTACAAGAAGGTGCCCAACGAGGCCAAGGCGTGGGAGATTGGCGCATACTCTCTACTCCTCGGCGAATTGCGGAAGGCTCTGGGCTCCGAGAAGCTCATCTCGGCAGCGGTGCCGGGCCTGCCCCGGGACATGCTTGCCTTCACTCGCGAGACTGTCCCTCTCATCATGAAGCATCTGGATTTTCTGAACGTCATGGCGTACGACTTGATGAATCGACGGGACAACATCACGAAGCATCACAGTGGCGTCGACCTTAGTCTTGCTGCCGTTGACGCCTATGTTGCAAATGGGGCATCTCCGCAAAGTCTCAACTTGGGCTTCGGCTTCTACGTCAAGTACTTTCGGACCGAGCACGATTCGTGTAAGATACCTACCTCCCCGATCGGCTGCCCAACGCTTCTATTAGAAGACCCAGAGACCGGAGCAGACCTGGGCCGGACTGGTGGGTTTTCTTGGCACGATCCAGTTCCCCAAGACGTTGCCGAATCATTCAACCGGGCGCTTCTCGACGGGATGTATGACGACCAGCATGGTGGCTACTATTACTGGGACGAGGAAGAAGATATGTGGTGGACCTTCGACACCGTTGATGCCGTGACACGCAAGTTCTCGCACATTGTCGATAAGAGGAGACTTGGAGGTGTCTTTGCATGGGGCCTTGGCGAGGACGCCCCTGTCTTTGAGCATTTCAACGCCGTTAGTAATGCCGTAGCCGTGCGGAGGGCGGCGAAAGATGAGTTATGATGTTGTTGCCTTGAAATCTCCTAGGAGAAGCTAATGGAAACTTGCTATTATCTTGAGTATGACAGGGCGACTTGAATGTCAACCGCAAAGATAGTGCTGCAGCTGAGAAATCCTGTTATTAGGTAGATTGCCTGTAAGAAATACACGAAGGCCGTCCTTCACTTCCGGTTTGTTTTGTGGTGGCGGTTTCCAATTCAGGATTCCACGCCCGTTCTCCTTCGCCGTCCTTTGCAAATTACAAGTGAGTTGTTGGTGACAGAGCATGGGTTTCCATCCATATCCAAGTGGAATCCCTCTCAAGGGTGCATCAGTCATACCCAAAGTGATTACCCAGTCGAGTATTGTCTCCCAGTCCGTCTCTTCTCAGCCCATCTCTTTTCAACGATAAGCGGTACTCTAGGGGGTACTGTCATAGAAGGTTGAGACTATGCTCAGAAGAAGGAGACATTCCAAACTTCGTAATTTTACTCGCCTGGCAGTGCCCTGGCCATTCCTCCCGACGCCTGCCTCAGCTGCTTGCGTCATGCGCAAAGAGTCGGTTCCAAATAGCCAGTTCCAAATATAAATATTATAGTTTGCGAAATGCACGTCGAGGCTTTAGTGTTTTTATTTGGTGAGTGAGTTATTATTGAGCCACGGCGATGCAGCAGCAAGGGAAGACAGCAGTGGAGAAGAACTGGAACTGTTTCCAACCCGTCTGCCGCCTCTCTTCTCCCGCCCACTCCAGCACCAAGTACGCAAACCTCGAAACCGCACCTCCACCATTTGACTGATTCTCTTCTTTCTTTTCGACGACCCTGAGAGAGAAATCACAGTCTCAGGCCGCATTTCGTTCCAGGCTATGTCTGCGGGTGCATGCTTTCTCAGCCTCCCGCCAGAGCTCTGAAACATCATATACCAACTCTATGTCATAGTTGAAAATGGCTACGTCTTCAATTTTCAGTCGGGCAAGCTAACTGCTACCAACAACAAACTCATCGATCTAGCGCTCATGTCCACATGTAGGCTTGTAGCCGAAGAAATGAAGGGCGTCGCTCTGCGCACAAACACCATCACCTTCACTACTGTGTACACTGAGGACATGCGCAAAAGGGCAGGCCGCTTCAATTCCAGAATGGCAGGCTCGTACAACATGAGAAGTCGCATGCTCGAATATGCGTGGCCCTGCATCACCACAGACATCTATCACGAAGTTGCTCGCGAGTATCCACGGTTTCTGCCTCTCCTGGATCAGATACAAGAAGACCGGATAACGGCGGGCAGAGGGATTCTCCCCACTGGTCCGATCGCCTCTATTGGGGTGAGGCACCCTCAGTGTATAGCCAATTCATTGAATATACGCTGCAGCTTGCCTCAGTCCAGCGCCTGGAGTTCACCATAGCAACCCTCCCATCCTTGTCGTATCTTGACCCCCCTGATCCCCATGAGATCCTTTTGCAAGATCCTGAGCCATGGGCTATTCCCACAGAGGACTACCTAACGGATCTGGACTACGCGTTCGACGGCCGTCCTGGATCCTGGGATTATTTCGATGGTTCAAAATACCGCTTTTCAGCAGCAGCCGCAGCCATCGAGTTTCTCAGGTCTCTCCAAAAGAACAGGCGTGTTCAAATACGAAAGATCCTATTACAGGAAGATCACCAAGCTGTGTCAAACCCAGCATGCCATGCCCAAGGCCTAATTCCATTCTGCCAGGAAAACCCACTTCTTCGCGTTGAGCGCCGTGTTAATCTATGGAGAAATGTCTTCTTGGGGCATGTTTGGCATAGCAGACAAGTTCATGACCCCGAGGATATTTCGCCAGCGGACATTGCTTGGGATGTTACCGCCCATGTGGCTGAGTGGATCGTTGAAGCTTTAACTCTCATTTCCGCGGGAATGCCGGCAGGTTCGTTCACCATGGTCTTGGACGGCGAGCCGGCGCCCGGCAGATGCTCAGAGATATTCCAAACGATACTTCAGCGAGACGTTGCCTGGCAGTCCGCTCTGGACGAGTGCTACGCTCGGGAACTTCTACCGACTCCATCTTCCTACCAAAGGAGGAGCAACACGTGCTACACCTTCGAGGACTTCCCGCAAGCGGTCCGGGATATTGTCAATAACACTTCCTTGGTTCGCTGCAACTTTGATCCGGGTGAGTTATAGGATATTGAGAAGGTGATCAAGAAACATCGTGGGTGGTCTTTGACGCGGTGGGCGAAGGGCTGGGAAGCTCAAAAGGTTAGGTTGTGACCAAAGAGGTAGGTTGTGGAAGCAAAGTATTCAACTAGTGAAAGTACTGCTGTAAGCAGTAGAAAGGCAGGAAGT